CTGGTGTGTCAAGATGAGGTCTTGAGATATAAAGTTGCCTGTTGCCCCTGAGTCTATCATAGCCCTTGTAGACAACACCTGTTGTTTGAAATGGAGTTGAATAGGGATTAACAGGTGTGTGAGACTCTGAGAAAGCACCATCGACACATCTTTGTTGTCTAGGGGAGAAGTTATAGTCTCAGTTGAAGTTGTGCCTGCTAGGGATTTTTCAAGTTTTTCAGGAATAGCAGTTGTGACTGTGTCTGAGGCTGCTATATGTTTTGAATCAGCACTCCCCCGTGCTGAATAGCACTCCTGAATTCTGTGTCCCCCTTTGCCACAGTATAAACAAAGGTTGTTGTCCATTCTGTGTTTTCTTTCTTGAGGGGTAAGTTTACCCCTTTTCAGTTTTTGAGGGTATCCTGTAGGCTGAGGTGCTGGATTTGCTGTAGATCTCTTTATAGAGGCGTCTAAGTCCATAGGTTCAGGTGCTGAGTCCTTAGCAGTTGGTGTAGAGGTGTAATTGTTGAAATTTCTTGTTGGATGCCAGTCTTGGTTTGTCATACTGACATTCGTTGCACTCAGTTTGCTATCAAACTCAAGAGCAAACTTAGAAATCTCCTCCTCAAACCTACAAGTCACCATACATATCTTGGCTTATCACACCAACAACAGAAGCAATACTACTCAACGATTGCTGCAAACTCTTCTACTACATCTGTTTATGCTACATACATCACGGCATATCATTTGGACACTCATTGAACAAGTTATTAAGAAAATCTCCTCCTTAAGGGGGTGGGCCAATACTACCACATGGCATATCTCTACCAACTAGAGGCCTAGAAACATGAACGATAGCTCTAGAAGCTTCTACAACCCTCTATGATTCATTACACGTCATCGCTCCTTAGTTACCCACAAGATTGGTTAAGTTATGACATAATTTATCTATAGGTACTCTGACCTTGGACCTCCTTTTCACTTCCTATAGGCTAGGAACCCAAGAGATGGTTCTATGGGATTCTCTTACGTTCACTACATGATTAGCAAGCTAGTTGTGGGTCGCACTTGATTTCTAATACATTTACCAAGCCTGGTTAGTCATGGAAAGTCATGGAAAATGAGAGAACTACACTCCTTTGGCATAAATAGGATTGCCCTTTCCTTAAGAAAGGGCAAGCAGGCAATACAGTAAATCGACTATCACATACTTCCACGTCTTTTACAAGCTTCCAAGCATTGATCTTGTTATTCTCTGTTTTTGAAAAGTCAGTGAGGTGCTAACCTCTGACTTACCCCTGAGTTCTCAGACTCAACATTTGTTGCAACTTGTCTAAACCACTTCACCACATCATACACCTGATTGCTGCGTTGTGGAATAGTCTAAGCTACAACCCTTTGGCTCTGTTTCCTAAGACAGTGTGTTGTCTTAGTAAATTCATCCCTTCCTTGGGTGGCTAGATTCTCATATCTGGTGCACCCACCATTACATGGTTCTTCTCCTTTCTTCTTTCAAAAAGCCTATCATCAAGTCTGACAGCTTTCTCTATAAGCGTTTGAAGTGTTGTAGGGCGTTCTTCTTTGCTGAGTTCATCCTTAATAGAGCTCTTGAGCCCTTGGTAGTAAGTGAAGACTAAGGCTTCTTCATTCCAAGTCAAGTGAGAAGTGATTCTCCTAAATTCTGTTGTATACTGAGCAGCAGAGGTCTTTTGACATAGCTTCTGTAGCTCTCTTTCTGCTGTAGCAGTTTCGTTGATGTCTCCAAAGGTCCTGGTAAGTTCCTCTTGAAACTGGTCATAAGAGGTAATCAAAGGTGTAGTGGTATTTTGGTTGTTGCCACTAAGTCTTCTAAGATATGGCTCAAAGAAGTTGAATGCAGATCCACGGAGGTAGCTGGCAGCGAAATAGATCTTCTGAATGTCTGAGGTGAACTGATGAGGCCTGAGGGTGAAGTAGATGTCCAGTTGCATAAGAAATCCCTTCAACTTCCTCCTGTCTCCATGGTATAAATCTGGTGTTTGCACTTTAGGAAGTGCACCTGGGGTACTCGAAATAGCCAGAGGAGCTGTGGGAAGCTCTGTATGATGTGTCTGAGTTGAAGATTGTGTTGCTGAAGTGTTGGCTTGAAAGGTGTTTTCCAAATTCTCAAGTTTGTTTGCTATAGTTTGTATAAAGGCAAACAGTTGTTGCATCTGCTGTTCAGCAGTAGTTGTAGGAGCTTGGTCGTCCTCCATTGTAGTATCGAAGTGCTGCTATAGAAATAGTTGAAGCTTGAAGCAGGCAAGGTGTAATGGTGGGTGCACCAGATATGAGAATCTAGCCACCCAAGGAAGGGATGAATTTACTAAGACAACACACTGTCTTAGGAAACAGAGCCAAAGGGTTGTAGCTTAGACTATTCCACAACGCAGCAATCAGGTGTATGATGTGGTGAAGTGGTTTAGACAAGTTGCAACAAATGTTGAGTCTGAGAACTCAGGGGTAAGTCAGAGGTAGCACCTCACTGACTTTTCAAAACAGAGAATAACAAGATCAATGCTTGGAAGCTTGGAAAAGACGTAGAAGTATGTGCTAGTCGATTTACTGTATTGTCTGCTTGCCCTTTCTTAAGGAAAGGGCAATCCTATTTATGCCAAAGGAGTGTAGTTCTCTCATTTTCCATGACTTTCCATGACTAACCAGGCTTGGTAAATGTATTAGAAATCAAGTGCGACCCACAACTAGCTTGCTAATCATGTAGTGAACGTAAGAGAATCCCATAGAACCATCTCTTGGGTTCCTAGCCTATAGGAAGTGAAAAGGAGGTCCAAGGTCAGAGTACCTATAGATAAATTATGTCATAACTTAACCAATCTTGTGGGTAACTAAGGAGCGATGACGTGTAATGAATCATAGAGGGTTGTAGAAGCTTCTAGAGCTATCGTTCATGTTCCTAGGCCTCTAGTTGGTAGATATATGCCATGTGGTAGTATTGGCCCACCCCCTTAAGGAGGAGATTTTCTTAATAACTTGTTCAATGAGTGTTCAAATGATATGCCGTGATGTATGTAGCATAAACAGATGTAGTAGAAGAGTTTGCAGCAATCGTTGAGTAGTATTGCTTCTGTTGTTGGTGTGATAAGCCAAGATATGTATGGTGACTTGTAGGTTTGAGGAGGAGATTTCTAAGTTTGCTCTTGAGTTTGATAGCAAACTGAGTGCAACGAATGTCAGTATGACAGTATTATACTAATGGGAACACTGACCCCTTCCAAATATGCCCCTAAAGGCCAGCGCCCCGGAAGCCTCCTTGAATGTTGCTTTCTGTCATTGCAATGTTAAATGCAGCGTAGAAGGCAGGAAAGAAGTCATCCTTAGTAATATGAGAAATATGAGCCCACATCATATCTTCAATTTGCCGACCATAAGCCCTTTTCAATAGGCTAAAACAGCCAACATCAAGTGGCTGGAGTAGATGAGAGGAATGAGCGGGCATACTGTAAGGATCGTAAGCCTAAGGGTCTCACGGGAGTCCAGGGAACCAGGTCAGGAGGCAGGAAGGTATCGTATTCTGTAAGCACAATAGGTCTACGTAGATACATCGACTATTGACTGGAGGCCTTCTTCCGAGGCCTCCAACCCCTTTTATCTATGCACCTTGTGCCCTATTTTACCGAGCCCTATGGGCTGCTTATGAAAGGGACCTCACGTGGTGGCACGTGATGGCCTTCCTTACACATACAGAGAGTTATAATGTTGTGTTCTTTGCAGTACTCCTCAAACTTGTCCTAGTGGTGGCTCTCATGACCAGTGTGTTAAATAGTATAAACCCGTATACTGCCAAGCACTTTTCCTAACATCATAGAGTCTGAGCGGGTTCCAAATAGGAAAATTTGGGATAAATAAACATTGTGTTACTGAGGTTATTATCATGTTGGTAGAGCAACTATCATGCACGTGCTTTATGCTGGCATGTGCATTCCTTGGCAGTATACAGGTTCATACTATTTAACACACTGCTCATGACCATCAAGGACTAACAAGCGATAACCACCAACACTCTGCAGCTTTGTGTGCTTCTCAACATGCTGAATCCAATCCATGCCTCTCTCGTTTGTAGTCCAGCCATTTTCAGTAACAGCAATTACGCAATCGCTTGGAAATCCACTAATCTCATACCAAGATGTAAGGTGGTTTTTGCCTGCAACAATGACGAATGGCGGCACTGCCCAACCCGAGAACTAATTGGATTACTGTAACCCATTGCCAGGCTGTACCTTCTTTGCTTTTGCCCACCCTGAGCTTGTTACAACAGTAGCAGTTGAGATAATACCCATCATAAACCCAGTCTCATCAAAGTTGTAGATATCTGCTTTATAGATACCATATTTCTCAATTGTGTTACACACAAGCTCAAACCAGCCACGTATAAGTTCTGGATCTTCACACTTAGCCCTCTGGTAGTCGTATTTGCGCTAGAAGCGTGCCCGGAGCTCTACACGCCGCTTAACAAAGTTTGAAGCCTAACACGACCCAACGCGTGGCGCGTCGTGCGTTTCAAGTAGTCGATTTGCCATATCTGCAACAATAGACAACTGAGGAGGAAACCCTTTGGTAGCTAGGTCGAGTATATATTGAACAAGGACTGATTCCTCTAAGTTAGTTAATTTCTGTAAGTTGGCTTGAATATCGCGTCGTGAAGGTATGCCTAATAAACGACGGCCTAGCTTGCGGTGGTCAACAGAATAGATCTTAGCAGCAACTCGAGGACGTAACTTTGGTCGCTTTATATAGCTTGGAGAGCTAGCATCAACTGGCTTTCATCATTTTTCTAGGGCATGTTTTGTTGTTGAGTAATTTAAAATTTAGTTGGGGGGTATTGTGGTCGCGATATTTTGGCCGGTTCGCTTGTTTGGCCGGTTCGTTATATATGTACGTGGTACTCGAGTATCATTCATTACCCATAGATTTCCTCTTATCACATCATCACTTCTACATCTATATTTTATCATAATATCAATATTTTTTTATAAAAAAATGTCTTCTCAATTTCGCAAGTACCAACAAGTGGCAAAGTAGTAATTAATCGTGTCGTGTGAACTATAATAATATAAAGTGGTATCCTTTGCTTCTCACCCCACCCGCTAAAACCGGACTGCTGAAAAGGCTTCTAACCATTAAAACAAGTGCAAATCCATGCGAGTATTAAAAACCGTCACCATTATCCATCTCACGCAGTGTTTCCTCATAGGTAGTCGATGCCCATTACCACCGCCCTGCGGTCAACCTTTCGTCAAGTAGGCCGGTCGATTAGACCACTGCCCTTCCGGTGAACTGCGACCTGTTGTGCCTGTGCTTGAACCAGTAGATGCCAACGGCGATCGACGAGACAAGCCAGAGGAGCATGTTGACCAGATCAACCCAGACGGCGTTCTTCATGCGCTGGATATCCTTGTTGCCCTCTGCGTCTTCCTTGATGAACAGCTATAGATTCTGTTAGCCTAGTCCCGCGTATCCCCAACACACCCAGAGGGTAGCCCACCTTGCCGAAGATGCCGAACAGAACAATCCAGAAGAACAACAGCAACGTATCCCAGACGAACAGTATCGACATTTTCTTCATCGTAACAGGGATCAAGTAGATCAGCGCCGTGATGGCGGAGAAGGTGCCGACGACGATGGCGTATGCCTATGCGACAGATGTCAGAATGCGCCTCGATGCAGTCGAACTGCGGAGGAAGTGAGTGTGAGTTGACTTACCCATCGGCCATCAGTAGCGTGATGCGCCTTTCGCGCGGATGTGATGTCGACACCATAGAGGCCGCAGACGGTGAGCGCGAGGATGAACTGGAAGAAGCGCACGACGCCGAAGGCGAGGTAAGTCATGGGTTCATTGAGGATGGCCATTTTGACTGTATTGTATATTCTGTCGAGTGGTATGGTATATTCTCTTCCCTTTCTTTGATTGTGCAACACTTCGGTTTACGATTTTACCCCTCGCTAAGTATGGCGGGTGGCGGCGTTTATATGTTGATCTCTCAACAGAAAAACAGAAAAACAGAAAAACAAAAAAACAGAACTGCTGTAGCTTGGTAGCTTGGTAGCTTGGTAGCTTGGTAGCACACAAAGGTTAACGCGCGCGGCTATCCAAAACAACGAGCTTTCGTTACAGGTTACAGAACGTTGCGATAAGTTACTCAGTAAACGATTTGATGTAAACGATTTGATGTAAACGATTTGATGTAAAGGAATCACAGTGCGACAGAGTTTTCTGGCTACTTGGCGCATTCTATAGCAGCAATACTCGCCATCTAAAGCTACTTATTTCGCATCAGTGCCTTCCCTGTTTTTTTTTGCCCGTTCTCCGTTCTCGACCGCGACGATCGGCTAAATAGCGGAAGGGGCAGTGTCACTGACGTCACTTTCGACCGCAGCTTTGCTTGGAGCTTTATCGGAACGCGTCGGTCTAGGCTGGACTAGGGTACATCCGGCCGCTTTTAGTGCAGGGCATTCAGGGCTGGCCGGAGCTAACGGGTGCCGGTTTCCACCTCTATTGCGCCTGTGATATAAGAACTACGGAGTATATTGCGCTGTAAAATAAAGGAGACTCTCCGCAAACTAGGCGTGACGGCGAGATGCTAACGTGACTTTCTATTGGCAGGGGTTTAGAGTACGACCTATGCTAAAATACGGAGTATAGGAGAAATCGATACTTGCACAACTTTTGAAATTCTTAAACGTAAAGCAAAGATCGTCGACACAACTGTCGCCCGCACACTTGGGAAGGTCGACATGTACCGAGACTTTGCGAAAGCCGAGAATCAGCAAGGACTTGAAAAACAGTTGGCGGGCCTCGAGTCTCTTGCAGGCAGGGTTGTCGCTACCATCCGAAAGAGGTTTGAGGCTGGGAATGAGAATGTCTGGATAACCCGTCTAGAGCGTGATACGTTGCGCAAATTTCTATTTATTATGAAATACAGGTCCTCGAACATGTACAAGCGTTTTTGTCCTGAGACTTTCGAGGACTATTCTGCTGATGACCGAGAGGAGCTGTTAAAATACGTACGCGGGAAAGATTTCGAGAAGCCGATCGATGTGTGGTTCGACAACATCAGAGCTATGTTAGAACTGGAAATGGATCCAGGTGGTAAGTGGATGGAAGAAATTAGGAAGCGTGCCTATCCTGCCGACGCGGAATGGTTTGTTCACCATACGCAAAATATGTTTATGGCCTTGTGCACGCCATCAGAGCAATATGATGAGTTTTTACTGACCGAGAATGGCTATGGAATCCACGAAGGACCAGTGAGTGGTCAGGTGGATCCTAGCACTGGTAAATTTACCGCAACATCCTACACCGAGTACCACGTCTTTGCAGTCATCTCTCCGAGGTTAATGATTGTGCTACGAAGCTTTATCTTGCCTAATCCTATGGAAGACAACTTACAAGGTATAAGAGAGTTTAGACAGACCGTGTATCGGATTTGTGCTAGCACGCATGTCAATCCGAATGAAGAACACTCTATATTAGCGGACCTACCGATATTGCAGGCTCACAATTCATACACGAAGTACAAAAATGGCATGCGAGTTTTGCTCAATGGCGAGGATGGGAGCCATCGAAATGATCACCGATTTTGTTTTCGATTCTTTCCGGTTGCTACTGATCACGTTGACAAGATCAATGGTATTATGCTCGAGGAGTCCTACGGCATATCTACGATAGTCTTTGGATCTCGCACCGGAGCTCGGAAGATATTCGAATCCTATCTGAGCGCCGTTCCTCTTGTAGAATCTGGTTTTAAGACTGTGAACGGCAAGCCAGACGACCCCAGGTTGATTTTTCTCCAAAAACTGGAGCATGTCGCTAAGCAGATGGGTTCTAATGTTGTGGCCGTCTATCGCACAAGAAATAATGCGCCTACGGAAGAGGAGGAATACGAAGCAGTCGCTCGGATGATGGAACTTACCCCCCCCGAGGAAAGGGGTGAGCATATGCAACTCTATATGCGACTTGGTAAGCAGTATCGATACATTTGAATGTATTTACTAACTAAATGCAGGTGGGTCCTATGCGGCATTGATGAAGGACTTAGAGCAGGCCCGGAACATGTTGAATATGAGAATTAAATTCGACGTTTGGTCTACGGGGCTAAATGAGCGTTTCCGGAATGATATCCGCGAGAATCTCCAGAAAATATTCAGCCAGCTCCCTGTGTGGCGACTCTGGTATTATCTCAAGCAGGTGCGGAATATGGTACTACGAGGTCGTTCTATAGAGGGAGGTGTCATTGCTGATGGGCCGGAGGACGTGATCGCAAAAGGTAGTACATTCCTATGTGAGATATTTACAGGTTGCAGATAAACTAACATATATCACTATAGTGAGCCATGTGATCCGCAACGAGGCCATAGCTCGTCTTATGTTCGCTGTTGTGCTTAATCAAATATCCCTCGTGAATCATCCAGACCTTGAATTCTACCCCACGATCATCTCCCCTCGTGAATCATCCAGACCTTGAATTCTACCCCACGATCATCTCCGAAGCCTCGTGGCGTAGCATTTCTCGAAATAAACAGATTACTTTCAGTTCAGTAGGTAGTATATGCGATAGTGGTAAGTTGCATATCCATATTCATGTTCGCAACCTAAGACAATAATATAGGTATCCATGAGATAGAACAGAAAGCTCGATTGTTACGAGACAAGTTACAGAAACCAGATTATCTCAAGACATTCGCAAAACTCTTCTTACCAAAAGATGCGATAATTAGAAACCCCCTGTGGTCCGACAAAGAAAATGTCGAGATGCACACACGCTTTCATACTCGAATCGTATTCCCAGGCCTCGTAGAAAGGCTGGGGCAGGGGGAGGAGGATGAGTTATACGAGGTGCTTTTCGATATTGCATATCCTTGCCCGTCACCATTCTGCGTTTTTAACAATGAAAAGAAGGCGATACAGGCATATCAATGGATTAACTCTATGGTGAGGTAGCAGTCGCATATCTGTTGGTGTCTATCGGGTAAGGGGAAAGGGAGTCGCCGTGATACTTGACGGCCGCGGAAATGTTGTTTCAACGGACAAGATCGTTCTGCGAGAATAAAATTCCTTAGTATGTCGTTTATAGTTATACTGCTAGTTTTCTCTATATGATTCGCATAATCCTTCAATCTCCATATCCCAAGAGTAAAGAGTATGGTAAAAAAATCCTCATAACCCCACATGCCGCCAATAAGGCTGTTGCAATGCCGCATAAACTATCATTCTCTGGCCCAACAATATGCCTAGTCATAAATCATATCCACGCAAACCAAACCGCCCATCTCTCATAGAGCTCTAAACAGGCTCAGTAATATACCCTCGTCGATCGTCTCGGCGTATCAAAGACGATCTCCCCCCGGTCAATGATCCTCTCCTCATCATACATAGGCTCGGCACGCGACCTCGAAGCCTCAATCGTCAGCATATCCCTCTCCCTCTCTCGAGGCCTGGGTTGCTCGCGTTCCCACGCAATCTCGCGGATCCTGTTCCTCCTGTCTTGGACAATATCATCCGAGAGGTCCACGAGCTCAACAACATCATCCTACGTCGATTAGCATAACCATTCAGACCAACATGGAGGCGTCATGGGGCGGGACTTACATATTTCATATACCGAAAGACATAGAAGAAGTACTCCGTCTCCTCGTAATCGTATCCCATCACCTCAATCGCCTCTCTCACCACCAAGTCCTTCGTAATCTCCGTCCACAGATCCCCGAACCTGTTTCTCGGTTCTGCCACCGGTCGGGACACTCTATTTCTATCAATGCTAATCTTCAACGTATCTCTTTCTCTATCCATCTCCCTCTCTCGTCTCATCCCGCGTCCCATCTCCATTTGTATATCTCTCTCCCACTCCCTCTCCCGATCATAACTCCCCATACTATCCCTCTCCGGGATAAACTTGCTCCTCCTCACTCCATTATACTTCTGCCACGTAACCTCCTGGCTCCCCCCCGCGACACCATCCATCCTCACCCTCTCCGTTCCGGGTGGTACGTCGATGATCTCCCATTTCTTAGTGGCGCCGTTGTACGCCTCGCCGATATAAGCACGTTCGTCCGTCTTCCTCGCATAATACTCTGCTTCCCAATCATTGGGACGTATGCGGCGATCTCTCGAATCCCTTGCATCTCTCGCCGAGGACACAGAACGGCGAATGTCGGTGCGGGCTCTGAGGCGGTCTCGTTCGCGGTCTCGTTCGTAGATCTCGTCGTCGTCGACGAACTGGGGGCGGCCGTCACGATATCTTCGTTGTTGGCTAGGGAAAGTTAGCTTGGGTTTAGAGGGCGGGTATTGGGGGACTTACGATCGATGGACCTCAACATCAGTGTCGCCCGGCCCGGTGACTATGTCTATCTCAGTCTCTCTGATATCTCCCCGGGAGCGTTGAGACCGAAGGCGCAGAGGTGGTGTTGGGACCGCAACTGGTTGGTAACCTGAAGAACATTAGATTGTTCGTTAAGCAGTTTCAAACCCACATACCATGATCTATATGTCTATGATGCGTGATAATCTCCTGGTGAATCGGGGGTGCCCGAATAACAGGAGGCTCTCGAGGCATCCTAGCACGCGGCTCCGGAGAGCTAGACGGCGACCTTCGTCTTTCTCTCTCCCTCTCCACAACTCTTACACTAGTTCTCTCCCTCTCATGTATCGGACTCGGCAACCTTTCCCTGTCATACAACGGACTTGGCGACCTCTCCCTCTCCCTCTCCCTCTCCACAAACCTCGCCCGCCTATACACCTCTGGCTCCTCCACAATCCTCGTCCTCACACGCTCCATAGACGGCGACCTCGCCCGCGGCGGCGTATGGCGCCTAAACGTCTCCACCTTCCTCTCCCTCAAGACCAGCGGCTGGTCATCATCCACGCGCCCATAATCATCCTGCAGGAAGGCTACCTGGCGATCACGCTCCTCCGCCGCGGGTCGGCGCCATAGGTCCTCTAGGTCTCGTGATCTCAATGGCGCCGGCCGCTCCGCGAGCTGGATTGGAGCGCCGCGTGGCGGGCCGCGGTGGTAGTCCCGGTCGTCGTAGTCGTCCCGCCGTCCGGCCATAGCTAGGCAGCGACGCTTTTCAAGGCGGTGATTGAGGGGTGGTTTGACTCGAGGCTGCAGCTGAGGTCGGAGGGAGGATTTTTTTACCCAACAAAGGAAGGACGGACGCGCGGGAGGAGTCGTTTGTTCTGTTGGCAGGAGGGATTTGGGGGCGGCGGTTGTTGATGGGGGTGTGGTGTGGGGTAGTATTGTGCTGTAACCTGGTGGGTAGCAAGGCTTGGCTACCCTGTTACACCAAAATTAAGCCACAGATGGCCCAGACGAACCTGTAGTGATTAAACTTGGAAATGGCGGTCCCGGTCCAGCTGATTCTTGTCAAATCAGCCGTACTGCCTTACTTGTAAGCAAAGTAAAGCGGACCATTCATAGCAAGGAATGTGCTTGAGTGAAAGCAACCCCACCAACAAGGAACTCCAGCCGCCGCCACTTTTACGATATATGAAGTGAATATATGACAACACAGTACACTCCAACAGAAAAAGTAGCTAAATAGATACATAATTAAAAACAAATACGGAGTGGCCGGTGAGCTAATTTTTATATTCAGTAGAGCTGCAGCTATCATGCAGTGCTTTTGAAACTATTCCAAACATGGTTCTCGAATCCTTCTAGATGAAGCACTGCCGATCCATGTGCCATATTTAATAGCTTAAGTCGCCATGCCTCCATACAAGGGTGACTTCCTATCCTTATCCTCATCGCAGATGACAGCTCGTACTAAGCCGTTGGCCAAGCGCTTTAATTTCTGCAAGGCCCCTCAGTAGAAATGTGGCATCGTTTTCACATTGCAAGCCTTTGCGGGACATAAGTCCATCGCTATTTGGCTGATCGGTTCCGTGATTGGTACCTCGATGGCAATGCTGGAAGTCAGCTAATATCGGCGTAGTTGAGATAGCGCAGGTAGTAATATATCCTTTGCCACGGCTCATCAGGATTCGATTTCTGGCGTTCATTCCACCCATGGGTATGAGTGTTCTCCGACGATGACCTCTCACTTACACTTATGCCTCATAGGCTTTGGTTTTCTCTTCTTAAAAACTACGCCTCCAACAGCTTCGCCTTCTTCCTGCTTTACATCAGCGCTAGCAACAGCTGCACTTTCTGTCTGTAACAATGGCTCATCGGATGGTGGCTCCGCCTTAATACCAGCAGTCTCATCCGGCTCAGCCTTGACCAGGGAGCTATCAACTGCCTCGACCTTCGGGGTCGCCGCAGTGTCACTGGGAGGCTCTTGTTTCGTCTCCAAGGCGCCCGGATCCACTTTTGGAGCGGTAACTCTGCTCAACAACTCGTCGAGGTCATCGTTCTCTGTGTCTGCTCCGGGATGCTTTCGATACGCGGAGCCCCATTTGCTCTTCTTCGCCTGCACTATCTCCTCATCTTCATCTTCAGCAACCCGTTTCCTGACTCCAAATCCTAGAGCCTCGGGCTTTTTCTCGCCCTCCCCCTCTGGCGCAATGAGCCGTTGTGAAGTAACCTGCCACTCCCCAGGCATTGCCATCTCGCCCCTGAACTCATCGGGTATACTGATCCCTAGCTCCGCAAGTTGGGAAGCTTGTTGCTTCAGCTGTGATGGCGTCGCTTGCCCTTTTGGTATTCTTGGGGTTGGCGCGCGCCCAAATGCTGAGCTGGAGCTTTCGCCGCCAGAGCTCCCAGACGCAAGCCCGCTTAGCCTGGCGATTTCATTCTTAGCTTTATCCTTGTCCCTCTCTTCATTTTCATGTGTTCGATGTAGGTCTCGTAAGAAGCGCTTTAAATTGCCTTGATGTTTGGGTGTCGCATCGTGGTTTGCCTTTTCGAGCTTTGTGTCACGGACGTAGATTTTACAGTGCTTGCACCAGTATTTGGGCTGGTTGAACATTAGCTGAGATCTATTGAGGCAGGGTAACTCCAAACTTACTGTGCTTTTCCAATATTCGGACATGGCTGCTTCTTGAGTCGAAACTGCAGTGATGCTGTGGTTGTTGCCTCCGACGTGAATTTAGTTGACGAGGCTGATGATAGGGCGAGACGGACTTGGCGACTGTCAGGCTACAGCCGCGCGCAAGCTCCCTGTGATTAGCCAATAGTGCTAGAGGTGTCTGGGATGATGTCTGTAAGCAAGGACGACGGAGCATGTTAAATAATTGTTACGGGCAACAACACCCAGCCTCCTCTTGTCCACCTTACGCCTGAGCTCTAAACATGGCTTTAGAAGCCGCTGCCCGCGTGGCCTTATCGTCATCTGCGAAGGCCATTGCTTCCCCAGCAGCCATCTCAGCAAGAGCTATCCGACCTCTACCCGTTGGGATATCCGCACACAGAACGACCGGGTCCATTCTTCCCCAGCATAGGACTCTTCATACCTCCCCGAGGAGGCCGAGTAACAACTCTGGTCTTATGGGCCTAGGCGGCTCTTCAATTCCGTCGTCATACTTCCAACGCCCCTCGCTCCCAGCAAATACCATCATTAGATTCGTGCCCCAACAAACAGCATGGATTGTCGAGCGCATGGGAAAGTTCAACAGGATACTGCAGCCCGGCCTTGCGATACTGGTGCCATTCCTTGACCGGATAGCATACGTCAAAAGCTTAAAGGAATCTGCGATCGAGATACCGAGCCAAAGCGCGATCACAGCCGATAACGTCACACTTGACCTGGACGGCGTTCTATATACTCGGGTGTTTGATGCATACAAGGCGAGGTAAGCCGGAATTCTCATCCTTTTACAAACTCAGAACCTCATTCGTTGTGTAGCTACGGTGTTGAAGACGCCGAATATGCTATCTCCCAACTGGCGCAAACCACCATGCGCTCCGAAATCGGACAATTGACTCTCGACCACGTCCTAAAAGAGCGCACGGCGCTCAACTCCAACATCACAGCCGCCATCAACGAGGCCGCACAAGACTGGGGTGTCACCTGCCTCCGTTACGAGATCCGCGACATCCACGCCCCCGAGGAGGTCGTCAAGGCCATGCACAGACAGGTCACCGCGGAGCGCTCGAAGCGCGCCGAGATTCTGGATTCCGAGGGTCAGAGGCAGTCGGCGATCAACATTGCCGAGGGACGGAAGCAGAGTGTTATTCTCGCATCTGAGGCCTTGAGGTCGGAGCAGATTAATATGGCGAGCGGAGAGGCGGAGGCGATTCTGCTGAAGGCGACGGCAACGGCGGCGGGTATCGATGCGGTGGCGAATAGTATCGCGACTGGCAAGGAGGCCGCACAGGGAGCTGTCAGTCTCAGCGTTGCAGAGAAGTACGTCGAGGCGTTCGGAAAATTGGCGAAGGAGGGGACGGCTGTTGTCGTGCCCGGAAACGTTGGGGATATTGGAAGCATGATCGCCAGTGCGATGGCGGTCTACGGCCAAGTTGGTGATGCGCAGGCTAAGACGATGGCTGCGCGCCAGTTGGAGGCATCGAGGAAATGGGATGCCAGCGAGGAGCACTCGGGGCTGAGCGAGTCCCCTAATGAGGAGATGAAGAGGAGCATGTTGGCAGGCTTCGAGAACGCAACACACAAAAAGTAAAGAGGCTGGGATTTGGCCCAGGGTTGTAAATATAGTAAAATCGAGTCCGACGGAGCGTCACTCATCTCATTTCAAGTCTACTGTAGTCTTCTGTAGGTGTACGGTCAGCATAGGCCAGGCGCAACAATTCAAGATCATTTAATGCAATTTGGTTGAACTAATAATACATGATATGCTCTGCCTCTATCAACTGCTATGTGTTTACAATCCAAACTCCACCCCAACTTGATCGAACGCTTTTCCAATCCACTCTAAAGCCTCCTGGTCCCTACCGGCCGCTCTCACAGCTTGTGCTAAGAACGGGTACAGTCTATGCAAATGCTTCTTGCTATCACTTTCTACGCCAGGCGCATCAGGTATTGCGTCGGGCTCACATCGCAAGTCTACCAGGGCCTTCAATATCCAAAGCAGCTCCTTGCGCTGGCTTAGTGGTTGTGGCATGCAGCCCCTGAGAGGTTGATCCGCCACATATGCTCTGATAGTCACGCCTGCGCGTAATATGAAGAAAGGCGCTGCGGCCTGTGCGAGCTTGACTCGTGCTGGCGACGAATCGGTGAAGCTCAGAAGGTATACGAGCTGGTCGAGGCAGACATAAGACATTTTTGTCCTTGGAGACGGCGGAGGATCGATTGTGCGGCCTTTACGCGGAGCGTAGAGGGTGGCGAGCAATTCTTGGTTAATTTGAGGGAGTTCGGATGGAGAAGCGGCGTGGATGAAGGAGGTATGGAAGAGAGATTCGGCGAAGGATCGGCGCGTCTTGTCGGGGATGAGGTGGTTACCCAGCGAGGGTATAATGAGGTTCCGCAGGGAGATGAAGGACTGGATATCAAAATCTTGGTCACTGTTAATCGTTGCGAGATCTGTGACTGTGCTGCAATCGGCCGCCATGATCCCGTTTGCGATTTCGATAATAGAGGCCCATATTAGGCGCAGATTCTCATCGGAAATCTTAGCATCTGCTATCTTTGGAAGAGTAGCTTCGAGTATGGCGATTGCCGTGCTTGTGGCGCGTCGCCAAGGTGCTATGCTTTTAGTCTTGGTTTTGAAGCCGTATTTCAATGCGACTGGCATTGAAAGAGCCGTTAGTGATCTTGTAACGGCTCCATTGGCATATATTTCGGGGTCGGCGGCATGAGAAGTAATTAACGATTCCAATAAACCCATAGATTCTTTAGACAAGGCGATGTAAGTTGGTTTCTTGCCCGGGGCGCTCTGATCGCGGTTTTGGAATGCAAGGGACACAAAGTCGGCCACTTGCTTGATAATGGCGCCAGGAATTCCCTTAATGTCCGTACGTAACAACTTCAGAGATTCGAGAACATTCGTTTGGAGCGGGGTAAGATATTCTATATCTGCCGAATAGTTTCCAATATGAGCTTGTTCCGTTGCTTCTCGAAGAAGGTCCAGTATGCGTTGAGTTCGTTCAGTATCAACATATTGCTGCATTAGCCGGTATAGTTCTTGGAGACATGCGATATAGGCAATGAGACAATCTTGATTGTTTTCTTCTGAGCCTGAGACAAGGGGCAGCCCACGAGACCATTGGGCCCAAACCAAATCGGTGGACTCTCGTGATAGGTTTGCTGAGTCTTTCGATTCTGTATTTGTCTGGGCTAGTATTTGCCGTAAAGCCATGAATACGGCACTGTTGATATCAAGATGACCAAGCTTTAGTAGAGTATCAAAGTGGCTCAGTAATGACTGCCAGCAGTCTGGGAAGCCTTCATGGGTAACCAGAACATTGACATAGGTTGCTAGTAAATTAGCGACGCCATTTAGGACGACGATTGTTGTCTCGATCCATGCCTTTCTCTCCGTTTCGGAAGTCCGCCTGGTATTCGCACCACTCAGTTGAGACGCTATTGAAAGAAGCATCTTGAATATGACAGAGTCAAAGCACATGGACCAAGCTTGCGGGCTGAGATGGTCTCCATAGGCATCAAATATCCTCAGCAGGGTATGGATTGCACCTGCAAGTTGTAAGTTTCAATACCAACTGAATACTGGGAAGGCACATACTGTTTCTGAGCTCCAATCTCTCGTCGGTTGTAACGGTGGTCAGACGGTGCAACAAAAGTAGCCAAAGCGCGGCGTTCGAGACAGCCTGGTCATCACTCTTTGCCTTCTTGTGGAGTTGATCTTCATCGGTCGAATCGATCACATCTTTATCTAACGAAAATGACCCGCCTCTGCTTGATATAAAATCCGAAACAACCCAAAAGAATGTTACAGTCTATTTTTCGTCAGAAATAAAGGTCGTGTAAAGCCTGGGGCAATACGAAAAACTTACCGTTAAGCAGATGTTGAAGTCGTCATCTTGGGTACAAAATTGGTAAAGGGTATCAACGAGTATTAAAAAGCAAGAATTTGGCAGTGATGTAAGAAAGTCGGAACAGATTAATTCAAGAGAGTTGAAAGCTGATCGAACAAGCCTTGGGGAGCGTGTTCCTAGGAAGCTCGTATTATTTGGACGAGACGAGTCCAGGTTTTTGTCGTGCAGGAAGACGGAGTCTATGATCTCAAACGTAATGTCCCAACCAGTGATGAGGTTTTCTCCACAGTGCTCCAGAATGCTTTTGAGTCCCTCCAGTACAATTCTATGGACCTCAATGTCCGTAGGAACTACCGATGTTGATACCTTGCGATCTTCTTCTTGTAAAGGCTTCAATGCACGTCGCAATGTGTCAAGCAAGCGCCACTGAAGCGGACCTCGGACATCTTCAGAGGCGGACGTAGGGACATTGGCAGCCTCAAGGACTATACGCACGACGACTTCCGCAGCTCGCTGCCTTATAGGAGATGCGACAGCTGGCGTCGTTAGGGCGGATATAAGCTCAGAGGTCAGGATGGTCCAGCCTGATACTTCGGGGTCAAATGAAATCAGGCGATCGATATTGATACTTGCAATATTCCCCAACTTAGCCAGTGCGAAGAAATCGCCATGACTTTGGGAGGATACGGATGCCGAAGTGCTCATCACTCGCCGGTGCGTGTATGATGCCTTGCGGCTCGCTGTCGGAGAGAGGGAGGCCTTATCAATGGAATTTCTCGTTACATCTGCTTCGTCTTCTCGACCAAAGAGAATACACAAGGCGGCGACGACATGCACGAACGAATCATTCGGAAAGCTAGCAGTGCTTTCAAATAGCCTAGAGGCTGCGGTTTCAACCGCTTTAATCTCGGTGCCAAAGTTCGCAAGCAGGGCTGAGCCATCTGCACTCTGTTGTGACTCTTGCTTAAACCCTGATGAAGAGGGCGGCCGGCCAGTACCCTTACTTGAGAAAAATAAGACGAAATCTGCCTGTTGAAGGGTTTCCAAGATGATTAGCCATGCGGCATCGTCTAATGTCGGACCGAGGGCAATTCCGAGGTTGAGCAGAGCTCGAAGACAGAGTAGATTTCGCGTATTGAGTGAGGCTGGTGCAAAATCAGCAGATCCATGCCTTGTCCTGTCTGCCATGCTTGAGGCATTGCTGGCTAGGCTATCGACGCTGAGTAAACCTCTCGCATTGCTAAAAATTCCGTGACTCTCAGGGCCAGGCGTAGTCGGGGTGGACGGGGGGCCAGTTAAGCCGGTGAAAATATTCGGAGGAACGGCGGCTTTACCCAAAGTTGTGAGGAACGCATCTCTGGGTGTAGAAAGACGGAGAAGCCCCGCCACATGCGTAAATTTCTGGAATGAGCGCACCAGACCGTGGAAATATTCTGCATCCAAACATGCGTACATAAAAGTAGAACATGTGGCCAAAATAGCAGGCCAGCAACTGTCTACAATACCAGCGCAAAGTTTAACTTCGCTATATGATGCATGGTCTTCAAGTAGAAGAGGGTTGAGAGGAACAGGTCCCTTTTTGTGTGACGGCCCTCGGTCTGCCTTATTGCTCGTAGCATCAGCAATATTATCTGCTGCCTCGATGACATCCTTCGCTGCATCACTACCTCGCGGGCCTCTCTTTCTTGACTTGGAATCACTCGGAATGGTCAGAGGTAAAATAAACTTTGCGAGCCCTTCAGCGAAGCTATTGATGCAAGTCAAGGCGAGCCCATAGATATAAGAATCAGGAATCCCCGGTGGATCGGACTTGTCCAACTGATCAATGCATGGCACCCTCATGGAGCTCCACTGCACGCTAATACCAGCAGAATGTTCGTAGGGCCCTGTGGAACCACCAATTATTCCTGGTATACCAGCCGCCTCCAGCATAGCTTGATCATTTGATTCGTTGCTCGACGGATTGGCTGATGGCACAGTGGACTGGCTTCCCAGGCCAACTACGGCAGGCTTCTCCGAGCTCAGTCGAACAAAGGCTGCCATCAGGTCGCCCAGAATCTTCTTCTTCCCTGGCTGTGCATCGTATAGCGAAAATATCTCCCTGGTAAGAGTTGCGTCTGCAAATATTCCTCTAAAAACTTCCAAACACAGAGACCGCCGCCAAAGCGTGGAGTCATGATCCAGCATATGAGTTAGCAACCCCACAGCCATTTCGCTCTCTAGAACAAGGATCCGAAGGTGTCTCCGAAGCAATGTGTACAAAATCCGTGTAACCCGAACTGTCGTGGGAAACGTTAACTTCTCGGACATAGAGCTGATAATGAAAGACATAAGTCTCGTGCGAAGGACATTTGCCTGCTCCGGGTGTTCCAAGAAGACATCGGCATGGTTGGTTAAAATCGATTCAATCAATTCTAACACAAAGGTTTGCGGGAGGCCGGCGACTTTCAGAAACTGTGGCTTTTGGGATTCTGTCAGGAGACAGAGGTCGTTGAATACTCTGTAGGCATCAAAGGCAGACGCCCTGACTTGAACTGTTCCCTTTTCTACCGGCGCCTCGGCAATAGTAGGAATTTCGAGAAGGACCCCATCTTCAGTAACGACCTTATCAAAGACTGTAACTACCAGTTGCTGCAGAGTTGCAGCTGCGGTGTTGTTCACAATACCATTCTTGCTCGCTTGGAGAATGGTGCAAATATTCAAGACACTCGCCAACAGCTCGCCCTGAATATCTTTCCCATAGTTTTGAAGCAAGGAAGGAAGAGCTTGCAATAGCTTCAACTGGACATCTAGCCCTGACGAAGTTGCTTCAAGGAATGCCTTCAAGACTTCCTTCAGCCTGAACCTTGGGAGCCCACGTGACACAACAAGTCTTTGCAAGCAAACAACTGCAATGCCCGTGAATTTTGCATTCTTCGTTCCGCAAGCAATGAGAAATGGGGTGACAAAGTTGACCCTTTGGCTTAGATCTAGTTCATCTATGTCAGCTGTGTGGTTCAGTAAAGAGAGGGGGCTGATATACCAGCAGCTACCTGTGCTTCGGACGTAAACCGTAACGATTTAAGCTCTTCTAAAGAATGTTCCGCGGCCTTTGTGTGGTCAGCTGTGCTCTCGCCAATATCAAGTGGTCTTCATCGCTGTATAGCTCGCGAAGCTAAAGGGGACATACTGTACGGAGCTCGGTGTGCTTTCTCTTGCTCTCCTGGATGAGATTGGAAAGCTCCGAACTAAGAATCTGCAACGACATCTTGCCTATTTCTTCCCATGCCTTAGATGGTAATGGCGCCTCTACCTTTCCATGTTTTATAAGTTGTGAATTTACCCAAACCTGGCCTCTTCCTACACAAGGTACCACGCCCTGAGATGTTCATGCCTTGTTTTTGTGCCTTATATATAAGGTCTGGACGCGATTCCACAAGTACCACCAGCCTTGTGTGTACCCGCCTCGGCTCGGTTTCAAACGGCCTTGTCTGACTCTACTTCAATCTACGACTTCCAGATCGAATAGAAGTGGTAAGAAGAACCCCTAATATTTTAGAGTATTCAGACAAAGATACTAACGCGAATTTTTACCTTCAGGAATTTTGCGCGGCGGTCTCTCAAACTCTCAATAACAACATACATCAGCTATCATGGGTGCCAAGGTCCCAAGGAACTTCAGGTTGCTGGAAGAACTGGAGAAGGGCGAGAAGGGTCTTGGAGCAGGTATGGAAAGCTAAATTAATATGCTTGGGAGTTTGACTGACAGCTATCTTTAAGAGGCATGCTCATACGGTCTTGCGGAGGGTGATGACCTTCTCATGTCGAACTGGAACGGGACAATCCTGGGTCCCCCACACGTATGGCCAAACCCTTCTTTCCTGGGTCTCTAAATATGTTCAATACTAATACTGTACCCTCCAGAGCGTGCACGAGAACAGAATCTATTCGTTGAAGATGCACTGCGGCGAGGACTACCCCGACAAGCCACCGGCGATCCAATTTATCAGCGAAATCATCCTGCCCTGCGTCAACCCAAGGAATGGACAGGTCAGCCTCATATTGTACATATATCCTTGGCCTCACTGACTTATTGCTTTATAGGTCGATCCCTCCAAGCTGCCATGCCTGGCTCAGTGGAAGAGGGAATACACCATGGAGACTGTTCTGATCGATCTCAGAAGGTGGGGTCACACACATCACCTATTCCATGGATAGTTTACTGACACAACACAGGTATATGGCGCACCCTGCACACAAGAAGATTCCTCAGCCGGCCGAGGGTTCAACATATGCTTTATAAATATGATTTCGGGCTGCTATGCCGAAGCACTAGCTGTAGCTGGGTTCTCAGTGGGTGTTGGATTGTTGCGATTTCTTCTTTTTGCAGGTGCATCAGCGTGGCGAAACTGGTTGGCAAGCGTAAACGATCTCGTGAGATAGCAACTAAACAGAGCTAAGATCAATAAGCCATGACATTGTAAACTACTTGATATTGAAGTTGTGCACGTGATGCGTGGCCGCTTGTGGGCCCAGTACTCTATGAGCAGCCGCGAATTTATATGTTCAGCCTTGTAGCTTGGAGCACGTACATATAGCCACAACGATTCACACCACCAACATATAGCCACAACGATTCACACCACCAGATGAATGCCGAAGCAATTCGTTCCACATAGGCGTGGGCCACACCGCATTGCCTGTATGTACAAGACGATCATATATTTATCTATATAAATACTAACATTCAAGCTAGGCATCGCTCTCTACCGAGCCCTTCTCTCAAAATGCCGTCAGATAAAAGTACCAGCGAGCTTCAACAGAGGCCCCGTCCCCCCCATAAAACACCTAATCCGCCGACAATTCCGTCGCAATGTCCATGTCACCAGCGGCCCCCTCGTAGTCGCAGCACTACGAGTCGGATATGAAGCCGAAGAACTCCTCCACACCGCCACCACCGGCTCCGGCGCCGCCCACTCCAAGATCCTCGACCTCCTCCGCGGCGTCCAAGCCCAAGGCGACGCCACACGCCTCGAGAACGCCGAGAACCCGCCCCTCCCGCCCCCGCCTCCGAGGCGCATACCAGGGCCCTACCCCGGCGTCACGCCCGTCCTCGAAAGGCAACCTCGCCCCAAATCGCAGCTGACGGGTCGTCGATATGTCCCTAAGCTCGTGAGTGCGAATTCGATACCCTTCCTACGGTTCAAGAAGCCGCAGAGCCCGTTCCTGTCGCAGGTGCTGAATGGTAAGATTAAGTTGCGGCAGAAGCGGAATAATCATTTGGAGAGGTTGGGGGGGTTGCTGGATATGACGAGCTGGGAGCAGATGTGGGATGAGGAGTTGGGGATGGTGGAGGGGGAGCACTGGAGCGCGGCGACATATCGTGAGAAATTGGGTGTTGAAAATGCGCTCGAGAAGGCTAGCGAGGCGAATGTTGTGATTGCACGGAAGATGCTGGCTATTGTGGATGAGGAGCAGAGGCTAGCTGATATTGAGAAGAGGGAGTGGCTTAGGGAGAAGCGAAAGAGGTATAGGCATAGGAAGCGGGAGAGGGATGAGGCTCTCCAGGGAGAATTACCAAAGCACTGAGTAGTGGCTATCCGTATTCATTCTTAGAGCGGTTGGCATGAGTAAATAGCCTATCAGTCAGACTGTTAGATGCTTGGATACCACTTTAATTGTAAAATATACGTATGTACAATAACTTATTTCCAGCGGCTTATGCTCCGTAGTTGATTCATTAGTTGAAGTTGCTTGGAGAGCTGATGGTGATCTACAGTGCAACCACCCATATTGTTACATTTGAGCCCATACCCCTTGTCGGCCTTTTCCCTGGCCATACTATAAAACCGCCTCAAACGCCAAAACACTTTCCTCCAAAAAACCACATGCCAACCCCTGCCCAAATTCAAATACACTCGTCAAGTTTCCTCATACAACAAGGGTTGTTTCTAATACTCGAAAGCTTCCCCAATAGTCCTCCGCAGAGCCCGATCGACATCCCGGGGCCTAAATCCCGGTGCTCTACCAAGGCAAACCCCTTCTCTAGATATATCTATAAATAATCAGCAATTGCTCACTTCTCCTATTTGAAAGGGTTATACTCGCGCCGTACCAAGGTCGCAACACTGAGCGTCACAAGCCGTAGGGAATTTAAAGTCGACGATGACGACCCGTTATCATATCCATCCAGGCTCTGTTTACCAGGTCCTGCGTCAAAGATCGGCCCTCTGAGGTCAAATGCGTTCAGAGCTGGCGGCTGCTTGCTATTGTTGCTATTGTTGCTACCGTCGTTGTTATTTACGAGGTTCGGAGGGGTTGAAATCGCCCAATTCGAGGCGGCATTCTCATACATTGATCCAGATGTGAAATCGATCGTCATCTGGATTTCCTCCATTACCTCCTCGAATGTTTGTGTCTGCGGAATTTGTTCTCCAATCGAGGTCCCCATAGCGCTAGGGCTCAGCGGTGTTCTAGGTGAAATAGAACTACTGGTGCCATTGCTGAAGTTGGTAGGTACCGGCGCAGCTGGCATGCCCTCCAGTGAGATCATGTCCAAATTGACAGTAACATATTCTGTATGTGGCGCGATGTTGATACCCTTGCCTCTCAGGTAACTCTCCACATCGTTAGCGTCAAAGTATTTCCCTTCAAATCCTTCCGCGCTGCAAGTGAAGTTATCGATCATATGTTTCTCCCGCGCCGACATAGCATCAGTCGTAAGAGGCCCTATTGATCGGCCCGTCCTAACTTTCGGCATCAGATTACTCGAGATATCCTCTTCGGGCAGCGGATAATACGTCCCCGACCCGCCAACATGCACGAAGGGTGCTGACCAAAGATTCAGCAGTCCTTTAGATGAGCTGCGTTCCAATTTTTCGACCAGCGACGCCAGTAGCTGTTCTTTGGTCCGAAAAAGGAGTGAGAACCCAAACACTCTCTTAAGAATTAGGGGGTTCGAGTGAGGGTTCGTGAGAAGCCGAAAGCCGCGTTCGTTCGAGGTACGATGAAGGCGCCGTGCGAAGCTGGTCTCAAGGCTTGCGAAAGAGGTTGGTGAGGTGAGGACTTGATCGTTGCCAAGTCCGAGGTTGAACTGGTACGGGTTCATGCGAGAGGCTTCGGCTCGCAATTGATCCATATCGGATTCAGTCAGCTCACAGACAAAGTTGTCATCGTCGGGATTAGGCAGACTATTAATCTTCCCTTCCACTGGCAGTTGGTTGGGAAGGGGCATTTGGTTGAAAGTTTGCTGGAAAGAACATTCATCTTCATCTCTGTGGCTTGGAGAGTCATTGCCCCAAGCTGATCTACCAAGAATTGGTATGACCTTTTCCGGAGGGCTCAGTGTCTCTGATTTTGGCCTCTTGGAATTAGGTTTGACAACAGCGATTTGGTTGTCAAGGTCCTTTTCATCGGCGTGGCTAGAGTCGTCATCGTGGCTGGACTGATCTGCAGCAGCTGCCTTGCTCAGTTCCAGGACTCGCTGAGTTGTCGCCTGTAATTGCCGTGCAAAGTCGGGTTCTCGGTGGAGGACACCTTGCGAGGAGGCAAAATCATAGAGCCCGAGGAAGGCATTATTCATTGCTTCGGCCGTACTCTGTAGCTTCTCGACCTGTGTTTCTAGAGACGATATGGTTGTTTCTTTTCTGTAGCGATAGGCTCGCTGTGCCAGGCGAATCTGTGTCCGACGGCGCTATGTTTAATGTCAGTACATTATTTGCGTAAGAGCACACGAGACTATTATTTATTCTCATAATCCAAGGTAAAATATGGGGTGCCTCCTAGGCCATGAGCCGTTACCATCTTCGGAGTATATGGTATGCATATAATGACTTGGAGAAATATAAACACCTACGTCTGCAGCTGTCTCATCCTTAGTGTCAAGCCTCGGGCGCCCCCTCGACTTCTTGGACCCATCATCCTCATCTCCATCTTCGTCCTCGCTCAGTTTCTGCTTCTTCCTCCTCCTCCCACCCTTATCCTCATCTTCCCCCGTATTCGCACCCCTCGCCTTCCTCGCCTTCCTAGTCTTCGTCATCTCCTTCACCTCAACCCTCTGCGCCGCAACCCTCGGCACATTCACCCTCCTCTCCGTCACAGCCTCAAACCCTCCGGTCATCCCAAATATATGCGGGTCCGACCCTGGTCGCTGCCTCGCCAGCTCCGTCATACTGCGCGCAATCGACACAGCAGCCTCATCATTGTATGTCTCGGCGTTCAGAATCTCCATCTGGTCTATAATACTAGATCCCTCGCCGGCGTTGCCAATCTGGTAGTTCTGCCTCGGCATCGTGGGTTCTAATCGCAGCCTTGGCGCTAGTGCTCCAAAGGCGTCGGCGGGCTCGGTACCTTGGAGGATGAGGCGGAGATTTGAAGCCTGCGCAGACGGTCCACAATCAGTGGGATGGATTCATGGTGAATGGAAGCTGTTGTAGCTCTGTATCGTTGAGGATTTGTAATGGGGAGGGGGTCTGAACCTTGTCGATTACTGATCACTTTCTCACCTCAGCCAATGTCAACGGGCTTTGTTTCGATGACTAATGGTCCAGCAACCTGTCAAATCGTCGGCGCCCCTCGACTTGGTGGGCGTTGAGGGGCGTAGGGAGGGGCTTATTTGAAACCAAGCAGTGGCTGAACACGTGAATCAACATCGGGCGGCTGTCGTTTTGTTGATTCATGTAAAGTAAGCAATATCGTAATGGCATCGTATATTGTCTCAACGCATAAATCGGAACGAATTGTTGCGAATGGGCCAACATCCACGATCAAAAGATCACGTAACTTGTCTCTGCAGGGGCGTATCATGAGTCGAAAATCAAGCTTCTATTCCTGAAAAGCAAATATCATATCCCTCCCTAAAAGCCATTCTCTTCTTCCTCATAGTAGCTATCTTACAACACGACATCGCAATCAAAAAAAGAATTCCAGCTCTGCGCCATTTCCGTCCATGCATCCCATCGCACGTCCAACGCCGCCGTAAAAAGAAAAATAATAAAAGCCCGGGTGGTTAATCTTATGTGCAACTGCAAGCCCCCCCTTTCCCAATCCACAGATTCCCCCCCCAAAAAAAGCCCAATCCTCGTTCTTTGCCCATTAAATGCCGAAAAGCCAATTGCCCCAAAAAAACACCCCTCCCCCTCCCCCTCCCCCTCCCCCTCCCTAGCTGCAGCAACCAAATCCAGGCGCGAATGAAACTTTGCTTCTGTGGTTTTTGAAAATCCTCATATCCGTCATTGTGTGTGCTGCTCTAGCTTTTCTTTCCCAGATGTCGAAATGAAGACCGGGTATCGTTACGTCTATGCAAAACCAAAGGAAATCCTACTCTCGCCATTTGTATGCATCGATATATTGTACAGAATTAAAGACCCTGGTGGGAGTGGTTGTCGACAACGCTGTCGGAGAGGTTGATCAGGAGCTGGGCGAGGCAGCGCTTCGTGGCAGCGTCGTCGCGGAGGACGGAGGAGAAAGTGGCGTCGCGAAGTGGCTCTGGGAGACACTGGCGGAGAGCCTCGCGGGCGCGAGCATTGTCACTGAGGCTATATATGAGTTTAGCATTTGTGGAACGTATTGGTAGACAGTACTGAGGAGCTCACCGGAGGAAACAGCGGACAACGTGCTTCAAGAGCCGGGCAGTTTGCTGCTCCACGAGCTGGTTGACCATGTTGCTCAGAACAGTCCCAACAGCGTAGAAGCGCTCGTAGGTTGCGCAGATGTAGTTCAATCCATGGTCGTCAAGAAGGATCTTCTGCACGATAAAAATGGCGACAGTTTTGCTCAATTCGGAGCCGGTCTCCATGATCCGCAGGCAGAGTGGGATAATTTCTGTCGTGAGAAGAAAGTTGATGACATCCGAGCTGTCATTCTTGACCAGGGCGCCGATGACGCCGAGGGAGGTCAGACGGAGATATTCGAATGGCCGCGATTTGGAAGTCGTGTTCAGGAATGGGTATAAAAATAGCGGGATGTGAGCTATAGATTGAATCAGTCAGTCTCCTTCATTGGAAGCGCGGGAAGCATTCATACCATTGAGAAAGAGAGCCCTGGTCTCGTTGTGCGACGCCACGCACTGGAGCAGAGCAAGCGCGTTACAGACACGGTTGGATGCGGCCGCAGTCAATTGCGATGGGTTGAGTAACGTATAAACGGAGATGATCTCCTGCAACAGCGAGGTCATGACACCTGCGATGCCACGTTAGCAAGGACTCCAATCGTCAGATTTAATTCATCAGCTTACCAAAAGAGTGCCAGAGAATCAGCGCCAACTCGGGGACCTGCTCGCGCTTCTTGCTCAATTCGAGCAATGCGCTCTCGCGAGTGTCCTCGTTCAACAGCTCCGCGATCCAGACCAGGACTCTCCGGTTCTCCTCAGTAACACCATCCATCATTGCGCTCTCCTGTGCGTGACCTGGCAGGTGTGAAGGAACAGATGCATTGTGTGTCGCCTGGATGCGGTTGTAGTGAGCTGCACTCGCGTGGGCGGCAGCTGCTGCTTGAGCCTGGTGGTAAGTTTGCTGGTGGTTGTGCTGGTTCAACCAAGCCGCCTCGTTGTGGCCAAAGTTTTGGTGCGAGAACACGTGGGCTCCTTGAGAGAGCATCGTAAGAGTTTCGGTACGCTGATGTTTTGTGGATGTGGTTGGTGGTCTTGGGAGGAGGGGCTGGTTGTCGTCGTTGGTGTCCGTTCGGTCGGCTCTTTAGCTGAAGGTAGATCGTTGAGATGAGGCTACCACGCTACGGCGGCATGTACAGTTCAAGCCTGAGCACCTGACTGGCCGAACAATGAACGGATAGCGTATAATAAGCGTCTCGTTAAGACAATGGGGGTTGTAACCGAGGCGCTACTGGGAGGCGGTGAGCCGGATGTGCTGGACCGTGCTGGACCGTGCGACTGTGAGTGGCAGGGCAGAACAGGGACAACGGCGACATTGAAGATTCGATATGTGATAGACTTGTGGTCTGAGCGAGATCTTTAAAAATAATATATATATATTGATAAAAGAGATGGAAGATGTCTTTGAACTTGTGTATATGTGGATAGTTGATCTGGATCGGGAGTTTGTAGGAAGGATGGTTGGTTTTGACTGGCGAAATAGTATTTATATTAGTCCACCAGTGAATTTAGATACCTCAAACACGTTTCTGGCAAACAAGATTAAGAATAAATTCACATGAAATACCACAATCACAGGTCAGAGTCTAGTAAAAGAGCAATATTAAGTAAATACCACTCTCTGCTACAAGAAGTCAGGTTGGCTTCACCATTTACTCCAAGCTCAGCGTATTATACCACCCTGAGCTGCACAGCTAAGACAACACGCATATCATGGAAATCACACTCAAACCCCCGAATAAAGATCATTACTATATTTCCTACGGCAATAGCCGATCATTACGCTCCTACGACCCGCAATATCCCATTCTTTCTGTATACTCCGAGGCATCGTAACCTATAAGACGCCCCAACAAATGTGTGCCAAAGGCTGGACGAGAAAAAGAGTAGGCATCTGAACGCTCAAATAACCACATCGTAATATGCAGTGACCAGGCAGAAAGTAGAAGAAAAAAAATAGCAAATGTGCACGACTCAAACATAGAAACTCGTTGATCCGTTGTGTCCATAATGGAATCTTGATCGTCTGCAAAAGGAAAAAAACAAATCGTCGCCCCGATACCGCCGTTCACTCATCACCGTTTTCGTTCGTGTTGCCCCGTCGACTTAGAGTTGAAGCTCTTTCGAAATTTGATTGGCTGTAATCTGGTCTTGTCGTGTATCGCCAGTTCGCTTCTTAGTGTTGAAGCTCTTTTTAAATTTGACCGGCTATGTTATTATATCGCCTTAGTGGCGAAGCTCCTTCAGAATTCGATCCGCCATATTCTTGTATTGTCGAGTTCGCCAGGTAGCCTCTTAGAGGCGAAGTCCTTCAGAATTTGATCTGTCATATTCTTGCATTGCCAACTACCGTCACTTAGGCCCTTAGAGGCGAAGCTCCTTCAAGATTTGATCCGCCATATTCTTGTATTGCCAAGTACCCCCAGTCAGTCTCTTAAACTGGATTCCGTGCAGAGAGAACAGTGGAACCTTGACAATCAATATCTCAAACTCAAGAATCATGCTGCCACCAAGATCGCTCTGGACATGGGTGGTAGTCTCTCCCGCAGCTCTCCTCGACGAGCTGCGTTGCTTAGATCGGCCAATGCTATCATCAGATACGTCCGAGTTGGAATAGCTCACATCTGCAGCAGCACGTCGGGAATTCTTTGGTGCTGGAGCAATTCTCTCAACATCTCTATATTCATCACGCTCTCGATCATTGCCGCCGCCCAAGGTAAACCCACCAAAACTGATGCGACGACGGTGTGAGGACCCCGGAGGTTGCAAGTTCTGGGAGCTGGAAGGAACATCAACCACCTTCTTCAAGTCGATGCTGGGCATGTGGCGACACTGGAATCCTCCCCGAATCTCTTTGTAATTCACGTTGAGTTGATTCAAAACGCGAATGATATCCGTTCTAATAGTGTTGACAGGCTTCGTCGAGGTGGTCGACACACTAAAGAGACCCTTCAGGAATACGGGTCTCGCGTTTTCGGCATTGCCATAGCTATCGCCGTTATTATCGGATACCTCCAGACTGGCCTTCTCTGGGATGTCCTTCTCCTTTGCCTCCTCGCGTCTGGCACGGCGAGCTTGGATGCTCTCTCTCCTGGCGTGGCCGAGCGATTTCGCTCTGTTAGTTCCAGAGCGTGGGGCTGCACTCTGGTCCTCATCGCGAGACTTCTCATTCATGGAAATTCCACTTGCAAGTGAGTGGTCTGAACCGCTTGTTGCTGGTGGCTCTTTGTACGTCACCCGCAGCTTAGGGTCACGGTCTTCATGGCGTCGGCGGTATTCTGCTGAGTTGACGCTTGTAGATCTTCCGATCATCTTGCCTCTCCTCACGCCGTCTGCTGTTTGTGGTGGAGTCAGCAAGTCACGGTCCTGACGGTTGCTGGTGCTTGAAGGCAGAATGGTGCTTGATTGAGCGCCACGGTCGCGTTCTCTAACACGACGAATACTGAAGCTCTTTCTCGGTGTAGTCGGTGCCTCACTTGGCGATCGCACTGTTACAACTGGGGGATAATGCTTGTCAATATTTCGCTCAGGTGTATCCTTGCGTTTACGTGTGCTGAATCGCCTAAGAAGGCTGGTTGCAGCACTCTCCTTCTTCAGTTGCCCGCCTGGCGCATCAACGGCAGCTGGAGAGGTAGGTCCGCTTGCTCCTCCAACCTTCAAGTTCTTCATGGATTCGGTAACATCTTCTTCGCCATGTGTTCGTGCACGGGCGCGAGTTCTTCCTCCAGTTGCCGCCTCACCTGGCATTTCATACGCTGCCGTATTGGTATGTGCAGCCTGAGGGGGAGCAATCTCAGCCATTTGCAGAGGCGCCTCATTTGGAGAACGTGGCAGGCTAGTAGCCCCTGGATTGGCTGCTCTACGATCCCTATCTTGCTTCTCACGAACCAAGTAGTAGACGGATATCAGAGGATGGAATGCATTTATCGGGTCGTTGCCCAATTGCAAGCCTTCAGTCGAAGGTGTTGTGAGTGTGTCCTTGCTATTTGTGGAGCTTCTGCGCTTGTAGAAGTCAAAACCAAATCCTCTCTTCTTCTCAACGTCCCTCGGAGTTTGCGATCCCTTGTCGCGGGCGGCTAGTCGAATACCGCGTTGGTAGTCGTCAGACTCAATAACTTCCGTTAATTGCTGGTGGATAAGTTCCGGCGCACCGAAATCAAATCCTGTCATGGCATGTACCACCTCAGGATCAAGAGGAAGTTGAATTGGTTCGCGTGCGGGGAGATGGTTTTCTGGAGGGAAGCCAAAACCCTTGAGTATCCACGGATGATTCATGATTTCATGAAGAGTGGCTCTTTGTTTTGGGTCTGTTACAAGCATCCGTGAGATAAGATTTTTACAGTCTGACTTTTGTTAGTGGATGGGCATGTTATAAGAACGGGAGAAGCTTACCAGAACTGAGCCAACTCGGGTACTCGACAATGCCCCTCTTGATTTTGGCATGCAGAGCTTGCATACTCTGGTCATCAAATGGAACTTTTCCACACACCAGAACAAACAAAACAATCCCGAAACTCCAAATGTCAACCTCAGGGCCGGTATACGCCTTGGCCTGCAGCAATTCTGGTGCCGCAAAGTAAAGACTGCCGCAGAATGTTTTCAGGTGTGATTTTGGTGCAAACAAGTTGCTCAAGCCGAAATCGATGATTTTTATATCACCTGTCTTGCTTATGAGAATGTTCTCGATCTTGAGATCTCTATGGATGATGCTATTGCGGTGACAATAGTCAAGAGCACTGGAAATTTGGCGTGTGAATTTCCTCGCCAGCTTCTCCTTCAATTTACCATGAGAGATGATATAGTCGAGCATTTGGCCTCCATTGACGTATTCGAATAGCATATACCAATGGTGGCTCGTGCGTACGATATCTCGCATGCTGCATATGTATGGGTGGTCGAGGAGCGTCACGATTGCGGCTTCTCTAGCAGTGCGTACCTCCTTGGAGCGTTCCGCACGCTCGCGATCAGCCCGGCTCTGCTGCTGGGATTCATCGGGGGTCGAGCCGCGGGGAACGATCTTGACAGCAACCTGCAGCGAACAGTTAGTAACCTAGTGATAATGTCATGGGCTATCGTTTCGTTACCTCTTCTTGACCTTCTACACGTCTCGCTAACTTCACCTTCCCCATACTTCCCGAACCAATGGTCTTCCCCAGGATCCAGTTACCTGTCTGAGCGGGTATCACAGTCCTCGATCTCCCTTGTCTCGTGGCCTTTTGTTCCACGGGGACCACAACTGGCGCTGGGCCAGCGGCACTCGAGCTACTAGCTGCGCTCGCCATATCTGAGGTGGGATGATGGCGCGACGAGCTCCTGGTATGTCCGCTTCTCGTCGACTCTGTCCGAATATGGTTGGTACGATCGGTGGACCTCTTCCTGCTTGGTTGAGCTACGTTCGTTGTCTCATAGTCTTGTTGCGGGAGTATCTCGTCCACGCGTCGCGAGGTCGGCCGTGAATTCGAGGAGTGGGCGCGAACTGGGCTGGGAACAGCAGCAGAGGGTCTCGATCTCGTCGACTGAGTCCGGGATGAATTCGTATACGATTGACTGTCGCGCCTGGAAGACCCCTGCCCCTCACGTCTGGATGTGCCCTGTGCTTCAACTGCACTGGGAGGAGCTGAGGCGGTTGCTGACATTGTTAGCCAGCGGCGCCGCTGAAGATCAATGTAGCCAAGCTTCTCGCGGTGCCGTATGTACTCGATATCAAGATCGAACGAGACGTTTAATGGAAACGAAAGCCTGATATGCTATCGCGACAGGTGTGGTTGGTTTGCAGCTGGGCGTCATCAACGTTGCATGGTTTGTGGTGGATGTTGCTATAGCCCAAGGTAGGTTGGCAAGGTTGGCAGACGCAAATGCGGGTCAACGGTAAGCGTGGCAGTTCAGTCGTGGCGTTTCTTGACACTTAAAGTCTGATTTACAGTTGGGATATAGGCATTATTTCAAAGGAGCTTCACATAAAGGAGACATAGATCAAAATGTGTCTCTAAGGGCTAGTTTCATGCTCGATGGCATTCCGAGATGGGACCTGACATGCTGTCGTGTCGTACCTTGGCACAAGACGGACAAAGCAACCCAAGATCCTCACCCGACACAACTGGTTACTTGGCGTCCATCCTTGAGAGTCAACGGGATACTTTGCGCTACCACATATTAAGCCAATAATAAAATAATTTATGCTATGCAGCATGAGCCTAGAAATGCCAACTATCTGCCTTGACTAAGTTTCATTTTCCTATAGCTCCCATTGTTTCCCAAATAGATTCAATAGTACTCAAACTTCCTGAGCGCGCTTAAAGCGGCTAAGATAAGGACGTGAATCGCACTCCAGCAAGGTCAGGCAAAACGAAACATTTGTCAACCGCATTCATGTCGAGAAATGTCCGTGAAACGAACGCGCGCCGCCTACGAGTCTGACTTACGGGCCAAGCAGAGCCCGTTTGTAGCTTATGGCACTCCGCTTCCTCCGCTAGATCCTGATGTCCGGGATGACGGGTCGTATGTTCCTGTTTGGAAGCAAGAGGTGACGGATGAGAGAGGAAGGAAACGTCTACATGGAGCGTTCACAGGTGGATTTAGCGCAGGGTATGATTCTTCGTCTTCGCCTGGCTGAACTGTTACTGACTGTATATTATAGCTACTTCAACACTGTTGGATCGAAAGAAGGATGGACTCCATCCACCTTTGTCTCGTCACGATCGAGCCGCAAGAATGGCGAAACCAAGATAATAGAACGGCGGCCTGAGGATTTTATGGATGAGGAAGATCTTGCGGATGCCGAAGAACACCAGAGAGTCCTCACAGCCGGGGATTTCACTGCATTGGGCTCTACGGAAGGTGAGGTCATGAAGCGTGGAGGCTACATGGACCTTTTCAAAACAGAGGGCGAGACAATGGGAGTCAAACTTCTGAAGAAAATGGGATGGCGAGAAGGTCAAGGGGTGGGACCAAAAATTCGAAGGGCTGCGCGGCTGGGCATGGAGATTCCAAGTGCTGGCCAGTCCCAAGAGGAGCATCTTTTTGCGCCAGATAATACGCCAATGATTACATTTATTCGAAAGATCGATCACAAAGGGTTGGGGTTTGCTGGCTCGGCCAAGCTGGGAGAAGAAAATCAAAACAATGCTGTTTCTAAACCGGAAGTCGACAGGGGGGAAGTGTTTGGAACAACCCGGCCAATGACAACCAAGAAGGCAAAGAAAGCAGTTCGCGGTGGTATCGGCATGGGGGTGCTAAACGACACTGGCTCTGATGACGAAGATCCATACGAAATTGGCCCTAAAATATCATACAATAAAGTTATTGGCGGCGACAGGAAAAAGAAGAATCCAGTCATTAGTGGCGCGGCCAAGCCGGTGTTCATTTCTAAAAAGGCAGCAGCAGCAAGGGCATCTCTGGGATTCCGGAAATGTCATGATGGGCGCCTTCCTCTAGATGGATTCGTATTGGGCAGTGGGACGGACTCCGTCGACGTCACTTCGATGGATAAATATCGACCAGTCGAAGTTCCTCCAGATTGGACTTCTGCAAAAACAACAACCGCTGCCTCAGGAGCATCTGATTATATATCAACTGCAGATACCGCCAGAGCCTCGACATTAGACCCGAAATCGCGTGCAGCGTTACTGGGCGAGACACCTTTGCCAGGGAAGTCCGTTTTCGACTTCCTCTCCAAGTCCGCCCGAGATCGAATCGCCTCAGCATCAGGGAAGACAAACCTGCCTGCAGCTCTAGGAGAAGTCCCAGAGGGTTATGTTCCACCACCTGAACGTCGTCGAGAATCGCCTGGTCAAATTCCAAATATTGACATTGATGTCGCCGTGGCTGCACTGGGCCGGAGTGGGAGTGGTTGGATGCCATATTCCGACAACGAAGAAAAACGGTCACGGTATAAAATTTACTTGGAAATACAAGCAGGCATTAGAGACGGGCTTCCTGAGAAGGAACCTGGGGTGGCAAAGGAGGACTGGATTAGGGAACTTCAGGAGTTTGCACATAGTGCGCAGATCTTCAAGCCGATGGCTGGAATGATGGCAACCCGGTTTACTTCCTCGTCCTCAGCACCTACCACATCTGAAGGCGCTGCGAACAAATCTGAGACTCTACTCAGTAAGCCGCAGCCAAAGCAGGAAGATCCAGCCGAAGCCGCGGCCAAGGCTGGTATGTTTGGGCGCCTGACGAGATCAAAGGAAGATTTCTACCCAACTAGGCTACTGTGCAAGAGATTTGGGGTTCGCCCTCCGGCTCATGTACAGCCAGACCCCGAGAACGAAAGGGCTGGTGGGAAAGATTCTGGTCCAGCGACTAATACCGGCCAACCTCCCCGGGCCTCGGAGTTGATTTCGAAGTCTGATATCGACGATTTGATCAGGGAGTCTGGTGGCCGCAACCAACACTATCAAACTGCGACTGGCGGAGATGTAATACCACTGGTGGAACGGCCTAGGGAAGTTGTGGTTGATACGGAACGGAACGAAGCATTAGAAGGCGAAAGGCCCGGAGAGGCCGTGTTTAAATCAATTTTCGGTGATGCTAGTGATGAAGAATAAATATTCATTGTTTGGTATCAAGAAAGTTGTCCGTTGCTCCATGCTGTGATTGATACCGCCCGCACGCCTCTATTATGACCGCCTGGGTTACCCACATCCTCGCCGTCCCCGCCAATCTCCCTACAACATCGTGGCAGCCGTCGAGACCACCAGACCCAGCACCACTAAACCAGCCCAACCGCTCGACCTCCTCAACATCGTCGCGCCTGAACGCTCATCACACTTCAAGCCAACGAAAACCTGGGTTGGCTGCTCACTCTTGTAGTTCTTGATGCACTCCAGCATCTTTTCGGATTCCTCCTCATCCTTGCCCCTGCAGTAAGAAAAGCAGCCATGATGCCTCTTGGCGAAATGTCAAGATCGCCGTTAAACTGATCTTTTAGGGCATGTTATGACTTTTACAATATCCGCTTCCTTGGATCTTTGGCTGATACAGTGCAATTGGAGGTTTCAGCACACCTGGCAGTCTATTAATAGTGTATAGTTTGTATAGTATGATTGAGGGCTGCTTTGGGTAAATTTGTGAATAAAAGATAAAGAGTGGATCGGTGATCCAATGATTTTTGTGGTGACCCCTATAATGTGTGATGGCGAATGAGTTTTGATAGGTGAGGTGTGTGCTAGAAAGTAGTTTAGTGACAGACCTCCGATAGACTTTCAATGACGGCGGCTACAAGTGGCAGGGGTCCCACAAATTGGCCAAGCACCAAGCAACACCAACGCCATATCAACAACAAGCGAGGCAAGCGATAGGAGAGAGAGAGACGCAGCTAGAGAGCTCACCGGCAACAACTACACAATAACACCACCACCCCCAACCCCGTCAATACACCTGGATATATATGCCCATTTGATACCCCGTTGGTATAGAACCTCGCGCATCCACCCAAGCGATATCTTTTACCCATCAACATCACATCCGATAATCCAGCCGCGAGGCCCAACCCATCGACTCTAAACCCCATCTCCTCCCCATCGGCCACGACGTTGTCAGACACGCCCGACGCCCGCGCCGGCCCCGTTCCCATCGGCCACGGCCACCGCGCGCAGCACGACAAGTCGCAGGAGGAGCAGTCGCGAATTGAGCGCAGCACGCCGTCTTCACCGCCGCCGCAGTACCCGCAGGAGTCAGAAGGAGCCTCATCCTCGGTCCGACCCTGTTCTCGCAGCCCACCACCATTTTCGGTGCACGACAATTACTTCTCGTCCACCGCCGCCGACCCTGGCACCGCTGACGAGGTAGCAGTCCCCGACGCAGCGAGCTCGGCTTCAGTACCAGCCTACGCATCGCTAGCCCCTGAGTTTGGACCTCGGACACGAGTCGACGACGCGGTTGCAGAGACAAAGGCAGCGTTACCGCAGGATAATAAGGGCGAATCTTCGTGTAAGAAGGACGACGAAGAGCCTCCGCCTGCATACACGGAAGGGTCGAGCCCGTTACTCTCGTTCAGCTATCTGATGGCGGCCGCGGGAGCAGTTGCGAGTATTCTTACTCAGGTGCAGCAGGGTGGTCCGCCGTCGGTAAATACGCTTGGAGGTGAGTTTTGTCGGTTCGCCTGCGGGAATTGACAGAGATGCTGACTGGATAGATGCTGGTGCTGATGAGGATATCATTATGGACCTGAGGTAGGTTTAGGAATGGAGTTTTGGTCAGGGGTATAGCTAACAGAGACAGGGGCACGCGCTTCACTCTATCAAGAGACGAACTCTTAACACTCCCCGAATTCGTACTCCTATCCCTCTTCCCCAACGGGCTTTTACCAGATGGCCACGTAAACGCCTACCAGGAAGGCGACGCCTTCCAAGTCGACGTAAGCTCCCCCTCCCCCCCCAATCCAACGCACACCCACTAACTATCCCCCCCCCCCACAGTACGACCCAGCCTCCCTCCAATACATGCTCGAATTCTTCCGCAACGTCGCGCAAACCATCCCCGACGCCCCCTCCACCCTCGACGACGAAAACACCAGCAACCTCGACAACCCCGCCGGATCCGCACGCGACATGCTCCGCGACCGCGCGGGCATCATCGTCCTCCGCGAAGATCTGGACTTCTACGCCATCCCGCCGCGCGCGGACATCGAGCAGAGCGAGATGGTGGAGGTGAAGCGGGCGGCGGGGAAGGCGCTGTTGGGGCAGGATGGGGTTTTTTCGGGGCTGAGGAGGAGTGAGGAGACGGGGACGACGGAGCAGCATTTGATTGAGATGTTGACTGCTGGGTGGGTGCTAACCTTTCCCCGTGTTAGTTAGTTGTGTTCAAAGCTGATATCGTGTCTTTAGCGGCTTCAACCACACAGACGGCTGGGGCCACCGGGCCGGCGAACCGAACAAAGCCGTAATCTGCAGCCTGGCCCTCGCACGCCTGCGCACTGACGTCCGTTCCGGCGCCGAGGGCGGCGCTGCTGTAGGCATGGCGCAGAAACTGCTGTTGTTCTGGCGTAAACCGGCGAGGAGGTGCTGGTGGGAGGGGGTGGAGCTGGAGGGGGTGGAGGGGGTGGAGGGGAAGCTGAAGGTCTGGATTAGGAGGGTGTGGACGCTGGAGATGAGTGTTATTGGGTTGAGATAGAGTGGGGGAGTGGGGGAGGGGAGGGGAGGGGAGGGTGTGGATTTTCTCTTTTGTAATTCTCGTCATCTCAACAACCAACAAATTTCCTTTTTGGGGTTCGCAAAACCTGGGGGGATTTTCTTCAATTATGCGTCGTCGTTTTCTTCTTTCATTTGATAGTACTACAACAGCGAGTGGGCAATGGACAGGACTAAGATGGGGATATTAGGATAGGTGGGCAGAGAAGAGAGGATAGAGAGAATATAGGGCATCCAGACAATATAGGGCATCCAGAGAATAGAGGGCATCCAGAGAATATAGGGCATCCAGAGAATATAGGGCATCCAGAGAATAGAGGGCATCCCGAGAATAGAGGGCATCCAGAGAATAGAGGGCATCCCGAGAATAGAGGGCATCCCGAGAATAGAGGGCATCCAGAGAAGACAGAGTATGCTCTCATAGCACACAAATGTCTGGAATGTTTTGTGTGAAGTGGACCGGCAACTAACCTATGACTCACTCGGCCTCCCGACTAGTGTCTACGGTGGACGAGGCGGCGTGTGGATGCCTGAGGCAGTAATGCCCGAGGCAGTAATGCCCATCACCCCTAGTAAGCAACTATGAGTCAGAATGCAATGCCAATCTCTCTCCCACCCACACCTGGAGTGGATGTAATAATGTGATGCATCCACTCCAGGTATCGACAGCGCGGATTGGACGTGCCATGCTACTTGCCTGCCATGCTACAGCCCCGCCCTTCGCTGTCACCACCCCTATACGACTACGACTTCCCACACCCCACTAACCGCTCAATTTGTCACCCTGAGGCTGCCACGGAAAATAGTTATAACCCACCCATTGCCCCACGCTTCTGTTTTTTTCCTTCTCTTTTCTTCCCTTCTTTCTTCTCTTCAACTCCCCCCAAAATACCATCTCATCATCTCATCACAACACAACAACACACCAATATCACAACACAACAAAATACACAACCCATTGTCGTCAATCCACCCAAAATGGCTTAACCCCGCCCCTGGTCTTCCGGACGCTTTCAAGATTCATTTCGAAACTTCAAGCACCTCACCCAACTCCACCCCCCAATACCCAGTTCTTTTCCAAGACCTGAACAACAGCATTCCTCGGAACAGCTCAAGCTCTCAGCAACTACCCCCCTCCACCATTCTACCCAACGTCTTTACGACGGCTTCCCAAAACCCTCAGTCACTATGGCCTACCCAACCCCAATCAACGAGCCCTTTGGCACCACAGCAATCGCAGCAACCCTCCTCCCCACAGACGGATTATCAAACTCCTCCGGACTTCGTGCTCTTCCCGCGTCGTTCTCTCGACGCGTCTCCCAACGCTCAGAATATCCCTAATCTGCCCCGCAACCACGCCCCCAGTGGTAACAGTCGTCGTCACTCCGCAAGCCCCCTGTCTGCCCCGTCCCTACAGAACCAGAGAGTAGCCGCGATCATCCAGGGCACAGGCCATCAGATTTCTTCTCCAGCGTTTACAAACCGATACAATCCATTCGCGCAGCACCAGCAGTTCTACGCGCTGTCCGCCCCGTCATCGTCCGCCGCTCTACAGTCCCAGATTAGGACCCGTCCCCACGTCCCGCTGTTCTCGCAGAGCACCAGCACCAACATGCAATCGTTCCCCCCCACCAACATGGCGCAAGGTAATTATTCACTACCCCATTTCACAGCCTCGCGATGATTCACACTCACACCCCCCGCCCAGACATGAACTTATTCGACGACTTCGACTCGTTCGACCTCAAGTCCTCGGACAACGTCAACTTCCCAGATCTCGACTACAAGTACTCGCCCGCAGTGCCCACCATGTACTCGCCCGCACCAGCCATGAACCGAACCGATTCCGCGTCCACGAGCATGGGCACGGTGTCGCCGCAGGACCTCATGGTTCGCGACGCCACCTTCTCCGCGCCCAACTCCACCGTCTTCACCAACCTGACGTCTCCCTCTCAATACAACGAGTCGCCCGACTACCTCCACGACCTCGACGTCTCCCCAATGTACAACTCGGACGACCTCAACGGCGGCGACCCGTGGTTCCCCCTCTTCCCCGAAGGCGACGTTTCCTTCCCCGCCCCCGTCGCGGCTGATACGTCTCCTCTCGCCGCAGACGAGGAGCTCGAGGTCGGCGACGCCCTCCGCGAGCGCCGCCGTCGCTCCGACAGTTCTCCTCACTCCAAGGCTGCCTCCGCAGCCGCGGGTGTCAGCGCCCGCAAGCGCAACCAGCCCCTCCCACCCATCGTGGTCGAGGACCCCAACGACACTGTCGCCATCAAGCGCGCGCGCAACACGCTTGCGGCGCGCAAGTCGAGGCAGAAGAAGATGGAGCGCTTTGACGAGCTCGAGGCGGAGATTGCAAGGATCGCCTCGGAGAGGGATATGTGGAAGGCGAAGGCGCTCGCGAGGGGCGCGAACTGATGTTTCGCTTGACATCACACTTTCTCACTTCTTTGATTGGGGTTGGGAGGCTTGCTGCGCTCTCGGCCCTTGGTAGTTTCGGAGGCGGTTTTTCGGGCCTTCGTGCCCGATTCCCGCCGTGGGTTGCAACAAAAGTTCTCCATTTCTTTTTACTGGACATTGTACTTTTCTTTGTGCGGAGTGTATTACGGATTTTCACGGCCTTTTTGTTTTCTCGAAGACTTTTACCACCTTCTCACACTGTTTATTACGAATTCGCGTTTTGGGTAACACTTGAGAGTGAGAAAGTTTACATCGGGGATGGAAAGAAAGGAAGGATATGAGAGATCCGCCTGCGTTGCTTTTATATTTCGTGTCCTCCCGAGAGGGGTTGAAGGACTTCGCTTATACATGTTGTTCGATTGTGTTCCGACTCTCTCTCCTTCTCCCATTGTGGAAGAACTTTCGTGGGAAGGGGGGAGAGGAACGGTGACCAGCTTTTGCGTTTTGTGTTAGAACAGACACCTTGATATGGTTTTTGTTCGGTGTTGGGCCTCGCCAGAGGTTTAGCGTTGAGCTTAGAATTGAAGATGCGTTGGTTTTGATAATTATTACTTCACTTCTTTTGACTTGGGCTCTGAATACGTCATCTGTTGACTTCGACTGGTAAATATCTATAACTCGACCCATCAATATATCCAACTCCCTCCACCTCAACCCATCCCACACCCACCCAACGCACACCAATAATATAGGATGTCACATAGCCAGCCCATCTTCCCCACCCAACACTCCTGCTCCCGCCTGGTATCTCCTCCAAGTCTGTCCCCGTTGTTGGTCCTGGAGAGACCGTGGATAAGTATCAAAGCTGTATACCATCCATCGTCTAGAGGCTTCGTAATTCTCTACTCCACCCCCTCCCCCTCTCTCCTTGTTTCGTATAAAATATCGTAGTATGAGGATCCAGTTCGTATAACTGTTTTTTTATCATATTTGTATACTCGCTATACACCCACCTTTGGGTATTTGACTGGTAATGTATGGCAAGCACGAACTTAACGACAGTAGTGGGTATGAACGACCGACTTTATGTATTCTATGATATCTTATGTATTCTATGATATCTTATGTATTCTATGATATCTCCAAGTTATACTTATGGAAGCTACGACTTAAGAAATATGGCAGCTACGACCGACCCATGCACTTGCCTTTTTTAAAATTGTACGGCTTATGGTATATGGTGTGGAAGGAACGAATTACGGCACCTGCCACTTATGTATTGTATGACATCTCCGACCGACTTATATATATGGCAGCTACGATCGACCCGTGCACTTGCCGTTTTTAGATTTGTATGAAGGGTTTCGATGGATTGTTGCATGTTTACACGGTTATGGGTCGTTGGAGGGGCAGCACTGTAGACGGGTAGGTGGCGATCAACCCGACGACATGGAGTTTAAGATGGAGAGGATCCTGATCGTCATGGCTGGATCTGAGCGGTTCGAGGGGGGTTATGTGTCGGTCTGGGGGGGGGGGTGGATGGTAGGAGACGGACGGACTGGTGGAGATGGAATGATAAATAGCACATGCAAACCCATATATATTATCCCCCCCACCTTCAACTCCAAACATGAAAACTTCCGACTACTCTAAAATACACCTACGAATCCCCCCAACTCCTCCCCTCCCTCGCCAATTCCTCCCTAACCGCCTCCTCAGCAACCTCCCTCAACTTCCCCTCCTCAACCATCATCCTCTCCTGCACCGCCCTCAACCGTTCCCTAACCCCCTTCACCCCCTCCTCCTCCGCCAACCTAATCGCCCTCTCCACCTCCTCCGGCCCTAACCTCTTTACTTCTTTTCTCAGAGCGCGCTCGCGGCCCTCTTCTGTTCTCAAGCCCATTATACCCCTCATACCGCCGCCCGTGGCGCGGGGGATTACGGGCGTGTGGGTGTGGTCGGCTGGCGAATCTAGCGAGGGGATCGGGCCTAGAGGCTCTGGATTCACATCCCTCGTCGCCACCCTCCCATTCGACATCCGATATGTCATCGCCCCCCCCCCCGCCCCCACCTCCTCATCCCTCCTCGGCATCTCCTCCCCCCGCCTCGCCAGGTTCGCCTCCACCTCCTCCCTCGACGGCAACGGATACGGTTCCCCATCCGGCCCGCGCCCATCCGCGCGCCTATACGACATCCGATGCAGCCCCCCCTCATCCCCATTCCACCCCTGCTGCGCCATCACCTCCCCCGGAAACACCCCGAGGTAAGACGTGCGCCCACTCGCGCTCTGATACGCCATCCCCCGCCCATCGGGACCCAGCCACGGCGGTCCTCCCAGCGACTGCCTAGGGGGTTAGCGCGTCTGAGACGGAATCAGCGTCTGTGGACTGAGCGGAGAGGGGGCCAGCCTAGGGTCGCGCGCGAGGAGGCGCAGAGCACGCCGCGGTGCGTTGAGGAGCGCAGTCACGAGGCGGGGGGGGGACTCACGTTATCTGCTCCTCCCCCCGGCCCGCCCATCCCCGCCTCAGCAGCAGGCATGATAGTATCCCCCTCCACCACGACCTCTTTATCCCTCAACTGCCGCATAAGTTGCAAAAACTGGCTGTTTGCGAATTTATCACTCTGATCCCCCTGCACGCTCGTCAGGAGCGCGCCGGCTGTGCGGGCGAGATCGTCGCTTTCTTGGGCGGGGCTGAGGTGTTGTTGCGAGGGCGTGTCGGGGTGGTGGATTGCGTCTGCGCCGATGGGGGCGGATGCCAGGTGGCCTTCTTGGAGGGCGTGCGAGAGGGAGGCTTGTTCGGATTGCAGCTCGGATTGTGCGGCTTGGTCGAAGGCGGCGGCGAAGGCGGCTTCATCGAAGGTGCCGACGTCGGAGTTGAGTTGTTGGGGTTGCTCGGCGTGCACTTGCTGCGCGGGTTGGTACATGGGGGTTTGGTACATGGGTTGGGCGCCCATGCCGAAGGGGGTTATGGCGAGGGAGGAGAGGCGCTCGAGCGGGGCGTTGTAGGAGTGTTGTTGCTGCGTCATTCCGGATTGGGTATTATGGATCTGTGCGAATTCCTGGTGCCACCCTCCCGCGTGCTGGGCTTGTGGGAGACCCTGCTGCTGCATCCCCGGGGACGCGATGACCAGGCGCTGGAAATCCTTCGCCCATGATGCGCCGGGGCCGACATTCATGTGCTGCCCCGGCTGGGGGGTGTGCGCGCGCTGGAAGCCGGGGTGGAAGCCGGCTTCGGGGTGTTGGAGGGGGAGTTGGCCGGCTTGGAAGGCTTCGAATTCGGGGTCGAGGGTGCGGGCGCTGGGACCGGCGCTGCGGAAGCCCTGGGATGGTGTTAAGAGTGTTGTGAGGGTTGGATTGGAGGGGGATGGGGGGGACTTACTTGTGATTGTGGCGTTCGGGCGGAGAGGCGGTCTTGTTGGAGGGTTCGGTCGCCTTGGCTTTGCTTTTGGAAGTTTTGGAGGGCGTTAGAGGGGCCGCACATGGAGTCTGCCATTTTGGCGGCTTGTTGTTTTGTCGTAGATGTGAAGTGTGAAGTTCGGGGGGAGATTCTGATATTTGAGGAAGGGCTGTCGGTGGTATCGAGCCGAGGCTATCTCGGTGACTAGAATGGTATGTGTGTAGTGGCGACCCGCGACAGCGGTTCTATATGCGTCGATGCAGAAATTACTAGAACAAGCAAGCGTCAATGAGGAGTGCGAGCAAACAAGTGCTTTTATCGTCGCTTTCAAAGGAAAAATCGTGTATTGGTAAGGACAATATTAAGGATGATGGGGATTCCATGATGTAGAGGGGGGTCTAATTGGGTGGGTCCAGCCGGGCGTGTCTTAGCTCAGAGCCGCCGTCCAACCCACTCAGCCTCAAGAACAAGGCCACGATAGGACACATAAGGGATTCAAACATTCACAGCAACAGCCTCTCAATTACCACAGCTCTTGTTTCCTGGTGCTCCAACCTTTGTTAACATGGTAAGCACATCCCCTGATTGCGAGATCCCTGTCGACCCTGCATTCCTGGATTTAGCTCGACGATGGACGGTGCTAATACAAGCTATAGGCACAAGTTATCACCAACTCGGGGCACGATGACATGATCGTAAGTCTATCCCCCACCAACCCGCCGAGTCTACGGAGGAGGCGGGCATCATAGAGGGATCTGCTGGGATATAAGTCTGGATGTTAACACCCTGTCAGCACGATGCAGTCCTCGACTACTATGGGCGCCGTCTCGCGACTTGCTCTTCAGACCGCACCGTGAAGATATTCGAGGTGGATGGAGAAACACACAAATTACAAGAGACATTAAAAGGGTACGCCACATCTCCCCTCAAGGACCATATCTTCCCCTCCCCCCTATCCCCTTGGCCCCTCCCCCCTCAATCCCCCCCCCCTCCTCTCCCCTCTAACACCTCCCAGCCACGAAGGCGCCGTCTGGTGCGTCTCCTGGGCACACCCCAAATACGGCGACATCCTCGCCTCCGCCGGCTACGACGGCAAAGTCTTCATCTGGCGTGAATCTAACTCAACCTGGTCTCGCGTCTTCGACTTCGCCCTGCACACCGCCTCCGTGAACATCATCTCCTGGTCGCCCCACGAATCCGGCTGCCTCCTCGCCTGCGCCAGCTCCGACGGCAACGTGTCCGTCCTCGAATTCAAGGATAACAGCATGGACCACAAGATCTTTCAAGCGCACGGTATGGGCGTGAACAGCGTCTCCTGGGCCCCCAGCGCCGCCCCAGGCAGCCTGGTTAGCGCAGGTGGTGCGGCGGCGGGAGCGCAGCGCCGATTTGTTACGGGGGGGAGCGATAATACGTTGAGGCTGTGGGCGTATGACCAGGCGAGCCAGACGTATAAGCAGGAGGGTGCTGCGCTGACGGGGCACACGGACTGGGTGCGAGATGTGGCGTGGTCGCCGTCGGTGCTGCAGAAGTCGTGCATTGCGTCTGCGTCGCAGGATAAGACGGTGCGGATCTGGACGAGCGATGCGGCGCACCCGGGGCAGTGGGAGAGCAAGGAGCTCAAGTTTGATGCGGTTATTTGGCGCGTCAGCTGGAGCTTGAGCGGCAATGTATTGGCGGTTAGTGGGCAGGATAACAAGGTTAGCTTGTGGACTGAGAATCTGAGCGGCGAGTGGGAGTGCGTCAAGACGATTGAGGAGTAGGGTGGAGATAGGGATGGTGGTTACGGTGTTCCGAATTTGGCGTTGCGGGAAAAGCAGTGAGCATACCCGGTCTTACTGTGGGCTGAGCATAGATAATCAAACTTTGCCATGTACCATTTCTACAGTCCCTTTGGAATATATGATGCTATGTGGTCCAGATTAAGTTTGTTAATGAACCCAGGTTTCAGGGTCTCAAATGTAAAGGGGTCAGCTGTGCTCAGTGCCGTGCCTCTCAACCACCATATTTGTATCACACAGAAACAAACAGTATGTGGGAAACATTTTTTATTTATTCTCATGCAATGCTTGACCGATTCTCTGCAGTTATACTACTGAGAGTTGATATATAAGGCACAGTGCATGCTCTCAGATTAATGACAATGCACATCCAATTCTCGAAAACCCGACCAGAACATGTGCAATGATCTGGCAATAGCATCAATGCTCACCCGCCCCAGCAAATTGGATATCACTATATAATATATATGCTGCATTTCAGCAAAACAAATCGTCTTCAAAGTTCAGATAGTAGCAATGCAGCTTACTATCCGACCGTTTTCTCCTCGACGCGATCCAAGAACTTCAGGGCATCGTCAGTAGTTCTCATTTTGTCTTCCACCGAGCCTGAAACTCTCCAAAAGATGAATGGCCCACAGTATGTGCGACCACGATCCATTATTCCGGTCGGGCACCACCATCTCCCCAACATGATTTGGTTGCCGGGAAGTACGCAGCCCTCATATGCCCAGAAACTTGTGAGCCCAGTGCCATACGTCCCGTGGACACAAGGAAGATATTTCAGCATTGAGACACGCTGGAAGCCTGGAATTCCTTCCTGGGGTGGAAGGCCATGCATGCGACCATGGAGGTGGTAGTCGGCGTCGCTCCGACCCAGACCGAAAAAGTCTTGGACCTTGGGCATCACCCTCTCTCCGCTGGCTTCGTCCTTGTATTCTCCTTTCGGGCCTGCTTTCAACCACACCTCCATCTCTGGCGGACATGCCAGCTGGGGGGTGCTTCTCAGGTCTGAAAATAATGTGAGGTCCTGTTAGAATTGGTTAGGGCATTCATTGTACCAGAAGTTAGGTTCGAAGTCATACCTGAAACCCATTGTTCCCATCTGTCGTCTCATCGACAATATTCTGATAATTATGTCCGAGACGATATATTTCCAGATCTTCTTCGTGGAGAAAGGCTGTAATATGTTAGCATCTGGCATACCCGACTTTCATTTGGCAGAACTCACTGAATGCCCCTTTCCAATATGGGCCAAGCTTTTGTGTTCCACTTTTGAGTTTGCCCGCCCAAGCCATCGCCAACTCGCCCTTCTCAAGGTGCTGATACATATGAGCCAGAATGCCTTCTCCATCAGGCGTCTTGAAGTGGAATTTGAAAAAATTGGCCGCATGTAATAACCACAGGATGTTAATTTCATTCTTGTTTCGTCCTAGAAACAAGGGGGCCTCTATAAAACACTTATAGACCTGCTCTTGTGATGCAAGGAATACATTGGTCTTGATATTGCATATTTGAGGATGCAAAAGGAGATGAATGAAGCACAGCCTGATCACCATCGCGAGTCTCTCTTGCCGTGTTGGTTTCTTCTTCGGTGTGAAATCATATCGTGTTCCCGCAATGTTGAGTAGCATGTCAGTTCCTTTGGGTCGAACTTCGAGACCGGTATATTGTAAATATTTCAAGAAGAAGCGGTGGTTGAGGCCGCTGACAGATTCATTTTCATATGCATCGCGAACGATGTGACCATTCGACTCTGTGGCGAGTAAGTACATGTCTCTGCTCAAGACTATGAAAGGAAGCCCTTACCAATAATCATTTCCTTCAGCATGTCAAGGCAAGCCTTTTGATGCGACAATGTGCCATTTTCAAATGAGACGAATCTGGTGGCGATGCCTCTCCGTTTCTTGTATTGGGCCTGGAGCTTGACCGGACCTGCATCTGGGATACCATCAAAGGTTCTCAGGAATCGCATCTGCCAAACAATGGGACCGACACATGCCCGAAGAGCCTTGCATGCAGCGCCATAGTGGTTGACGTCTTCGTCGCTCGGGAGAAATCCAATGATGTTTTGGTGAACCTACAAATAAATAGTCAGCAACAGAAACAAATGGGCATGTAAAGGCACGAAAAGGAATTGACAAAAGCAAACGTGTTCATCATGGCACAGATCAGCATCTTCCAGGTCGTGACAGATCTGGGGTGGGTGAGGTCGGGAGCTTCAACGCATTCGAACTTACTTCGAGTGGAAGATCGAGGAGAACAATTCCTGACATAGCTTCCGATTTCACAGATGGAGTCTTTATGCCTTCATCTTCAGAAGGTGGAGAAGGGTAACTCAGCCTGGCCTTGTTGACCTTGGCTTTGTTGGCTCTTGGACGCTTTGTTGGCGATGGGTGGATTTCAGACTCGGATCCAGATCCGCCACCGTCCATATAAACGACCTTCCCTCTTTTCCTCGAGGGAGATTGATCAGAGTCAATGTATAAGGCTGATGACAAGTGCCTGGCTGTTGTAGATGGGGAAGAGTAAGCTTGTGAACGAAGTGAGCTTCTTCGTTCCGTTGGTATGAAGAAGTCTTCGATCTCTCGAGACGGGCGATCGCGAAGGGTGACCATGGTGATTGATGTATTGAAAAGCCCAATAGAAAACTAATGGTGTTTGTTTATGAGCGGGTTCATGAAAAGAATTCCTGTGTCTGAGCAATCGCAGTTATAAAGTTGTGAATGTCGGGTGAGGAAACTGAGATGCACCAACACGGATCGATCTACAAGTAGCCGGGAGGGTAAAAGCAATAAGCAGAACCGGGGGGGTGCTCCGCTTATTGTCGATTATCAATATCGTTCAGAGGGAGAAGGGAAGATTGTTGTCTGATTGTCGATGTGGAAAGTGAGAAGTCCCCGAATCTGTAAGTCGGAAGGTGCAACCCTTTTAGTCGGCGAGCACTTGCCTAGTCCGAGTCTAAACAACTACCCTTCGACAATCAGGGACAGGCAAGTGGCGCTCCAGGACTGCAAGCCGTTAACATGGCAGCTCATCTTCGGCGAGAATATAATTTCTTTATATGCGGGCCATAATCGATGGGAATATATGAGAATCTATCCGAGTCTCACGCCTCTATGAACTTTATCTCGGGTGGGGAAGCACATTCGCAAACTATAAATTACCATAGGGCCCTATTTATATAGTTATTATATCACGATTAACAAAGAGGTGGTCAATTTCTTCGACGGTTTCTGAATAATATCGCCGGAATGTGATAAAATGGCCCATATGAGTATGCTCATTCTGCATGACCACATTCGGGACGGCCCGCACCCAACGTTCAACCGGACACTACTTCTTTATATCCTCCTTTCATTATATTGCAGATCGAAATACGTGGGTTGTATATTTGTTTCTCCCCGCTCTCGAAATAGTCTTCAGGTATTTTCATAAGCAGAATACTTTTCCATTCGTTATTTTTCCGTTATATAGTCAGCTATCTACAAATCCAAATGAGCGTGCTCAGCGAGACCGTCACGCTATCACCCCACCATCCATACATCACTGAACCTACAAACGTGGTAGTCGGGCTCGTCGTCTACCTCCAGAGTTGGCAGGTGGAGTTGTAGAACCAGTCGGGCCCAGGATCCAAATCTCGCCCGTGGCATCCGAGCTCACATACAGCCTCCCCGTGCCATCAAGGAACAAGCTGGCTGGTTTGAAGCAAGCATTTGGGCATTTCGTGATATCAGGGTTGGTGAAGAGATCCACCGCTGCTGTTTGACTGTCCGCAGCAGCTACGGGTTGGCCGTTGGCGAAGTCAATCGTGGCCACCATGTAGCCGACCGGGGTTGGACTGTTCCTGCACCAGATAGCCAGAACCGTGTGTGTTTATTTAGTTCTTACCAGCTTCCGTGGAATGAGACGAATGCTTTGCCTCCATCAGCAGCAAACTTGACGTCCAGCGGCGTCGTATGCGGCTGGAAGGTCAACCTGGGCTTGACTCTCTCTTCACAGTCGGCATCGGTAACAGTTGGGGTCTGATCTGTCACATCAGCAGCGAACTGGCTGCCGACCGTCACTGTTCCAATATCCGGGATATCTGTATTCCACACAGCGAGGCAGTTGGGATATCCGTAGTTACCGCTTGGTTCTCGCTCGAGGCCAGAGTGCCAACGAAGTTCATCTCCTCACCCGGGTTGGTGGCGTGGATGTCTGTTCCACTTCGGGCGACATCGTCCGCAGAGTTCTCCACGGTGAAGATGCCTCCAGTGGTTGGTTCCTCCCCACTCCGACCGCATTCCTCATACCCCACCCGAGAAGTCTCCCATCAGCCGTGAAGTCATACGGAGGGCTGGATGCCGTCAGGTTGGCGATATTGAAAGCCTTGAGATGAGAGTGTCCACTCGACTTATCCTCAGCCAGTGGATCAATGTTCCCCGCGCTTCTGCGGCTTATAATCAGCCAGCCGGACTCCTTCTTTGACAACAGGATGGTGCGTGTGCTGTGGCCGGCGTTGTTCATTCCAGTGACGATGGTTGACTTCGTGCCCGAGGTAACTGCCTCCGCTCATATGGCCAGGAGAAGGCGGCATCGACTGAAGATGCATATAGGGTCTTGCCATCCTCGGAGAGACCAATTCCATGGTTGAGCTGCTCAATATAATCAGCCCTGTCCCAAGCCATATATAAATCAAATATAAAAAGCAAAAGAGAAATATAAAGCAAAACAATAAACCAAAGACCAGCAAAACCCCCGTCTGAACAACTACAATCTCTCCATAAGAATAACCACAATACTCACAACACTATCCGAAACCAACGTCTTCTGCTCCACCAAACTAAGACACGTCCCCCCCCCATCCGTAAACCTCAAAGGCACAATCCCAACCCCTGCTGCACAACCAACAAATTCCCCCGCGAATCTAACTGCATCCCCCTCAGCCTCTTCAGCCCCTGCAATCAAACTCCCCGTCCATCCATCCGCGAAAACTGGCTGCGCATAACTCGGCGTCAGCGCCCCCGACAAGCATCCTGCGCAGACGCTGTCAAGATATGGGCCAGGAAGGCGAGGAGCGCATTTTGTCCCAAAAATTCAATAGGTCTTAAAATGTTAAGCTTAAGGACACAGCGCATCCGTGGAGAAGGGGGGAGGGGGGTGGGTGATAAGCTTCTTATTTATAAGAAACCCCCAACCCTGTAATACCACACACATATCACGGGCCCTGCGTCTGCACCGGCAGTGGTGAATTGAGTTTATGCTCAATTCCGGCCGCTCCCTCGCAGCCAAGCAAGAAAAAATGATGCATCAGAACACTCTATATATTACCAAGAAACCGGCGTGCTGATTTAGCCTGCGGAAATCTGAGCCAAAACAGAAGCTTGGCTTCATGGGTGTTTGCTTATGCTTCCCCGCTTTCTCGAGATACGGACATACCACAGGTTTCGGCGAAACGGTGAACTCGGCGAAGCACCATGGTGATGCGATGCATTGGATGCCGAACTGGGCAGGTAAGTAAATGGTAGTGTCTGGGCAGTAAGTTACGGGGACGGACGTGGGCCCTGGTACCTGATTATCTAGAGTCACGTGTATAAGCATTCTCTTCCATTCGCCTCAATATTCACGGAAATGCAGTTCAATGAGGACTCCAAGATCACTCAAAAGCTCATTAATTTTGACACCTTGGTGAACCATCCTTTTGCTCTAAAGTTCCCCCCTCCCCATAAACCATGAGGAACCAATGCATCATGCGCGCAATGTACCGCTCCCCCCCCGCCCCCATCAATCCCATCCATGCCTTCTCAAATATCATTTTGGGAAAGAAACCCTTTATCCGAGCCCTTCTTTTTGCCGTACAAACATAAAAATGTACGTCGTTGTTGAAATGCAGAGAACAAAACGCAAGAGCAAAAAAAAAGACAAAGAACTCCGCCTAAACACCAACCAACCACCCCAATTGTATGCATCACACAAACTTGTGCCGTAAAGGAAAAATACCAGTAATGCGCCACCACTCGTAAAAGAGTCATTTTCGCATATGCTTGCCTTGTGAAATGTTGGAAAACCATGCCGTCCGCCGCCGCCGCCGCCGTAGCCGACCCAAACTAAAAATCTTTTCCCCCACCGCATTAAAGAAAGAGCCATCGTATAGTCCATCCAGACTTGCGAGGAGAACAAGAAGCCTGAAAAGAAATATTTTCCAAGACAGAATCGGTTCTGACACACGAGCTGTGGTATTGCATGTCAACCGTCAATAAACCTGAGGAAGAAACACCACGATATCCGCGGTGGAAGTAGCCGAGTATACTCGACATCTTGAAGACTCCACATGAGAAGGCAGCCGCCTTAGACAACAGTCATCATCTGCATGCGTTGACCGAGATTGCGAGTAGGCGACGAGTCAATCGTTGTATTCAAAACCGCATTGCTGCTCTGTGAGCGATGGATATTAGGCGGGCTAGCAAGGGGATCGGTAAAGACCCTCGTAAACGCTGGACTCGAGTCGTGGTTGAGGTGAGGACTCCGATATGGACTTTGAGTCGTGCCATCAGCCTTTCGAATTATCTCAGACAGCGCGCGGGACAAAGCATTGGCTCGCTGGACAAGATCCTTAAGACTCGTCGTGTCAAATGGCATCTTACTTGGCGTTCCGTTTGGCGCTGCTGTGAAGATCGGGTCTGAAGTGGCCCTATGCTGATGGATGTTTTGCATGACAGAACGTGCCACATCCGAAGTATCCTTGCTGGCTTGGCGTCGAGGAGCTGTTCTCGGAGTCTGGGCTTCTTCAAAAGACCCAAAGATGTCGTCCTCAGGAGAGAAAACCGACTTACGCCTCGGGCGAGTGCTGCCGTAAACCCCTGTGGAACGAATTGGCTTGTCATTCTCCTCGTCTTGGAATCCCGAATCGCGAGTAGAGTCGATATGAACTGTCGTCTCGTGATTCTGGTACCCTCCATCACGAGAAATAACAGCCGCTAGTGGAGACTGTGGTGGCGATAGAGTCTCGTCTTCTTCATCCGGAATTGCCAGAGCTATAATTCCTTCTGCCTCCCTCCACTTATCCGCAGAGGGCCCTTCCAGAAGGCCCTTTTCACGGGCTAGTCCTCGCAACCGCTTGAGGTCTTCAACCAGTAGGCATACTTCGCGAATCTGCCCAACATGTCCAACAACATTCGCCTGGCTTGCACGAATTGCCGGAGGAACTAGCATAGGCGCGCCGCTTCCGAGAGTTGGCAGGTCATCCCCTTCATCAATATCCATGCCATCAAACTCAAAGTCGTTATCCCAATCCTCACTTACACCCTTGCCTCCCAAACCCCACGTCCCAAATTTCGGTGCTAGCTTAGTATCGCGGTTGCCACCAACATCTGGTATGACTGGGACGCTTTGGCTGCGAATATGCAAAGCGCTTGGACGATTCCGTCCAACGGCCCTTCCGCCGCGATCGTTACCCTGTTTACCGTGAACAGTCTTCGGCCTTGGTGAGTTCCCCATATTATCCACCTTCTCTTGCATTAGCGGCTCAGACCAATCAAACACACTTCGAGGCCGGCTCTCAAGTTGACGGCCATTGCGCACAGAAGAACCGCTATCAGTGACATCCATCAGGGCCGAGCGTAGAGCATGGCTAACTCTTAACGAGTTAAGTGAGTTTGACGGCGGGGAAAGAGGGTTGCTGAGCGCGTCGCTGTCGTCATCTCTCGTCCAGTCTTCGTCATCATCATCATCATCATCACCTAGGGACATGCGACCAAACCCCGTAGTGGCCAGGCAGAAGCTTGGAGGCGAAGAGCGAACTATAGAATCCATATCCATATCGGTGTCCTGCCTTATTGGTGTGCTGTAAACGTCGCCATTGAGCCGCCGCCTGTTTCTAATTGGCGTGGACATCCCCTCATCCTCCTCCACGATGCTGTCATCTACATTTCGGAATCCTGACATTGCCCCCAGGTCGTTAAAATCGGCTGCTTTGGATCCCGCGCCACTGCTAGGTGGAGATTCGTCGAACATAGAGTCCAGAGGTGTACTCCGTGCTCTCAAACTAGCAGTTGCCCCTGTTCTAAGGGAGTCATAGGCCGTGTCGCTTTGGAAATCTGTCTCGTCATCTTCGCCTGATGCGAAAGCCTTAGCATCCGAATCGGAGCCGACAAGAGTCGACGCTTGGTCTGAGGTATTCAACTCAGGAAGTCGAGGTGGGCGTTGTTGGTGCAGAACAACTGGGTGGGAAGAAAGGCCTTTAAATTTGCCGCTCGAAGAGGGGTAGGAGGTAGTTCGTATGCCATCTGAAGAAGCCGACGAAGTTGGTGTCCGAAGTCGCGCGGTTAAATTAGGAGTTTGGTCTGGCCCATTCAGGTCTAAGTTGAAGCTCGATAGTCGCGAGCTTGTAGGCAACGGAGAAGAGGAATTTCTGATACGAGGGCGAGGTAAGGTCCCCTGAAAATTCTTCGGCGAAGCGTCTATCTTTTGTTGGTAAGGGGAAGGGTCGAAGATATCGTGGCTAGAAGGCCCTTGGGACGACGTAGCGCGATCAAGTATTGACAATAAAGGGGCCGAAATGTTGCGCTTAGCAGCCCCTCGCCCTAGGCCGCCGCTCTTTGTCAACCGGACGCTATTCGATTTGCTGATCCATGTAGCGGGGGAACCGAAGTTTAACGATATCGACTGGCGTGGCCGCTTATGGGTCTCATAATCACTGGCATGGATACCAGAGTCATCTCCAGGATGCGGCGATCCCGTACCGCTATCTATACTCATGACCGAATCCCTGTTCCTGATCTTGTTGGCTCTCGCAGGATCCTCAATTAGGGCTGGTTTCATTAAAGTTGGAAGGGCTGTGCCATCTGGTGTAACTACTCTCTTAAAGGTAGAATAGAACCCATCCGCACTATTGTCATTTATTGCTGTGGATGGGCGTTCTTTTGCTAGCCTCGTCCGCCGAGATGTAAAATAAGGTCGCCAGGATACCCGACGTGGGGTCGGCGCAAACTCGTGTATTAAGGTAACGGGAAACTCTTCCTGGAGTGGAGAGACCTCCGGTCCGGACTCTTCGTCCCTGTATTGTTGCTGTAAAGTGACAGAACGCTGATGGCTGGTGGCCGGCCGGCGTAGAGTTGGTATGCGTTGGTTTGATGACGGCCTCGAAGGCTTATTTCCACTTGTCCCTCGAATTGAAGTTGAGCGTTTGACTAGCTTGTTAGGCTCTAATTGGGACGGACTGTTTCCATTGTGTAAAATGGGACCTGTGGACCCGTGAGAAAACAACGAAGGAGAATCGGGTCCTATGCTTGACCGCGGACTCCCATTATGTGAATTTGGTATAACGGACAGCCTTCGCATCCAAGACCCCTTTGACGAAATCGAGTCCAGTCGGTCCTCACTTCCTTGTTCAGGGGTTGATATCCTCTCGCCCAATCTACTGAGCGAACCTATCCGCCTTGTATTATTTATGGGAGAGTCGTTTGCTGTGAATGTGTTGTTCATGTATCGGTGGCTTGGGTATGATGACGGCTGGATTGAGGAAGCAGACAATTGGCCACGACGCGGAGTGTTTATGACGGAGCTTGTCGCTGGGCGTATGGGTGGAGAGGAATAGCTTCTGTGCTGAGCGTCATATTCGGTGGCCTTTCTTTTGTTTGAAGAAGGTCGAGATGTGTCGGGAGTTTGTGGTTGACCGAAGGCCAGGCCCGTGACAGCAACCCCGACTGTACTTGAAGCGACAAGCTGTTGAAGGCACTTGTTAGCAGAGTATTCTTTAGCTATCATACTGAAGGGGGCATTCTGAGCCGAAGGCAATGCTGGCTGCTGGACCACGGCAAGCTGCGATTGCGGTGCTCGCCCAGCTAGACGTTGACCTTCACGGAAAAGGGAGCAAGGCCGATCTTACAGTTGGGATTGATTTCATCGTGACACTCCCCAACCACCACAGGCACAGCGACCGAGAGAAGAGAGAGGCACCGAGGACGAAACGGACGTTGTGCGGGGAGTCATTAGTGATGTTGATGTCCGAACAGAATAGTTTTTTGGTGGGCGAAGAGTGGGACGAAACGTAAATCGAGTGTAAACAACAATCTGATGGAGGGCTCCGTGAGAAAAGGGCCCTTCAACAGGCGGCCCGGTAAGTACAATGGAACAAGGGCAAGAACCAATAACTGAGTACCCGTAACAGGAGAAAAGAATGAATGTGCCTTTCAAAGACGACGTCGGTATTGTTTGTTGTTGTGGCCGTGAAGAGGAAGGCGGAGATTCTGTCTGGCTGCAGCAGTGCAGGTGAAAGGCGTAGAGGCGGCCTACAGTAAGACAATACTATTTTCCTACCCGTAGGCACGACACAACGCAGCCAGTCGACACCACAAACTTTTAAGAATCGGGTGTACAGTACATGGGAGTGTATAGGGTACAAGGAGTACATAATAACATAACACCACGACACCATAACACCATGCTAACCCCATATACACGATATACAGGATATATATACACATACACGTACAGACAATTCTATCTGGGGGCGAATAGAGATGCTAGAAAGGCCATCCGTCTCCAAGATACTTTACATATTATCCCTGGACACCCCCCCCCAGCTACAGGTCGATCCATGCAGCGTTTCAGGTATTGCTGGTCCAGCCAGTGTATGTCATGCTAGGCATTCATTCCCTTGGTCGTTACGATTGGGTGGCTTGCCGCAGGGTGCCACTCTGGTAAGAGTAGAGTACTGTGAGTACGCTGAGTACTCCGTACATGAAATACCGAAAATACTATAACTTATGTGCCATCCTGCTATACCACCCTACTCGTATTGGTATACGACCACCCTACCACGGTCAAGGCGTATCACAGAAGGGGCCTACTGATAGGGAAGTGCGACGCCTTGCCACGCCCCCATCTCCCATATCCTTGCTCCGATGGCTTCCATGTTATGCCTCTGATCAGAGCCAAGGGTGGAGCGGTGGAGCTAAGTCGATGGCTGTGAGATCTACCATGGAGCCTGATATCGAAAGATTGTTTGGTACGGATGTTCCCAGGCCGGCTCAGGCACTGTGTTTGATACCGATGGCCCTCTCCAATGGCCCTCACCAGCGGCCTGAATTAACAGTCACTCTAATTTCTTATGGGCTACGTGCAGCCATAATCCATTCTTCGATCCGTGTGCGCCCTATACACTGTAGTTACCCACAAGCGTGCCTTCGGCAAGGCACAGCTTACACATACATCAGGGGATCCCTCCTTTCCTTTGTGCTTGCTCTCGCAACGCGGCACGTTGTGCTAGTGACACATTGGTAGTGCCGAGTACAGGCCGCAAGAGTTGTATCAAAGGTCATCCAAGAGATACTGTTATATCTGCTGGAAACAAGTGCAGAACAAGTCCTGTTTGTTCCGTGTATCTTCATCCATCTGCTTTTTAAGTGCACGGCAGGCAGGGCTAGAAGTGAGAAGGGCTTGGTCCAGGCTGTGGAACGGACCCAATCCATGCAGCTATCGTCAGCATTTGGCGGGGAGTCAAGTTGAGGCGTAAGGTCCAAGGTAAGGGCAAGCCTGTTCCCTGCCTCATAATTTTGAGCCCCTCGTTGTAAGCCAAACCCGTGATATACGCAAGGTCAGGCGCTATGAGGTGTTTATTTTGAAGCGAAGTAAAGCTTGGGATTTATCCTCTCCTACCTTGCAGCAAGAGCTCGTCCAGAAGTAATGAATCTGTTTATTGTTATACCTTTGTTGCTCCTCCCAATGTAAATATTATTGATCACCGAACGCGCTCCACATATGGATTTGCGACTAACCTAGCTTTACCAAGGTATGGGAAGTACCTGGCGCCATCAGTTCCCACTTCGCTCAACACCTCACTTTGTTCCCGAAAGAATCGGTTGTCCCTCGTGCCGGCCTCGCGAGCAATCCTAATGTATATGGACATTACCAATACAAATGGCAGATCTTCCCTAAGAGAGGGCTTTACTTACGTTGGTAGCTCCATTGATAATTGATAGGATCCGCCAGTAGCGTGTAGATGATCACGCAAGTACGGAGTAGGGCCTGGATCGGCGTACCATAAGACAGCACCACAAGCATTCCCCGAATCTCACTTACTAGTAGACGATTTGTCTTGGTAGGTCAGACGGGTTTGGGCTGCATTGTGTGTTGTTGTGGTTCGCAAAGACAGTCCAATTAGCGAGTAAAGACGGTGTCTCCGTCTTTTTATGCCCCTGTTCCTATCGGCGCCAGAGATTCTACTCTATAAACTAGCTCCATTATGAGCTGAATCCTCTACCACCCAGTCTCTTTCTACTCACACATGCCACGAGTTGTGTGGGATTCCGCACAGATCCTAGGCTAAGATATCGCGGGCATTGATTGCTGCTCAACAGTTCTCGCCACCTGAGACATTTTATATCTAAAACATTTGGCCGATGGAACTAATATTGATAAATCGACAAGTTGCTTGGCAACATATGGCATGACGTACTAGTTCGTAGTGGGGTCGGCTATGGGAGAAAATTGATACGACGAGTATCTCCGACCCAGTCTCTAGTGGATGCTTTCCTTTCTTCGTTTCAGCGGGGGTTGCAGTATCGTAACTAAAGTAACTGTACGGTGAACGACTATGTACTAGATTTTAAAGCAGGGGTGCAAGAGAGACGGGAGAGGCGCTTGACTAGTTAGAGGAACCCATAACTGTGGACAACTTTACAAAGCAGGTTTCCCATACCACCTTAAGCCACGAACAGAATGTCGGTAGAGAGAAGGGCAATATCTGGGGATCGGATTGGAGCAAGGATCGCGCAGCAACAAAAAGTCCCCCCACATCCATGGGATCACGTCAACCCTTTTGGGGACCTCACCGCTTCTCGAGTCATATATAAGACGAAATATTGGCAAGGTATCAAACATAGCGCCAACATCCTGACCCCCAGCTTTGTCTAAAATTGAGTCTGGGCAGATATTTTGTCTGTATTGCATATGGTGGCAATTGCAGTTGGACTGCCTTACGTGACCTCTGACCAATCTGACGCGAGGAATTCATCAAGCGTGGTGTCAGGCTGGAACGGCCCAATGATCTTGCCCTACAATCTCCTATTACATGTCTAGGGCTATATCTATCCGAGACATACATGGAGCTTATTGCCAGGACTCGGGCGATTCCATTATTGCTCCGTCTTACCCTATAGGACTTTCAGGGAGTAGCGCCGTAATTTGCCAGGATCGCCATATATGTATGCTATGGTAAGGATTTCAAAAGGAGAGGAAGGAACCGAGCCTCTTAAAAACCGCGTGCTTTAAATAGCTACTGTACCTACCTAGTGGAAACGCGTCGCGGCTATGGGAGCGACGCGTCTCTTTCACACGCGTGTAATTTAGGCCATCTTCGGCTTAGCGTAAGAGCCTCTTAGTTCTGCCGGATACAGCACTGACCGCCTCCAATATTTCGAACATGGGGAATCTAGAAGTAGCTTCAAAGCCACACTGAGACAAACGAATTAAACCACGAGACTTGACTCATCTCTCCTTTTCCAAGGTCGACCTGTACTTCTTGTGTATGTATTGTACGATCACAAATACAGCTACTGTCCAAGTCCGACCCCGTCTCAGAAACTGCTCGGCCCGGAATTTAGTGACGAAAGGACAACGACAGACGTTGTACCATAAATTATAAAAAAAATGGAGGCCGAAATCAGAGGATCGATTCCGAATATCGACCCTATCCTCACGGAATACTCGGTGGGATACCTCTCTCATGCTTCCAGCTCATACACCGATGCCGAGTCCACCGGGACGTCGCCATTAGCAGAGGCCGTTGCGTCCATTACGGCCCTGCTCATATCAGCGTCTGGCGAGACATCAACGAAGAATGAGACACAAATCCGCCAGCTAGTCGAGAAATGGGCGGCGAAATTCGGCGCCGCCAATGCGTCAAATGTGGACTTGAGCGGAGCGTCTGGGGCGGCCAAGAGATTGGACCAGGCCATCCAAGTGAGCACGCAGCGGAATATGTCTTCCACATTGGGTATTACAACCACGGGGGTGGACTTGGAGTCGGCGAATACGAGGAAGCTTGAGTCTAAGGTCGATCGCAAGAAGTTAGAAAAGGCTGAGAGGAAGATTGCTGCTAAGCAGAACAAGAAGGAGTATAAGGCGGTTGAATATGAGGCTTCTAAATTGCTCAACCAGACGGATGATACGCAGTCCTATGAAGAGTTCTTCATGGCTGTTAATCCTCTGCAGTTGGGATCGAATGCTATGGGACAGGCTAAGAGCAAGGACATTAAGCTTGATGGTATTGATGTGACGATTGGTGGATTAAGAATCCTGACGGATACCAGCTTGACGTTGGCATACGGTAGGCGTTATGGTCTGGTTGGTCAGAACGGTATCGGAAAATCTACTCTTCTGAGAGCGCTGGCAAGAAGAGAACTTGCCATTCCAGTGCATATTTCCATTCTGCATGTGGAGCAAGAGGTATGTTGAACCATGTACCCCATAAAGTGCAAAAGCTAACTACGATTAAGATTTCTGGAGATGATACCCCTGCTATACAGGCAGTGTTAGACGCTGATGTGTGGAGAAAACATCTCTTGGCTGAACAAGAAAAACTGTCCAAACAGTTGTCAACTATGGAGGCGGAACGCTCAGCTATGGCTGACACCTCTGTTGACGCCGCAAGGCTTGACCGCGAGCGTGATGCCTTAGATCAAACGCTTGGTGACGTACAAGGGAAACTTGCAGAAATGGAGTCTGACAAGGCAGAACCTCGTGCAGCCAGTATCTTGGCTGGTTTGGGTTTCTCACCCGAGCGCCAAAAGTTTGCTACAAAGACCTTTTCTGGAGGTTGGCGTATGCGTCTGGCGCTGGCCAGAGCTCTTTTCTGCGAACCGGATCTTCTACTCCTCGACGAACCGTCCAATATGTTGGATGTCCCATCTATTACTTTCCTGTCGAATTACCTGCAAACTTACCCCAGCACTGTTCTCGTTGTTTCTCACGACAGAGCCTTCCTAAATGAAGTTGCCACAGACATTATCCACCAGCACTCGGAGCGTCTCGATTACTACAAGGGTTCCAATTTCGACTCCTTCTATGCAAATAGGGAGGAGCGTCGGAAGACAGCGATACGCGAATATGAAAACCAAATGGTTGTCAGAGCGCATCTGCAAAATTTCATTGACAAGTTCCGTTATAATGCCGCAAAATCGTCTGAGGCACAGTCCAGAATCAAGAAGCTGGAGAAAATGCCTATTCTCGAGGCACCGGAGAAAGAGTACAGTGTCCACTTCAAGTTCCCCGAAGTTGAGAAACTTTCGCCTCCTATTATCCAGATGACGAATGTGAGCTTCGGGTATACACCTGATAAGCCACTCCTCAGGAATGTCGATCTCGACGTTCAACTCGACTCTCGTATTGGTATCGTTGGTCCCAACGGTGCTGGTAAAACGACTGTACTTAAGCTACTGATTGGCCAGTTGACGCCTACGAAGGGTCTTATTTCTCAGAACCCCAGACTTAGAGTTGGCTTCTTTGCTCAACATCACGTTGATGCCTTGGATCTCAACGATAGCGCTGTCGGCTTTATGTCTAAGAATTACCCTGGAAAGCCCGACGAGGACTACAGAAGGCATCTTGGTGCCTTCGGTATCACTGGTATGACTGGTCTACAGAAGATGGAGTTACTCTCCGGAGGACAGAAGTCTAGGGTGGCATTCGCATGCTTGTCACTCCAAAACCCGCACATCCTGGTTCTTGATGAGCCTTCTAATCATTTGGATATTGAGGCTATGGATGCCTTGGCCCAGGCGCTGAAGCAGTTCCAGGGAGGTATTCTTATGGTTTCTCACGACGTGACGATGCTGCAGACTGTGTGCACATCATTATGGGTTTGCGACGAGGGGATCGTGGAGAAGTTCCCTGGTGATGTCCAGGCGTACAAGAAGAGGATTACTGCTCAGGCCGATGCAGCCGGTGTGGCAGCAGCGCATTAGGGGGGTTGCACGGATAATTACCGTTAACCCGTTGGAAATGGATTGACATTGCTAGATAGAGAGCGGTGAGCTTTACTACAGCGTAGAGTGGTACCTGACGATCATATATGTGACCGATGGGTTGACCATCTACAAAATATCAGTAACACACATTGATCCCTATCCGTGACCCCGTAAATTTGGCATGTGCCCCTATTTTGACGATGATGTGCTGTACTGTACGGTGTGTAGCACACAGTTAAGCGACAGGGAGTATCTGCGGAGTGACAGTCATCGCACACAGCTTAATGCGGTAAATGGGAAGCTGATAAATTCGCGAGCATCTCATACGTGGTTTATATAATTACTGCGGTGTCAATACAAATATCTGCATTTATGCGTAGTAAACGTTGAAATGCAGCTGCCAAAAGCCGTTTTGTCACCTCCCACGTCTCCCAGGTCCGTTTGTTTACAGGGGAAGGGGTGAATCCGCGCTAGTAGCTTCCACTTTAGGCAAGGTCAACACGACCTCACCGCTTATTTTCATCCTTTCACCCACAACCCCCCCATCCACCTCAACAACCACCCTTCACCTTTTTGCTATCTCAAGCCCCATAACTCGTCCGCAGATTTACCTGTACATCTCCAACTTCCACCTACACACCATTCAAGATGCGTGAAATCGTATGTAACAACCCTTCGACAGCAGGTCGGGGAGCAGCACATGGTTGCGACGCGTCGTTGCTCCTGAATGCCTGCCCCACATCGGACAGCTACCAAGGAGAACACAATGGCTAACTCGTGTTTTTTGTGATATAGGTTCATCTCCAGACCGGACAATGCGTAAGAAACCCGATCCAAAGCATATTTATTGACAATATAGCTAACTTGATTCTTCAGGGTAACCAAATCGGTGCTGCCTTCTGGTGTGTAGCTTCAACGACGGCTACCTAGCCCAGCACAACATGAACCCCGACTGACCGATTTATAGGCAAACCATCTCTGGCGAGCACGGCCTTGATGGATCCGGAGTGTAAGTATAATGATCATCAGTATATGTATGGATGGTTTAAACTGACAACTGCCAGCTACAATGGAACTTCCGACCTCCAGCTCGAGCGTATGAACGTCTACTTCAACGAGGTTGGTACATCCTATGTATCTTGTCAACACGGCAATATCTAACATATTGCAGGCTTCCGGCAACAAGTACGTGCCCCGTGCCGTCCTCGTTGATTTGGAGCCCGGTACCATGGACGCTGTCCGTGCCGGCCCATTCGGACAACTTTTCCGCCCCGACAACTTCGTTTTCGGACAATCCGGTGCCGGTAACAACTGGGCTAAGGGACATTACACTGAGGGTGCCGAGCTTGTCGACCAAGTTCTTGATGTTGTCCGCCGTGAGGCTGAGGGCTGTGACTGCCTTCAGGGTTTCCAGATCACCCACTCCCTGGGTGGTGGAACCGGTGCCGGTATGGGTACGCTTTTGATCTCCAAGATCCGCGAGGAGTTCCCCGACCGCATGATGGCCACCTTCTCCGTTGTCCCATCGCCAAAGGTCTCCGACACCGTTGTCGAGCCATACAACGCCACCCTCTCCATCCACCAGCTTGTCGAGAACTCCGACGAGACCTTCTGTATCGATAACGAGGCCCTCTACGATATCTGCATGAGGACTCTTAAGCTCACCGCCCCATCCTACGGTGACCTGAACCACCTGGTCTCCGCCGTCATGTCCGGTGTCTCCACCAGTCTCCGTTTCCCCGGTCAGCTTAACTCTGATCTCCGCAAATTGGCAGTCAACATGGTGCCTTTCCCACGTCTCCATTTCTTCATGGTTGGATTCGCTCCTCTCACCAGCCGTGGCGCCCACTCTTTCCGTGCCGTCACCGTCCCAGAGCTCACCCAGCAGATGTTCGACCCCAAGAACATGATGGCCGCCTCTGACTTCCGCAACGGTCGCTACTTGACCTGCTCTGCCATCTTCCGCGGAAAGGTCTCCATGAAGGAGGTCGAGGACCAGATGCGCAACGTCCAGAACAAGAACTCCTCCTACTTCGTTGAGTGGATCCCCAACAACGTCCAGACCGCTCTCTGCTCCATCCCACCCCGTGGCCTCAAGATGTCCTCCACCTTCGTTGGTAACTCCACCTCCATCCAGGAGCTCTTCAAGCGTATTGGTGACCAGTTCACTGCTATGTTCAGGCGCAAGGCTTTCTTGCATTGGTACACTGGTGAGGGTATGGACGAGATGGAGTTCACTGAGGCTGAGTCCAACATGAACGATCTCGTCTCCGAGTACCAGCAGTACCAGGAGGCCTCCGTCTCCGAGGGAGAGGAGGAGTACGAGGAGGAGCTCCCAGTTGACGAGGAGTAAAGTGTCTACCTGTTATGACTTGATGAGAATTTTGGCTGTTGCAAAGTCCTCAGTCAAATCTATCCTAGCAGGGGATGTGTCCGGAATTAATTGTTATTTTCAAACGTTTGGTCTTTGACAGCGCTTCTTTACTTCAGGCGAAGACAATTGCGAATGCAAAGAATACCTCTTGAGGTTTTAACTGGAGCGAGAATCAATGAAAACACTCGTATCTTAAATATCTTCTGAACTCTTCGTGCTAAACTATGATTCATCCCGTTGAGTGAGAATAGACGTAATTATTTAATACTCGGAATTCGCAAAGTTTAGGGGCGCATTGTGGAAGATAGTTTCGTGATGTAGTCATATTTTGATCTCACAGCTAACAACTATAACATATGACGCTACAAGCTGTGTCCTTTTTCCAGTCCCACATGTTATTCCAGACGCCAAATATTATGCCAAGAATACTGTCCCATCTATCCCTACTCTTCCATCGCATCATCATTCGCCCCACCACTGCCCCAAAGGCCCTCCAACTTAAACTCCTCTGCCCACTCAGCAACAATCTCCTTCTGGTCACCGACAACAGCGCCCACCTGAACCTCACCAGGAGCAAGCGTCGGCGCGACAGCCAGCAGCGGTGCGTCCATCCAGCCTTGAATACGCCCATCCCTCCAGTCCGTGATGACAGTCGTAGCTGCACTAGGAAGGTTGGGCACGCCGCCCTTCCCGAGACGTCCACGCTTCCTCGCGACCTGGATCAAGAAATCGTTCGTGGGGTCGCCATTCGCCGCCGTCACGAGAGGCGGCAGTCCGTACACCTCCATGAGCTTCGTGGTCATCTCCGGGGTCCTCGAGAGGCGCTTAAGGAGCAACGTGACAGCCGGGACGGGGTCCTCAATCTGCTTCGGCGGCACGGCGTTGAGGAGCACCAGGCGCGCGTTCTCCTCTACCTTGGACGCCTTGGAGCCGTCGTGGGTGCTGGGGAAGACGATACCGGGGGAGTCGAGAAGCTTGAGCTTGCTGTCGATCTTGACTTCACGCAGGGAGGTGGTGACGCCTGCCTCAGCGCCAGTGGGACAGGACTGGCCGCCGCCGAGGCGCGAGGTCAGGGCGTTGATAACGGAGGACTTGCCGACGTTGGGGTAGCCGATGACGCCGACGGAGATGGCGCGCTTGAGCTGCTTAGCGGCCGCGAAGGATTTGAGCGCCTTGAAGAGCGTGGTCGCGGTGCTCTGCACGGTGAGGGATTTGTGGTTGAATTGGTGCGCGTTGGGGGCTGGGCCGGAGGCGCGGAGGGGGAGAGTCGGGAAGTAGCGGCGTAGGTGGATGAGCCAGGCTTTGAGGACGGGGGCGGGGATGAGATCGATTTTGTTGAGGACGAGGATGAGACGCTTGCCTCCGCTTGCGGCGGCCATGACCATGCGTTCGACTTCTTTGGATCGGGTGCCTTCGGGGTCTCTGGCGTCGAGGACGTAGAGAATGACGTCGGCTTGGTCGACGACTTGCTTGAAGACTTTGTCAAATGCCTTTCTTGAGCCGTCCTTCTTGTTTGGCAAAGCTTGTGAAACTCCATCGACATCCATTCCCTCCATATCGCTGTCCTCGTCCTCGTCCTCGTTACCAGACTCCTCCTCGTATTCTTGAGCTCTGGCTCTTGCGCTTGCGAGCAAGGCAGCCATAGGGTTGGTATCATCGTCTCCATCCATGTCACCCATGTCGAATTCTTCATCATCATCATCCTCTGCCTCGACACCCTCCATCTGGGCCTCAATGTCCTTATCAACCTCCTCTCCAGACTTCTTCAGAGCCTTAAGCTCTGCACGCCTCTTCACAGCCTCCTCTTGCTTCCTTATCCTCGCCTCTTCAATCTCTGCGAGAATCTTATCTTTGTACGGGAAGAGGTTGGGGATCCCGGGATCCTTCTTCATGCGCGACTTCCATTCTGGGTTCTTCTTTCCGTTCTTCCGTTCCTTTCTTTGCTTCGCGGACGAGGCCTTCTCGATCTTATGACGAAGGCGCACAGAGACGCGCTTGCTCTTGGGCTCTGCAAGAGTATAAATTAGCACCTCCCCACAATTCTGCGCACATATTGCGAGTGATTTGCTTACTTCCTGGTTTATTTCCTGCCATTGTTCCGTTGGCAGAATTTATGTGGCTAGGTTCGCTGCAGCAGAAACAAAATTCCACTTCTCTAATCTAATCGCGAAATTTCGGTGTGTGGTTCCAAGATTTCACCACTAAGAGCGAATCCCTGTCATTTGTGCATGCCTGATTCGTTAGGCTAAGAGATGGGGCAAGTGGTTTTGCCGGACTCGCCGCCGCATGATTTCTCGCATCTAGTACGTATATATCAGAGGCCGGTTCCCTGAGACGACACGCAATTATTTATGAGAACACATTGTTACGAAATTTAAAGTCACTGGCAGATCATATTGGAGTTATAAATATTTTTAAAATTTGAGAACTCAGATATTTGATATATTTTACGGCATACCGAACCAGCTCTCATTACAAATCAGTCTCACTTACCACGTCGGAAAGAAATATCAAATTAAAATGGGGTCGACAAATGAAGGATCATATACTGCTCCGGCCGAGGAAGTATCCTTTGCTGGGCTTCTGTTCGACTTGGACGGCACAATTATCGATTCCACAGACGCAGTTGTGAAGCATTGGCACCAGTAAGCGCCCCTCCCATCTTAAGCCTCACCAGCCACTGACCAAGCGCAGGATCGGGAAGGAGATTGGCGTGGACCCAAATGTTATCCTGCAGACCTCGCACGGCAGGCGCAGCATAGACGTTCTTCAAATTATAAGCCCCGAGAAGGCAAACTGGGAATGTGAGTTACCACTCCCCTGCGGTTGACGTAACCCACTCGTCCATCTCTATTCACGGCCCATATTGCACAAAACCATGAAGTTCTCACATCCAACACTTCATCCGACTCGTTTCCCACCTACTATCAATCATCTACTAACACACCTCTAGACGTCTGCGAAGTGGAAGGCCAAATACCCACCCGTTACGGAGCAGACGCCACCGAGATCCTCGGCGCCCGCTCCCTCTGCGACTCTCTCTCAACTACTACCCCTCCAGTTCCCTGGGCCATTGTGACCTCCGGAACCGCTCCCTTAGCCAATGGCTGGCTCCGCATCCTCAAGCTCCCAGCCCCTGAGCACTTTGTGACCGCAGAGTCCGTGGCGAACGGCAAGCCGGATCCGCAGGGCTACCTGATGGGCGCTGAGTCTCTTAAGCTCGACCCTAAGGGGCTGCTAGTGCTGGAGGATAGCCCTGCGGGAATTAAGGCCGGAAAGGCGGCTGGGTGCAGGGTGTTGGGCGTGGCGACCACGCATACGGCGAAGGAGGTGAAGGAGGCGGGTGCGGATTGGGTTGTCGAGGATTTGAGGAGTGTTGTTGTTGCGAGGGTGGGGGAGAAGGGGGGGGTTGTGCTTAAGATCAGCGGTGGATGGGTTGGAAACTAATTAGATGGGTGCTGGGAGGCGTAGAAGAAGGAATCCGCTTGATGTTTGTTTTGTTTTTAGACGGCATTCCATGAATGGCTATACGGAGTTACCCAAGAGGGGTTTTAGAGCCGGCGACCCTAGACGATGGTACTGGGCGTAGAGTAGCAACCATAACTTATGGACTACCAATTATGTTTATCTGTCGATGTGACAGATCTCGTCGCGTATGTTGACTGTAACATGGCTTCATAAAATTGATAGGCCCTCAGTGTATAGCCACGGTAGATGTGCGCTAAAGTATGCAGGGAGCTGAGTTCGCAACAATTCTATCGCAAGTATGAATATCATTCCCTCCGTGCAAAAGCTCTCTTTAATGGGCCAAAACAGCCAACATCAAGTGGTTGGAGTATATGGGAAGAGTGAGCAGGCATCTCTTCACCGCTCTTGAATGGGTGGAGATTATTACGAATGTGTTTCTGCAAGGGATAGTCGGGCCGAACAGCCTACAAATACGGCATCTGCCCATCAGATGGAGGAGTAACACAATTCAACATGATTCTATTTTACCACTGCCGATATACTGATATACTGATATATGCGGTAATTGTTGGGTGCATCTCTATAAAACATCGAGTAAGTGCTATATCTACTACCATAAGCAATCCAAGTACACAGCTAATCAAGCAATGCCTCTCAAAACATGCCTACAAGTTAAATGAACACCTTGAAGTATCTGAACTTCTTCGACCCAACTCTTCGCCAGCATAGCGACACAAATAGGTATTTATAATGGCAGCAACGAACCACTCCCTCAAGGATTTTCCCCTGTCCACATAGCGTACTGTGGTGCTTCTTTGACCAATATCTGCATCAGCGCCGTAACCGCAAATGCCTATTTGTAGTGGCCGCTTACCCCCCGCCCCCTTAAACCTCATTACTCGGATACTCCACTTTCTTCGTCTCCACAAACTCCTCCTTAATACTCCTCATACTCACAAACCTCGTGAGCAGATTCACACTCCCCGCCTTATCATTCGTGCCACTCGCCCTCGCCCCCCCAAACGGCTGCTGCCCCACTACCGCCCCGGTGCTCTTACAATTAATATAAAAGTTCCCCGCACAATCCCTCAATCTGTCCTCCGCAAACCTAATCACCGCGCGGTCCTGCGCGAATACGCTGCCGGTCAGTGCGTACTCCGAGGCGTTAGAGATGGCCTGGATGGCGTTGTTGAAGTCTTTAGCGCGGGTAGAGGGTTTATCGGCGTAGACGTGGACGACGAGGATGGGGCCGAAGAGCTCGGTGCTCAGAAGATGGTGTTTGGGGTCGGTAGTGGCGTAGATGGTGGGGTGGATGAAATACCCCTTGGATTTATCATATGTCCCTCCGACAAGTAACTCAAGCGAATCATCCTTAGCAGCATCATCAATGACGCCAGCAAGCTTATCAAAAGACGCAGCGTGAATGACCGGCCCGACGAAGTTCTCAGGGTCGGTAGGGGGGCCAATCTTAAGAGCCTTCGTCTCGGCGACGAGACGCAATTTGAAAGACGGCCAGATAGTGGAGGGGACGTAGCAGCGTGATGTAGCGGAGCATTTTTGACCCTGGAACTCGAAGGCGCCGCGCACAGTTTGGAGAGCTGCGTTGTCGACGGCCGCAGAGGCGTGGATGAGGTGGAAGTTCTTCCCTCCCGTCTCGCCGACGATGCGGGGGTAGCCGATATACTTGCCACTGGCAACACCCTCGCCGATCATGCCGTACAGCTTGCGGAACACGGCGGTGGAGCCGGTATAGTGCAGCGCGGCGAAGTCCTTGCTTCCCAGCACGACCTTGGTGACTTCCGCCGGTGGGCCGGGGACGAATTGGATGACGTTTGGTGGGAGCCCGGCTTCGAGGAGGATCTGGTAGAGGAGCCAGTTTGAGGTGATGGCGGAGTCCGAGGGCTTCCATACTACGACGTTGCCCATCAGCGCTGGTGCACAGGGTAGGTTGCCCGCAATGGCAGTGAAATTGAACGGCGAGACCGCGTAGACGAATCCCTCCAGCGGCCTATACTCAACCCTATTCCATACCCCCGGCGAATTCAAGACAGGCTGCTGCGCATACAACTCCTCTGCATACTGTACATTAAACCTTAGGAAATCCACCAGTTCCGCAGCAGCGTCGATCTCCGCCTGCCACGCGTTCTTGCCCTGGCCCAGCATCGTGGCGGCCATCATCTGGTAGCGGTATTTCCCGGCGATCAGGTCAGCGGCCTTGAGGAAGATGGCGGCGCGGTCGGAGAAGGGCATTGATTCCCATGCTGGCTTGGCGCCGAGGGCGGAGTTGATGGCTTTGGTGACATCGTTGCTGGAGGCTTTGGAGTAGGTGGCGATGGTTGAGGCGTGGTCGGAGGGGTTGAGTTGTGAGAGGGTGTGCGAGGTTTTGACCTGTGGTTGGATTCAATTAGCTGCTGTGTTCGATTGGGAGTTCGATTGGGAGTTCGATTGGGAGCTTTGCGTACCTCTTCACCGCCGATGAATAGCGGGACCTCGAGTGGCGTCAAGCTCTGTAATTGCTTCAGAGCGCTCATGAGCCCAGTCCGTTGCGCGGAGCCTTTGGCATAATGATGCTGCCATCCTGTTAGCTTTCAATCGCAAGAGCTGCTGCTATCGTCATGTTGGTAAACTCACGTTAGGTTCATTGGTAACCTTTGGGATCTTGAACGAGGCAAGGCTGACGTTCCTCTTCGCAATCAGGGCGCCACGGCTGCTGAGGGCAGGAATCCTGCGCATGCTTCTGGTAGCCATTGTTGCTTTTGATCCTCAACAGAAACGATCTTGAAGAAGAATGAAGGGACTTAAGAAGAAGGTCTCCAGCGACCTGGTGATTACAAAAAGTTTGCGTGGCTGATGGGCGGCTTCCATCGGCTCCCTCTGAACCCCAATGCGACGCTATCATCAAATGAGGAAATAGCGATGCGGGGACAGCTATCAATCTTACGTCACACTAGTTCACGTGACGGATTTTATTACGTTCGGAGAAAAGCAATTATCACTTTAGTACAGGACAGGAACAGTAAGAGCATCAGGGAGGCATTGTCAGTGTTGATCTTATTTTTATACCCAATCCGCCTAATCTAAAATGTTTGCATATTATGAGGTTCAAGCGAAATGGACAATCAACAAAATAAGTCAACTCAAACTCCTAGATATCATGAAATCGTTTGTTGCCGTCGGCATACATGGTAGAAAGAGTCATCGTGATCGCAATCCAATCCGTAACCCTAATTATGCTCCCCCCCCTCCTCTCGACTCGTATCGAGTTAATAGTGTTCCGCCCGTCGTATATATACACCCTATTCCCAATCGCCATCCATGAATGGCCCTTTTGTGAGTGCCTGGTATAATCGCTCCATCGTATCGTTGAACAAAGGAAAAAATAATGCTGTCGCTCGATGCTTTAGTACAGTTGAAAGATGAGCTCGAATGAGAATCAACGCTAGAATAGAAAGTGCTGTTGTTGGTACATGCGTATAGTTGGCGCCTTAGATAGAGGCACAGTGGAAGTTGATCCCCGTATTGTCGTTGCTAGATTGTAGTCAGGGGCTTCCTGAACACGGCTTGCCCTCGAAATCTCTGGGCGTGGCGTTACGAAAAACAAGGCCTTGATTCCTTGCCTGATCAGGCGATGAGTGCTCTGATAGCGAAACAAGATAGTCAGATCCTTGTTGGTCCCATTGATACTGGACATGGAGTTTGCCTTCTATGCCAGTGGCGTCGAATTGGGTATTGTTGTTGGCGTATGCTACATTATTGCAGCTAGATTGAGGAGAGACCGAGAGCTCAGAACCCTGCGAAGATAAATAATGTTGAGATATCGGCATCTGGGGATGGTAAAGATCGCTCACTGGCCCGTGGCCATGGGATGTGCCAGAGTCTGTATCTGTTGGTGCAGACGCATATTGAGGGATTTGAAGTGGCTGAGACATCTGCAGGGCGAATTCATCGCTTGGAAACGAACTAAGACCTGGAGTATGAAGAGCGTTGTCTCCGACGTCATATCCTGTCCACTGATGCCCACCGCCAGGGGTCTCGGGAGGTGAAAAACCGAGGTCATACGGTGCGAAATATCCGTTAGAAGGATCTTGGTTGGTGCTCAGTACGTCGTACTCTTGTTGGGAGATATGGGAGTACTGCTTAGATTCTTCATCCATGTAGAATTGAGCCCCCCCGGCAATCTCATTTGGAGATCTCGGGGTTGGAGGGGCGAGGCCATTGGGTGCATGGATCAAATTGACCTGGCTGTCCATCCCAGCAAACTTCTTTAGCTCGTGGGGGAAGTGTGGACGAAGAGGAGACTGCGAAAGAGGCGCAACAGATTTGGAAACTCGGCTTCCCAGTACGTTGAGACCTGCACCAATAGATGCTGCACGACGGACCCCAATACCAGGGCTCTTTGTTGCGCGTCGCTGTGGCGCGGCAGTTAAAGGAGTCTTCATACTCGGGGAGGCGCGATCTCTAATCGCTTCTGTTCCAATTGGGGCAGGGCGTCGTTTGCTGCGGCGTGATGCGATGTCTGCTGAAGGGGGAGGTGACATGAATCTCATAGTTGCACCTTCTTGCGAGGTCTCGGATGGCCTCCGGGTGTCGCCCCTGTCGTCTGGAATGGTACGTAGGCTGCCTTGGCTGTGCTTGCCAACGAGCAGCTGTGACGGAAAAGTGGCTTTCGCAGGATTCGAGCTCCCTTGAGCTGGGATCTTGTAAGAGTAGTTGTGGGTGTTTGGCATCGACATGATCATCGCTTTGCGATCCAAGTTCTCCATTGACGTTGGCGATGTCGTATAACCATTGTCTTCGTACTCAAGAACGTTGGCAGAGGCCGTATTTTGAAATTGAGTATGATCCAGTTCCGCCATACTCTCATAAATAGTGACACCGAATTGATCCCCATCGGCCTGGTGATCGAACTCGAAACCATAGTTTCTCCGTTGATATGCGGCCTGGTTATCGAGCTCTGCGTGTTCAAGGGACCGAGAGCTTGCGGCTACAGGAGCCTCATACGTCTGATTGTATGAAGCCTTTTTATGAACGCTGCCACTCCGAGGACGTTTTGGTTCGTCTTCAGACGCAGGCTGCTCTTCTTCAAACATCTCCGAGAACTCCTTCGACAAATCGTATTCTTCGGTCTCTTGCTCGTCAGATTGGGCGCGCTCAATCGTGAGAAGTCTTGCTGCTTGCTTGACTTCATGTTTGGCCTTCGCTCGTCTGTTTTGAAACCAGTTCTGGGAAATAGTCAGTAGGGGCTCTGATAGCAACTCGTCTCAACTTACGTTTATCCTGCACACTTGCACACCCATGTTCTCTGCCAATTGGCGCTTCAAAGAACTCGGCGGCTTGTGGTTTTCTTGAAAATGGCGTTCTAAGAGCTCAACCTCCTGCTTCGCAAGACGCGGTTTGGCATCGTTGCGATCGGGGAAATCCTCACTGTGGATCGCTGTGTTGTTCATTGGCGACGGCTGCATCATATCCGAATACACTTCTGGCTGGTAAAACTGCTGATCGTCGTAGGGAAGGCCATGATACGATGAAGGCATAGACATTGGAAGGCCATACGCGGGCTGGTAGAATTGCTGTCCATAACTGGTGGGCTGCATTGCGACTTTGAGATCGCGGGGCCAGGGAGTCACTGGGTCTCTTTCTTGTGGCGATTGAAGGTGTCTGGTCGTATTACCGAGTAACGTTCGACTCAGACAATATTCCCAGACCGAAGATCAGAGCAGAATCGCAGATGCGGCGGGCGCAAGTGCAGAGTTGCAAAGTGCCCTGAACAAGCGCAGGTAGGGAAGCGGGCCAACAATGCCGGGAGCTGGGAGCCGAAAACGAGCGACTGTGGTGAGTTATAAACACAATATGAGGCTAATATCGCGAGAGCGAGTGTAGAGGAAGGTATCCTTGAAATCGGACGAAACGGGCTCAGCGAGTGTTATTGTCGGCTAAAAGAGCGACAGGAGCAGAATTGAAGGATCGGAAATGCGTCAATTGTAGATCCCTTCGCGAAATGTCGAGATCCGAAGGCCCAATTGCTCAAGGCGCGGCCGTTTCTCCGCGGGATGAATCGGCCTCGGTCGTAGGTATTGTGACTGGTATGAAGCAGAGCAAGCGTCAATTCACGTTCTTCGTGTCTAATTGCGCATCCCGAGCGAAGGATGAGAGAGGTATAAAATACTGGTCGCGTCGGATCTGGGAAAACGGGAACACAACACGAAGCGAATGTATGCTCAGTCGACGGAGAGAAGGAGGTCGATGAGTATTTGGCGGGCAGAAGGGGAAAGGGATGTTCGCTTTTCGCGCGCTGGGATCTGGGGTGGAGAAGAAGAGTGCAGCCGAGTCGGTCCCGTCTGCAGGTAAGCGGTTCTTCAATCGGCGAGATTGGTTGCCTCGCGAGGGGGGGAGGGCGACGAGGGGGAGAAGGAGAATGAAGATAAGCAACAGTGCACAGGTTGGGATCGATTTTCGGTGTCGATCTTCTGGAGGCTGAGATGAGAAGGGAAAGTGTGGAGGAGAAAGTGATGTTTGGTCGTGAATAGGAATGATTTTCAGCGGGTGGGCGGTATGCTGCAAGCAAGTACGGTACACAGTTAAGGTACTACATACATGTGTAAGGGTGGGGTTAGACGCGACAAAAGTGACATGTGGGTGTGAGTAGGAGTGTTTAGTGTGTAGGGAGTAGGATTTACTGGATCTACTGGATTTACTGGATTTACTGGATTTACTGGATTTACTGGATTTACTGGATTTACTGGATTTACTGGATTTACTGGATTTACTGGATTAATCCCCGAGTGTAGTTTTCCATTTCCTTTATGAAAGTCGTAGTCGAGTCGTACCAGTTGTAACTGCACTGCACCAAACTGTATTTGTGCTGTACTGTAATTTTGTAACCCTTACTCGACTACTTGTAGACCTCGCAGTAGTTCGCAGCACCAGCCGTACCACTACCACGTACGTACAGTACCGTACAACTAGCACGTACAGTACCGTACCACCACTGCCACGTACAGTACCATACCACTGCCACATACACTACCATACCACTACCATATCACTACCACGTACACTACCATTCACTACCACATACACTACCATTCACTACCACATACACTACCATACCACTACCACGTACACTACCATATCACTACCACGTACACTACCATTCATTACCACGTACACTACCATTCACTACCACGTACACTACCATTCACTACCACATACACTACCATACCACTACCACGTACACTACCATACCACTACCATACCACTACCACATACACTACCATATCACTACCACATACACTACCATTCACTACCACATACACTACCATACCACTACCACGTACACTACCATTCACTACCACATACACTACCATCCCACTACCACACCCACCACATACACTACCGTACCACCCACCACCACTTACTTTCTCCGCCCCGCCCCGCACCCCCCCGCCCCCCGTGTCTCTGCTTTCCTCCCACTTCCTCTGGTAGTGTCTCGTCTCAGCCCTCTTTCTTTCCTCTTTGGTCCGATCCGACCTCAAGGCGCCTATATCACTTCCCCTCCCCATCCATCCCGTACCTACGGTGTAGGTACACCGTAACCCTCCTCCATTCGTCTCTCTTCCTCAGGCTACTCAGGCTACTCAGGCTACTCAGGCTAGCTGACTGACTGGCAGGCCGGAAGCGAGCCCCATCATGCATGCACCAGCGCTTGGGCCCGAGGGGGGGTGGCCCATAACGATTGCTGATCTCGAGGTTCGGGAACCAAGGTCAAGCTGTTTGATCACCAGGCAAAGTGGGACGCCCAGTCTCTCGCCGCCGGAGTAGCAGCAGGCCAAACAAGACCAAGGATCCTGCTGTACTACTACACTTACTGCACAACTCCAAGGAACCCGACCCCGACCCCGACCCCGACCCCGACCCGACCCCGACCCCGACCCCGAACCCGAACCCTCGAATGGCCTGTCTGTCACCTGCGCTCTTGACAGGCATCGCGCGTGTTCTTTTGTGTCCGTTGCTTTAGACGGATAGTGTCATACATGCTTACCACACGCCCAGTACCATAAAAACCTGGCGAGCAGTTTTTCTTTCCCTCCGTATATGAATCCCTCTTACTGGCCGGCGAGGAGATCGGGGAGGTAGTTGGGGTAGTTAGTTGGTTCCAACCGCCACCCAGAAAACCCTCATGGGCTATGGGGGCGACTGTGCTGTGCAGGACAGGACAGGGGCCGTCCATTGGACAAAAAACACCCGCGATCCTCGACTGGTAACTGGCTCCATTTCATCGTCGAGTACCAGCGACCCGCAAAACAGTCGAGTCTAGCCTTGACAAATTTCAGCTAGAGGCGTCCCTGCTATCGCTTAACAATACTGTAAAAGTAATTTTACGGCGGTTAATAATTGGTGAAAGCCGAGCTCGGCTGGCTACCACCACACACAGACAGACAGTTGCCACCGGCGGCCGTTCTGCCACGAGGTGCTTTGGCTTCTGTGGGGACTATGTCTACGGAGTACGATCTGACAAACTGCTGGCCGCCGGCGATAATGGGAGTTAAATCCCCGATAACTGGCATGCTGACCTGCTGCGGCTGGGGCCACGACCGCCGCTGGTCGAGATCTATGAGGGGGTCGGTGGTCTACGGCGGCCTAGTTCCACGGACATGCCGGCGTCGACTCTCCATGCATGCGCACTGCATTTTGCAGTGACCAGAAGATGCGGGACTCCCAGTCGCGCCTAGGCACGGAAACTCCAGCTTTGGGCACAGCAACTTACCCATACAGTGTGCGCATACGGCCCATTTCCAATGTGTGCGATTCCCAAATGGGGGGGGTGTCTGCTCTGTGGTTTATGTATGCATGGCTTGTGCATGATCTAGCGTCCTCCTCCAATTGCAGCCATGCGGCTTGCGCCCATCCATATCGCTGGGGAAGAGAATCTGTTTTCGCTGACGGGAGAAAGTATAATAGCTGTTTGCTATAGGAAGTCAAATATAGATATTCGCATCTGGGAGGGCTGCGAGGGCTGCGAGGGCTGCGAGGGCTGCGAGGGCTGCGAGGGCTGCGAGGGCTGCGAGGCGCGCATACAAGGGGGATTGATCTGCGTTAATCCAGGGCCTTTGTTGCAATATGTGGTTCGTATCGCGGCGGTGAGGTAGGGCCCCTATTCAAAGTTTCTGGGATTCTGAGATATCTTCCAGAGTGCTCCAGAGTGCTTCAACCAGTAGGATCATACAAGTGACAAACTCGGCCTCATTTCGCGCCGGGAGGCATAACCGTAATCTTCCCCATCACCATATCATCTCACATCCCAATGCGCTGGTGATACCACCACCAGCTACCCCGAACCACCACCCCAAAACCCCACGCCATTCACGCGGCGATACGTTGGCCACCCCTCACCGGCGAACACGACGACCACGGTACAGCACCAGCCAGCCAGTCCCGTCCCACACAATCGGTTCATGGCGCTATCTTGCCTGGATGGCAAGATAGCGCCATGAACCGCCATGATATGCTGCCTGCCTGGACGGCAGCATATCATGACGAAGATAACCCAGGACACCTTATCTCTCATCCACCTCTCCCTCTCTCTCCGCTCTCTCTCCGCTCTCTCTCCCCTCTCTCTCTAGGTAAATATGGACCTCAAACCACGGTGTACCGGCACACCCCCCCGCACCGCCACTCTCCTGTGGAGGCCGGCAGCGTAGAAAGCTATCTTCGAAGCCGAACCTCCCCCCCGGCGCGTCCGGAGTTTTGCCTCTGGGTTCCGGGGGGGGGCTTGTTGGAATGGATGGGATAGGGTAGGATTAGGCAAATTTAAGCGGCAAGCAGGCACACAGGCACCTTGGTTGCCATGGCACGACAGACAGCAGCCCTGTGTATGTGCATCTACAATACAGCGCTACATGCAGGTTGATGTAGGGTGGTGGGTGGCCATCGCATCTCATCGCATCGTCCTCTCGCTCCTGCTCTGCTCCTGCTCTGCTCCTGCTCTGCTCCTGCTCTGCTCCTGCTCTGCTCCTGGAGCCCACCCTTTCAACTCCCCGTACCTGAGCACCCTCTTACGGCTTACGCGGGGCCGCGGATTGGCCGACAGAAATGAGGGGAATCGCGGACTCGGCGCGCCGAGGCACCCACCACCAGGTCTCCTCGTCTCGTCTCATCTCATCTCATCTCATCTCATCTCATCTCATCTCATCTCATCTCATCTCATCTCATCTCATCTCATCTCATCTCATCTCATCTCATCTCATCTCATCTCATCTCATCTCATCTCGGCAGATCTGCCTTCTTCTCCCCCCGCCCCTCTGCGCCCGGCTCCTCTCCAGCAATGCGCAGTGCATCTCCCCATCAGTCCCCTCTTCCCCATCAGTCCCCTCTTCCTCTTCGGTGTTCATCCTCTTCGGTGTTCATCCTCTTCGGTGTTCATCCTCTTCGGTGTTCATCCTCTTCGGTGCTCTTCCTCTTCGGTGGGATGAAAGGCCTAACTGTAACTAACCGTGCACTGACGATGGGCGTCCGTACGGGCTCGCGTATTTACCAAGACCTTCCGCGCTGGGCAGGGGCTGAGGGCCTCGTGGCACCCTGGTTTTTGGGTCAGGGGTGGGGAAGGGGGGGGGATCGCTGGGATGTAGGTGCCCAGGAGGTAGATATCTAGCTCTGCGAGCTACGAAACGCCACGCCACGCCATGCTGCATAGTTGGGATGAGGATGATGGGTGATGGGTGATTGGTGATGGGTGATGATGGGTGATGGGTGAATGGGGGCTGAGAGGGTGCCACGTATGATGCGATGGGGGGATAATATGCGGGTATAAGTATAAATAAAGTAATGCACACACACGCACCGCACACACACGCACACCGTATGGTATGGCACGCATAGGCCTCGTACAGCCCTCGTACAATACACCGGGATAATACAGCGACCTGAGCTCTTCTTCGAGCCGGCGGCACGGCAGTGAGTCGGCTGGCTGGCTGCCTGCCAACCAGCATGTCCATGGCCAGCGACCTGACACACCTCCCCTCCCCCCCGCTGACTTGCAGAAACCCACTGATGCGCCAACCGACCGGCAGCGCTGTATCCACACAATGCAACGCACCTGTCTCCCGCCTTAGCATCACATCCCCTTGAACTAGCAAAAGTGAATCAATCCACTTCTGCTGTAGTTCTTATAGTCGGCTATATTATAACACATCCAATCCGTCTGGTAGGACAGAAGGAGAACCACCTGCGTACTCACTTGCTGTAGCTTTGCATTGGCGGTTTCAACAGCGTTTGGAAAACTGTACGGTAGAAGACACTCCCGACCCCCCCCCAAACCCACCGGCGCAGAAACCTCGTACAGTATGTTGGGATCCCGCATGCAGGTACGAGAACCGCTCGCCTGCTGCGCCGCGGTGGCGACGAAGGGATATGTCCCTTTCAGGGGGCACCACGCGGTATCTCATCTCATCCCATCATCCCCTATACCTATGTCACCCTGCTGAGCTGAGCCATCAGCCGTCAGCCAGCCCTCTCCAGGCGCCCGGCAACTCGCCTGCTGGAGGGATATTCCGTCCCCATCCCATCCCAGAGAATCCATCCACTCCTGTCTCCTGTAGTTGTGCAAGTAACCCCCCAACCCCAACGCCACCAGCCTGACCGCCGGGCCCAGGCGTGAGGTACGGAGTGCACAGTCCAAAGGCTTAACTTGAAACTTAACTTCCCTTTCCTCGACCCGTCGTGCGTGGAGTGGACGCGGGTGCGTAGAACCGCACAGTCTCGGTTCCATGCCACCGCCACCAGACTTGACTCTGTGACGACCCGCGCCCCGGATTTCGGCGCGCGATGAGAAGGTCGCTGCTTGATATCCATAAGCTGCAGTGATAACCATCAAAGCTCTCGGTAGTCCTACTCTGGAGATTCGACCCCTCTGTGTGTGCCGCGTCAGATGGTTGTGTGCCGATCAAACCCCCTTTACAGCCCATGTTGTAAATGACGAAGCGCATCCCTATTCCCTGCTACCCAACCAAACAGCTACCCCCATGGCCCAAAATCGCTCATAGATATATATCACATTTTGGATACAACGAGTGCCCCTGAGAGCTATGTAGAGCAACTTGATGAAGCCATGTAAAGAACAGTCATAGATAAATAATTTCATTTGCAGTAGAGTTGCCACTCGAAAGAAGGCTAGAATATATGTATGGATAGAGGACAAGAAAAAAAACAGTGTCAATCCATCAACTACAATCGTTTACATACCCCCTTCCTTCGTACCAACAACCAAAAAAAGCCAACAAAACAGCAATAGAGACCAACCACCCAATGCGCCAAACGCGCTTCGCTGAACGTTATGTGTACGTGTGAAAAACATATATGCAACCCCCCTCAAACCCCCCTCAACACATCACCTCCCCCCCACCGCACCTCCCAGCTCAATAGACACTCCCCCTTGAACTCCCCGAATCGCTCGGCGTAGTCGGCTCAATACTAACCTGATTCCTAATCGTCATAATCCACTCGTGCTGCAACAACTCCACCGCTGACGCCCTCTCTCTCGGATCCCTCAAAAAGCACCTATTCAAGAAATCAATCCCCCCAGCGCTCAGCTGATCCGCATTCGGCAACTGCGGCGGATTGCCCTGGGCGATGTTAAACATGATAGCCCACTCGTTATCCAGGGACGCCCAGGGCCGCCGCCCAGTGGCCATCTCGAGGATCACGCAGCCGAGAGACCAGACGTCGACGGCGCCGGCGCGGCCGGGGTTCTCGCCTTTGATGGCTTCGGGGGACATGTACATGGGGGTGCCGGTCATGGATTTGTTGGCTTTAGGGAGGATGGAGGAGTTGCCGTTGATGAGGGTTTTGCCTTGGCGCGCGATCACTTTGGCGGCGCCGAAGTCGACGTATTTGATTACGCCGTTGTGGTCGAGGAGGATGTCTAGTACTTGTTAGAGTGGGCCTTGGGGAGTGGTGATGGGGGAGGATTATTACTTTCTGGTTTGATGTCGCGGTGGACGATGCCGCTTTCGTGGAGGTAGGCCAGACCCTCGAGAAGTTGAAGTGCGTAAACCATGATGACCTGCTCGTCTTCGATTCTGCCGTAGTCGAGTAAGCCGGCGAGCGATCCGCCAGAACAGTATTCCATGAATATGTAGACCTTATCTCTGTGAACTTCGATGCCGAGGTAAGATACTACATTGGGATGGTCGAGAACTTCAAGGACGCCCATCTCATCCTTGATCTGGCCCGCGATAGTCGGGATGAGCTGTGGATCCTGGAGACGAATTTCCTTGACGGCCATAAGGAAGCCAGAATCGAGGTTGGTCGCTTCATAAACAGACCCAAAGGTTCCACCTCCAACGAACTTCCCCTGCTGCCAACGCATAGTAACATTCGTTGCCGACGATGACAGGAAGGTGAGAGAGCGGTCAGCATCACTAGATTCCTCCAGCACCCGCCCAAGCGTCTGTCTCTCAGCTTGCTTTTGCTTTCGGAGTTGATCAATCTCATTCAATTGCTCAAGTCGCCGCTCGCTGATGTAGGTGGCAGAAGCTTCATCGTCAAGCATTCTGCTCGCATCGAACTTGCGGAATTGGCCTGCAAGTGCATCGATTCGCTGCTTTTCTGCCTGTGCTGCCGCTAGTGTCGATCTCGCGCCCATAATATCAAAGTGGGAGATCAACAAACTCATACATCCAGCGACCTTTGCCCGAAGCCTAGCATACTCGTCGTCTCCCAGCTCGAGGATATGCTGGCCTTGCGTCATGAGCATGGAGAACTCCAAGGCAAGGACTGCCCATTTAAACGTCTTTCTGTCGGATGCAACACAGTCATCGCAGATGAAGCTGACCCAGTCTAAAGCCAGCTTAGTGAGCTTCAGGTTGTTCATCTGCCGACGATTCCTGTCCATATAAAGGAGGGACCGTTGCCCAAACTCAGTTGCAAAAACAAAGCAATTATGAATGAGCTCCTGGCAGTCCAACCCCGCTGTCAGCTTCCGGATAACCTGAACGCTGTCCATTATAGTGTTGGACAGCTTGTAAGCCACCTTTTTGATCTCGGTAAGCTTAGCGTTCACTTTGTGCAAGTTCGACCGCTGTTCAACAACCATATCAAGTGGTAACTCAATTCTGCTTGTGAATGCCAGCCTAGCGCTGGCAAGGCGTGCCTGCGACCCATCTGCAATTAAGCGCAAATGCCCTAATTTCAGATCAATCGATGGCTCTCGGGTGTCTGCATCCATCTGGCGTCCCATCCATTGAAGAGGCACTTCAGGGCGCATGATCAATAGATATGGATGGTCCACCCCATCAACCTCATCTTCGTGGTAGCAATTGCTCAGTATAGTAGCAATGTGTTTAGGCCTGTTCCATAGAGACGGTGAGGCCAATAAAAAGATGCCATCATGCTCAAAACTCGCGGTATAGACAAGAAAGTGGCCAGAATCTATGAGCTTATCGTAAAACTGTATCGTCTCGTCTCTATCCATGGACATGCTGAAATCGGTTGCATTCTCAAACCGATCGCTCAAAACTCGGGAAAATCTTTGCAACATACGCTGTCGAACTCGGACGGAATCAAGAATTGCTTTGTAACGTTTGTTCATCTCAGCTGTCGTCTCTGTCGGTCTCTTCTGAAGCTCACGTTCAAACGTTAAGCTGAGGCGGCTCAAGGCCTTGTGAGTCAAGGAACTGAATTGTTCTGCCACCTCCACATCACCACCCTGCAAATGGCGGCCAATCTCGTTGGAAAATGCCCATTCCTGCTCGAGTACCTCCGCCTCCTTGAAAGCGTTCTTATTCCCTCCTAGCTTCCAACCGAGCATTTTGAAGTAGTATTTCAGGGCGTCAAGAATAACCTGATCAAACGAGTCGTCGATGCATGGCGGCAAATCCCATCCTGGCTCCGGCTGGGATATAGCTGCATTCCCCTGCTTTATACGCACAGCCAACTTGAGCAGAATCTGAAACTGCGAAATCATCTGCTCCTGCATCATGGGGTTCTGTTGCGCCGTCTCCCTGACCTTTCTTGCATATTCCAACCGCACCACAATGATCTGCTCAATCAACCTGGACGGGAAACTAATGAGTGTGAGAAGTTCCTCGATGTAAGGTGGAAGATGTCTCTTGGCAAACTCTGCTGAGTTCTCAATCAATGTCATTTTTGCCTTCATAACGACGTCGGAAATGCCCACGAGCATACTCTCATCGCCATGAAGAGATTTTAAGCCATCTTCTTTGAGAAGCCTATCGATAAAAGGCGCGCCATCTGGTAGTCCATCAGAACCCGGAGAGCGTTCCTTGACCTTCAAGAAGTCGAGTTCGGGATTTCCAACCCAGTTTTGAAGCACACTGAGCTCAATGTTGATGAGTTCGGTGGTGTTATGCCATGAAATAACGGCGTCGCAGGTTGCAAGATGAGCGGGAGAATCGGCCGCCTTGTGTCCAGCAATTAAGGCGGTCCTTGAAGGGTAGAGGCTCTCATACTTTTCAATGCTCTTAACAACTTCACGTATTTGCTCAATTGCAGTTTTCCCGGTGTCACTTTCGCCCTTGACCTGAAATTCTGTAATCTCATCAAGAACTGTACCAAGATTCGCCCGCCCATCCTCGATTATCCTTCGCTGCGCTGCAAAAGTTCGGCCACATATCCTTGCGCGTATGCCAACCCACATATCTTCCTTCAAACCCGCGCCTTGTTGCTCAGATACACCAATCAACCGCTTCTTCTCTTGTCTCACAACATCGCCAGTCAATACTGACGCAAGCATGCCGTGCCACTCCAATCGCTCTCGGTTCCGTGGATTCTGCAGCTCCTCTGGCGTTATTTCGATCTCGTCGTTTCCGTAAAATAGTAAGGTCTCCTGGTCAAATGAATCGGTATCAAAGTGAGCCTCCGACGAGGGGGATATATCGTCGCTTTCTTCCGTATTTGAGTCATATGCTAAACCCGGGGTATAGTCATCGAAGTAATCCGGTTGGTCTTGTCGGAGCCTTCTGACATAGGCCTTTTCCTGGGCACGGTAGGATGCCCGTGGGTCTCTGTGAGGTCGCGGAGTCGAATTTGAGCGGTTGCGACCACCTAACCCCAACGGTTGTGACGTCTTTCCAGGGCGGCGAAGGGGATTGTAGGTGCCTGAAGGCGTCCTTGCAGGTCCGGTTGGTCGTTGAGGTCGAGACGTCGCTCCCATTACTGGCGACTCTGGCAGCCTTCCTCCAGATGCGCTTGCATCACTCGAGGCCCTCGACCAAGAACCCGGAACGGAGCCACTAATCGAACCATGACTTTCCAAGAGCGGGGGCGACAGGGCCCGGTTTGTGCTGCCGTAGAATGCGTTGATACCGTTGTCTAGTTCGAGATCCTCATCGTCCGGCGAAAACGTGAACACTGGTGGTTCAGTAGGTTCGGCAGGTGGAAACGGCGGTCGCTCCATTACCGCAACGTCTTCAGAGCAGTAAATGAAGCCAAAGTGTGTATCCTGGGGTAAGTCGAGGTAATTTGAGTCTCGCACTTGTTCATCGCGAAGTCTTGTAGCCTCGTGGTCGATTATCGTGGTTTATTTGCCACAATTAGAGTGATGGCGTAACAGACTTGAACCAGGTTCGACAGTCTCGGGCTCCTTCGGAGAGCAACTTCAAGCCCCTGAATGGTATATGGTATAGTGTTGATAGGGCACCAGTACGGGGCTGGTAACAATTATTATTTCGATTGGATTGAGCAGGAACGTTGACACTTGTTTGCCCTTTCCTGTCGTACTTCACTCTTCAAGCAAGCTCTTGTATCCAGGACAGAGCTTGGGTTATTAAGTTAGCACGGTTAGTACAAGATTAGCTTCCCCATAGGGTCTTCCCGTGCGTTAATGTGAGCAAAGAAAGACCACTGGGCCTTAGCTGGGTCGCTGCTTTAAGATCTGTAACCAATTTAGCTCATCTGGGCCCCAGAGAACCCAACCCGACTGTATGATCAGGTGATCAGCACTGTGTGATTTGTTTGACTGCGAGACATCACATGCCGCCCTAAGCGACAACCATTTTGGCTCCCCTTGCGCTTAGAGATACAAGGGTACTTATATCGAAACCAAACGCTCTACAGGTACGCACAACTATACTGTAGCGACCCTCGGCAAACGCGGTTAGAGATAGAGGAGAGTGACAGAATGAACGCCATGCCCATATGAACATTCTCACCTACTGCTTGTATCCTTTGCATATTTTTACGTGCAATTCTCTACCATCCATGACTCTATGACATTATTAGAAGGCCATGCTCGTTCATGACGGGTTCATGGCTCAAGACGCGTCCTTGCAGTGCTACGAAACGCGTCCGAAAAGTGGTGTTCTGACGCCTGCATCCGATGGCTCCTCCTCCCACAACGGATCCCAGGTTATCTCCCGAAAACGAAAGAGAGGCCCTGTTGAGAACGGGGGAGGCTTGGAGGAGCTACTCTCTGAGAGGTTTACGGTGAAGGTTTGCACGATCCTGTCCTTTGCTGGACGAATATCTAAGCCCATACCAGCCGCACCCATCCTCAGTTCACGACCGACCCCGCTCCTTCAAACCCATTGCGCTCCTTTCTCGATCCGACTTCCCGCTCTCATACCTTGACCGATCCAGGCCAGCGCCATCTGCATTGCCCGACTCACGGTTATATGAGTCGCATGTAAAGATATTGGAACTGGAACAACGTATGGGCAATACTCCAGTGGTTCTCATTGCCCAATTGGACGATAACAAGGCTCTTTACGCTGTGGAATACGAATCGAAGGGGCTATACGTCCTTTTTAAATTGGGCTCATGGGTTGATCTAGGCAAGCTATGCAGTGTCGCCGTGGTGTCCAGGCGGCCTTATACAAAATCACACAAACTTAATAACCCACAGGATGTGGCTGGCCGTGGAGCCTCTGCCAATAACGCCTTATCTCCGGCCGAGAGTGATAAATATAGCAAGAAAAAGAGGCTGGCAATCGAAGCAATCCAGTCCATGGTGAAGAGGCCGTCTACCAGCCAATCTCTGAACATCGAGGAGACAGCATCTACATCTATGGAGCCCCCGAGCACCGCATTACCTTTGGAACCCATTCAAAATGCCCAACCCGACCCAGTTGCATCCGTACAACTGTTGCAAGATGCTGCTTTGGAGGAACCACGGGCAGAAGACATGCTGGACGGCGTTCGGTCGCAGTATTTGGATACTCTGTACCTATCAAAAGTCTCAACGGCATACTTCGCGAAAGGCCCTCTCTCTCGTGCTAGAGCTGCTTTCCATTTGGACTTGGATTCCACGCTTCATATGAAAGATCTCACTCAGTTCCTCGATAGCCTTGTTCTCCCCACCAACATACTGGATAAAAAATATAAAGATGGCCTCCAGGAATTTGTTTCCACACTGGATCCAGGGATTGATAGCGATCTAGATGCGCATATGAAGACTCGCCCCAGAAAACGAAAGATCAAGAAAGTTAAACTGGGTAAAAATGGGCTTTACAATACCGAGGATAGCTTCATCAAGTCCTGGTGGGAAAACCATGATGCCGATGCGGAGGTCCCTGGAGCAGCTAGAGAAGACACCACCAGAAGTAGGATCTCTAAGTTGCGTGTTCGCGAGATCCTGCTCCAAATAATTCTTATTCTAGAGACACTAGCACTCCAGAAGCTATGTCCTCCCCCCGATCCTAACGACGACCTCCCACTTCCAGCTGTGGCGGAAGCCACTCCAGGTGACAAGGCCGTCCGAAGTAAGGCTAAGAAACCTCGGGATTTGCCTGCACTGGTTGCTGTTCACCTTGATAGACTTAGCATCTGGTCATTATCAGCTGGGGAAGGGACGTCAACATCCAAAACAGGAACAACGAGCAACGCTCCAAATTTAACTACGACTGGTGGTAGTGATGCTACTGATATCTTACGAAATTTTTGCTTGGAGGTTGTGGTGCCTTTCTTCTCAGCACGATTACCGTCGCTTTGCGACACTATTTGCCGCAAGTTGGGTGGCCCTAGAGTTTCCTCGCCAGCTCGGCCTCCGCTGAGGAAGTCGTCAAGCATGTCAGCAACTGCACCTTCGCGCCCAAGCGCAATAAGCAAAAAGAGCGCCTCGAGCGAAAGTCGTCGAAGTTTGCAGCGGGCGTTAACAGATGAGAAACTTCAGGCCCGCTCAAAATCTCGACGCCCGTCTGTAGCGGTATCTTTGTTACGGTCTGCAACTGCCCCGATACTTCCTCCTACTCGTAAACGAGAAGGTAGTGAGGCCACTTCCTTATCAAGTATTCCGACAATGAACTCTCAGTCTCAGCATGCCAGTCGCACAGCTGCACATAAGGCCAGGAAGCCCTCCCAAACAGAGAATGGCATGAGCGTCGGCGCCCTTCCTGATCGCAACTCAAAGAAGGCCAACATTGAAGCAGAACTAAAGTATGCCATATCTGCATTAAAGAAGCCCAACAGACAATTTGCGGGCCAAACGACGGTTGATTTAGCGGAGAAGAGAGCTCTAGCTAGCGCGTCGCAGTCTAGAAAGGCCAAGAAGCCTACTCGAAACCCAGGTTTCCAAAATTTGCGGCCTACCGGCGTGCAAATTCTTGCAACGCCAAAGAAGCCTCGCAATCAGGATATGAATATAGGACCTGGATCTCAGTTGTTTTCCCAGCATCAAGCAGAGCCTGAATTGGAACCAAGCTTTGTGCCTCCGTCGAGCATTTCTAGAGTTCCAAGTTCGGGATACCGCCTAGCCATACCCGACTCTAGCCCGCCTCTCTATAGGACTGCAGTTGTGTTAAGGGAACAATATCAGTCATCAGTGGCGAATGCCACGCCAACTCGAAGCGCTCGACAGACGAAACTAGACTATAACACATCTGTGGTAGATACTACTCCTGTGCGAGCCACTTCTGCATATTATGGGAACTTAGGAGCTACAAATCAAGCCGGTGTAGTTGCGGATACACCAGTACGGACAAGCAGGGCAGCATCCGACAACTCCAAAAACCCCTTTGCGGCGCCGAAGCCGCGGCGTGACTTAGAGATCCCGCCCTCCCCTTCTCCACCACGGGCCCCACGGAGTTCGACAATTGATGGTTTCCTGCGTGTGCCAACGGAGCCATACAGTGAGAACATCTCTGAGACACCCAGGAAGAGCGCACCTATCCTATGCACTCCTGTCAAAACGCGGACGGAACCACAAAACGAGGCAGTGAGGCCGCGTAGCCCATTGAAGCCGTTAAACTTTTCAGCCGCATCTTCTCGCTTTGAAGAAGGCAGCAGCCTATTAGAAAGTAAGGCTGTAAAGCCGGCGGCAGCAGCTGATGAAGGTGACATATACAAATCACTTGGCTGGGACGATGATGATTTATGAATTTTGCATGGGCGGATGGATGGCGCTTTGGGCATTTGCAAGGATGGGCTCCTTTGGAATCACAACATAGAAATGATACCTAAGCATTGATGAATGCTGCATGAATGCTAGTAACAATTAAAACAGTATCACTAGCATAACAAGATCACTGATCAATATTCCAATCCCCCATAAACACCCCCATAAACACGTGACCCGACGCGGAACGCGTGAACCAGATATTCCGCGTCCAAACCCACAATTTACACGTCACCCAATGAGGAAATCCAAACCACACAGCTCTGCCGCCCAGCTCCCCTCGCCTCACCTCAAAAACCGCGATATAATAAAAAGTTACGAGCAACGAAACCGCTGACCCGTCCAATGCGTCTATAATACCCCCCAATATCCCAGCATCTCCCCATCGCATTTCTGCGCGAGGCACCAACCATGCCGCCCCGCAAAAGCGACGTGGCGAAAGCTACCAGCGAGGAGGTGGGTGTTGGCGCGCCGAGTGCCAGCACGCCTGCGAAGGAGGCAGCGCATAAGGAGAAAGATGGTGTTAATATCGAGGTTTGTACCTTTCTCCGTCCTCTTCCGGCGCGTACCCTCTTCTCGGGCTCCAACCGCGCGCGGATCGCAAACTTGTCGCTGAAGCTGAACTCAACTAACCTGTTCCCGCGTTAGGATCTCAACCTCCCCAAATCCATCGTGACGCGCCTGGCGAAAGGTGTGCTCCCGCCCAGCACACAAATCCAAGGCAACGCGATGCTCGCGATGACGAAATCCGCGACGGTGTTCGTGGGCTACCTCGCGGCGCACGCGAACGAGTATGCGCAGGCGGCGAACAGGAAGACGGTTACGCCGGCGGATGTGCTGAGGGCGCTGGAGGATCTGGAGTTTGGGGAGTTTAGGCCGCGGTTGGAGGCGGAGTTGGAGGTGTTTAATGAGAATGCGGCGAGGAAGAGGGCGGGGGCCAAGAAGAAGGGGGGAGGGGGAAGGAGGAGGGGGAGGGGGGACCGAAGGCGAAGAAGCCGAGGTTGGAGGAGGGTGCCGGGGAGGGGGGGGAGGATCATGAGGAGGAGACGGTGTTGGAGGATCATGAGGAGGGGGAGGAGGAGCATGAGGGGGATGATGAGCCGGATGATGAGGTTGAGGATGATGGAGAGGAGGAGGAGCAGGATGAGGATCACCATGATGACGATGGCGAGGATAGGGTGGAGAATGGGAGGGATGAGGATGAGGCGCTTGATAATGGCGAGGATAGCGACTAAGTCTCAAACATGATCTAGATATGATCAATGGTAAGGCGTTTGGGCACGGCGCTGCAGGGGCATATAGGGTTGGTATACGAGGTAGCCAGGCATTTATTGGAGAGTGGGTAAACGTCCAAAATTGCCAGTAATACACTCCATCACATTTATATCATCTCTTCATGATTACCGCTTCCTTGTCGAATTTTACAAAGCTTCAAAAACTCCGTCAGAAATCTTTCGTCGCACATCACAGCAACACAGAACAGACACAGCAAGCAGAATTAAGTGTTTCCATTGTAATTAGGATAGGGCAAATCCATACCTCCCGTGTCGTCACATCTGGGTATATCTCATGCACACATGCTCGCATGCTATCCAATTCCAAGGATACCAAGCCAAACGACGAAGCCCATCGCAAATGCAACAAACGCGTCCCAACCCATAATGAAAAACTGAAAAAGTAAAAAAAAAAATCACATAGAGCCTCGAAAATATCCCCCTTTGCCAATAGAAACGCCTCCCTCTCTCTTTCGTCACGGTGACAGTCTGGCCCTAGTGAAAAAGAAGATGTTGGTTAAAGGAAATATGCATGGGGTTTGGCCGAAAGCAAAACGTTAGTCAGCCTGGCGACAGAAAAGCAATCATGAGAATGATCATAATCCCTAAATCCAGAAACAAAGTGTGCCAAATGAAATGCATTCTTCCATGATTGATTGATAGCACTAAAAAAGAAAACCCGCGGAGAGAAAAGTGTTGGAAAAGGAATTATAACTAAATAAAAACGAGGTATAATGCGAAACCACGCATAGTAGAAGAGCACGAAGCCGCCAAATAATAATTCCACCCTAGAATAATTTACACCCAATTAAACAGTCAGCAGCCCCACAGCTCATGCTCTTATGTATACCCCAGGGTGGAGAAAATTGACCAACTATCCCAAGTCCACCCAAACTCCGTCGTCCATATCGTAATGGGCGATACCGGGGAGACAAATACGACTCCCGTTTCCGCGTTCATGTCCTGAACGTGTGTATTAACATTATCGTTGATTGCATGATCCATACGTATCGCCGTCTCGATCGTGTTCTTCTCGAATGTTATGCGCCAAAGGCGTTTCGTTGTTAACTTGATGCGGGGATTATCCTTGAGTGCCCCATCCCCAAGAACCCTGGGTGCCAGGCTGCTGCTGTGACGCCCAATTTTGGGGCGTGGCTGGTGCTTGCGCAGCTTGTGGTTGCACGTATTGCTGTTGTATTTGGTCTGGTTGGTAGATTCCTCGGCTCTGGGAAGGATATCCCTGACCCATGTTTTGATATTGCATGCCGGGTGGGAGTTGCGAGCTGCCTCCAGCGTGCCGCAATTGCGTGGGTGACTGGTGGGGAGATTGTTGACTGGCTTGAGGGCTATAGTGAGGATAGGCCTGGTGTGAAGATTGATGGGGTTGTGACGGTGGCCACATTTGAGTCTGCGAAGGATACCCGTACTGTGCTCCCTGGCCCATGCCAGTAGATGCCAAAGATAGACTTGGAGATCTTCCATGCATTTGGTCGGACCGCATAGCGCCCCTCATCGGGGTCTGTGCAAGAGGGTTAGGTTGGTGCGGGGGTTGTGTATAAGAAGTGCCTGAAATCATGCTTTGGCCCGGCTGGTTTAACAGCATCGGTTGTTGCACGTTACTTGTACCCTGATGGGGCGACTGCAGTGACTGTGTCACGGATGGCAGATTGTCGCTGAGGCTTGTAGTCGGTGGAAGACTCGGAACAAGGGGCTCGTGTGGCTGTCGCCAAATCTCCTCAATGTATTTGCCACGAAAGTTCCTCTGCTGGTTAACTTGCTTGTTATACTCAGCAGCATGGTGAGACTGCGTGAGCAATTCTCCGGGCGGGCTTGACTGGGTTCGGTCCTGGTACGCAGGGCCCGTAATCTCCTGCCTTGGACGGGAAACGTTACGATATTCTCCCAGCCGTAGCTCATTCTGGTCTGGGGTCAATGTGATCATTGGCAGAGGCGTTCCACCGCCAGCTGGCCCCAGCATGCCAGGCTGAACGGTTTGAGGTTGAGGATGGTTGAAATGCACCGGAGCACTGCTGTAAACAACATCTCCTTGGTGTCCAAGAATCGCAGTTGCGTTTGCAGTCGCCTCAGCGGCTGCTGCGTCCCTGGCCTTCGCCCCACCTGGTCTCTTCTCGCCCGCCAAATCAGCCTCTGTGAAACCTTGTTTCCGTGCTTTCGTCTCCCAATAATCGTCCCGCACCCTGCGCCCATTCACAACCACTCTGCTGCCAAACTGGCGAAACATGGACTTTGCTGTGACTATCGCAATTTGACGAGATCGGTAGGAGAATGGGAGGATTTCTTGGTGGATAAGGTTCTCCTTCTCCTCCTGGGTCGCAATGATCTTGTATAGGGACCGGTTCTTGTTGAATAGAAGGTACGAGTCCCTATAACCGAGGACTCGTGCGCATTCGGTCGCCAGCATAAATAATTTATCACCTCTCCCGGGCACGAAGAACGTCCTGCATTTGTACTCCCGTCCATCGTTCAGGTGCCCAGTAGGACCCACCTTTTTCTCTCCAGCCTCATCGTACTCCCTTGGGATGTACTCGTCTCCCTCTGGGCCCAGCTGATCTGTAGTGTGGTCGCGTACGGTAGGCAGTGCTTTCACTACAGGCTTGGATGGTGTGGTCTTGGGTGGTGATGTCTGGGCTGGCACCACCGAATTCAGAGGTAGCGACAGCGCAGTTGTTTGTTGCTGCGGGGTCTGTGGCAATATATTCTGGGCTGGCTGTGACACCGTTTGCTGTGTTGGGCTCTCGGATACTCCGCCAGAGGTGCGGCTTGGTGGTTTCATCGGTCGTCCTCTCTTTCTCGGCTTGCCGTCACCTATCACTGTGGCATCGTCAGCATCTCCTCGTATCTCCAAATGCGTAAATAATAAGGAAGAGGCGCGTAAAAAGAAGCAGCCGTCGCGTTCGCGCGGCATTGGGGTCATACCATTCTCATCTGCATTGTGCAACTCGTTGAAAGTCTCCGTTGGCGAACGGCTTCGTTTCGTGCCGCGCGGGCTGACATCAGACGGGAAGGATGATGATGGATTGGCGTTTGCTATCAGGATATTAGCTGTGCATCAGTTACGAGCGCGTAAAAGCACGACGGATCGCGCAAGCATGCGGGAAGTCCGAGACTTCGGTTCCCAGTGTGATCGCGAGTCGCGCGCGCGCAAAGCGCAATAATCGGAATCTCGACACATACCAGAGTTGAGGAGCGCAGGATTTAATGTGCCGGTGCCTGAGCCCGCGCTGTCCTGGACTCCGGAATACATGGCCGTAGGGCCGCCGGTCGCGACTTGAGTTCGTGTGTGTGATAGCAAGCTCGCCGAGTTGATGAATGTGGCGACAGGCAGGCCGATGCAAGTCTCCGCGTCGCGGCAACGGGCGGTCGCAGTCGCAATTCACGAGGGAAGCCGTGGCGACTCCAGACACAATTGGATATTGTCCCGAAACCAAGTGTTACAACGTATTCCCGATGATGCGCAGCGGCGGGAAGCTGTGAGATGTCGGTGATGGTTGATGTTTCCCGGTTGGCGATAGCAGTCGCGGCTAGAGGAGTAGTGGGTGATAGCTGAGGGATGCGATCACGTCCCTTTCGGAGCCTGTGGCTTTCAACTAGCGAAGCGTGGCAGAGATTACGTCGGGAACCAGAACAGTTTAGTTCAAGTGATCCCAGCTAATACAGCGAGAACAATAACGCGAAAAGGTGTTCCTCGGTCCCCATCGGTTTCGTTCTCTGTGGAATATAATAAACTGATGGCAAAGCCTATCATTAGGGTCGAGAGAGACGCGGCTTTTTGGACTCTTCAGTCGGTCTGGTCTGATCTGATCTGGTCTGATCTGGTCTGTCTGATCTGTCTGGTCTGTCTGGTCTGTTCGGTGTCTGGTTATGGTGCGTGCCGTCGCCGTTACCGGTACACTCCGCGCGGTACGGTACGTATACTTGGAGAGTAATCAGTACTCAGCATACAGTAATTCTCTCAGGATCCAAGGATGATAGTTCGTCAACCAGCCCGACACACGATTAGAAGACGATTAGAAGACGATGAGAAGACGATGAGAAGACGATGAGAAGACGACGGGCAGGTAGAGATGGGCGTGTGCAGGCGGCGGTTGCGGCTGTGCTATTGTCGACTCGAGCTTCTCGAATGCGATAACTCTAAAGTCGTCTTTTCCGATGATATTCACGAGGTAGTCGAGTATGTATGTAGATGTAGAATCTGTGAGGTACTTCCCAGTCGGCCAAGATATCCAACCACTAGAAAGCGTTGGTGGTTTTTTGAAGCTTTGTGTTCTGAATGGCGACCTCAGCTGAGCAAATGAGTCTCGAGCGAGAGTACTTTCCAACTACAGTATACTAACTGTATACCGTATACTGTAGATACTCTGCAATAGAGTGAAGCAGAGTAGAGTATATAGAGTAGAGTACAATACAGCACATGCGATTATCCACCAGTGGCAAGAGAGGGATTTGCTTGTCTTGTCCCAGTCGATGCACACAGCGGGCGCTGCTCACTGTCCACACTTGTCTAGAGTATCCGCCGTGAATACCACAGTATGGAACTTTCGTCGGGCGGGAGCGCGTCAAGCCACGAGTCAAACTCTCTCAAAGCTCAAAGCTCAGGTATCCCTTGTTCCGCCACAGTTTGTCCCAGTTCGTCGGCGACTCCAGCGGACCTTCTTCGCTGCGGGACCCCACAAGATCGTCTCTCCAATCGGCGTTAATGAGGAAGGTGATAACTGGCTGTACAGCACTTTTGAGAACACTATACGCAACGTAGTACAGTATGAGGAGCACTGGAACTTACTGCACGAGGTTGTTTTGGCACCACCTTGTCTTATAAAGCGCCAGGGCACACACGAGTCGCGTCCACGTCGGCTTCCTTCGTCTTTATTGTATGTATGTTCTGTTCTGTATTTTTGCGCTGCGGGCGTGGGGAAAGAAGGAAGCTGGTGGCAAGATTCAATTTACAACATTCTTGGTCAAATACTCCGTACAATGGGGCTGGTTCAAGACTGAGTGGATTGATTGCAAGTGGCAAGCCCCCCCCCCCGCCATACGATACGACCATGGGGCGGCAGGGCAGGGGTGAAGGCGACCAACGGCGGCCTTTGTCATATTCGCCGCCACAGGAAGGGAAAGAGGCGCTGGGTGATTCGAGTGTGGAGGGGAAAGCGCTTCGGGTACTACTTTCTTTACTTGAGTCTATTCCCATGGGGATACATTTGATGGCGATCCAGAGAGTGCCTGCCATCTTGTTATAGCGATATGATCTAAATTTCTATAGATAGTTTCTCATTGTCACTTTCCAAGTTAGGGTACTTGCCGCGCATCAAGTACGTACATACGGTTCCTCCAACGAGCAAGGTACCAAAGACAGCCCAGGCACTATATGCCGCAGTCTATCACTCAGCGTGGCGCCGCCTCTGTTCCACCGCGAGTACGGCGACAACGACCAAGATGATGACTGCGCCTGGCGAGATCAGCCTAGCCTTGCTCGAGTACTCTGTATTTTTGGGCTTTCTCGCGATAACCGGAGGCGTCGCCAACCCTCGCTCTGCCTAGACGACGCAACGACCGTAGGGATGTGCAATATCGAGCGGCCTAATCGAGTAACATGCATCAAACGCGTATTTCGCCGTGACCAGCATCTTACACCTAGATATGGGCGGCCTCAGTCTTCCGCTTTGAGACATTATTCCTTCCCCCCAGACTTCGGCGGAGACCCGCGGAAGGCTGGCTGGTGAGACGACTCCTCAGCCTAACGGCAGTTGTGCGCCTCTGCCCTGCTCTTCTAATGGCCAATATTGATCACAGAGCGCATAGTACCCCGCTTCAGCTTGATGTGGCTTTCTCACTGCGGGTTTGGCCCTTGGATCATCGGTGCGAGTGAGCAGGCAGCAATGCTGAGGCAGATCCGGAGAGTTTGACTTGGCGCGACGCCGCTACTACTAGCCCGGAAGGAACGTGACCATAAGATGGTCATGTTGCTTCTAGAGCAGCAGGTCGTATTAAAGAGGAAGAGCCGACTTAAAAGACTAAAGTCTCCTAAGAGGATTGTGCCTCTACCGGACTGGGACTCGCGGCTCAACACGGATATCCTATCTACGATCGAGTCAAGAACAAGGCGGTTCTGAATATCACAGCCTGGAAGTACTTCCAAAGGAAAGAGTCATATCCTTGAGGACAGCCTGAGCCTCTTCATCGCATGTGATTGGCCATTCAACGTAGCAAACATTCTCTCCCCATTATTACTGTCTCAAACTGCATGTGCGAAGTGAAACAAAGTACTGCAATAGCATGTAGGATGAGGTATCCTGCTCGCTCCGGTGGTCACCAGTATTGCCCAATAATCCGTTCCACGATTAGATACCCAACGGCCAGCCATGTGAGTGAGGCCAACCAGGCTCGGAGAGGCTCGGAGATGTATAAATCAAGTAAGTGCGATTTCAAGTTCGAAACACCAAGAGAAGAGCGTTTGGAGTTCGTAAAGATCGGCGATGCTGTTGCATGTAGAGTACCAAGTATAGATCGCGTAAGGACGTGGAGAGAAGCACAGAAGAGTCTGGTAGCTCTGGAGTGAAGCATAAGGTATCCTCTTTTCGCGTCATGCCATGTAGATGGTGTACTTGCGAAGGTCGAGAAACGCGTCGATCGAGCATCCGTCCTTGAATATCCATCAGATATCATGCAGGCAATGCCACTGGTGGAATGCAAGTGCAGCGTGTGACCACCATCTGCCTCGCGCTACTTGAAAGATGGGTGGGTGATTCTTTGGATGCGAATCCCTCGTCGGCATGGAACTGAGGGTGTGCTGCGTCGGCCCGCGAACTAAGGTTGCAGCTGGACTGGAATTCCCACCCTTCGCCCTTCGCCCACAGCCTTCATCGGCCCACCTGGGCGTGTAGTCCGTCCCCGCCTGGCTCCTTGTTTTCATAACTTATGCACATCATCTTGCTGATGCATGCTTGGATTGCCCTTGACCGCCCTTGACGGCTTGACTCGTAAACCGGTCACAAAACGCTCCGGGAGGATGCGTTAGTAGTACATCTCCATGAAGATATTTAACACACCATTTCGCACTCAAAAGCGTCCACGGTCTCGAAATATACTCCACGTTGACAGTACGTGCGCCGGGAGATCATCTGGTTGTTGGAGATATCGGGCAAAGGTTCATAACTGAAGTGGTGCGACATCCCGAGAAGGTAGAGAAGGTAGAGAGCTAAGAACGGGCGGGAGTGTGAGGGTGCACGCCACATCTATTTCGATCATCGGTTCAAATATATCGTATAAGAATGGCTCCCACACTAAGATCAGTGAACTCCATCCTTGGCTTCCGGCACCAATATAAAGAGTGTACGTGTTAAGTCGAGCTTTATGTCTGGTCGTTTCGTAGAAGGTCGTACATACAGTGGTCGCTAGATGCACTGTACGAGTTGGTGTATTTGGTAATGGTTTTGGGGGTAAGTTAAGTTACATAATTTATATTCATATTTATTGACGAATTAAAATCTTATTCCCGGTGTGGGTTTATTTTGTAATAAAAATAATACTCGAAAAACTAGATAGGCTCATAATAGTTCCCTAACAATCTACATAATCATAGCCGCCTGTAGAAGCAACGCCAGTAATATAAAATACAAAATCGCTTTTGTATGAGATAAGAGATGATGTTGACAGAAACTTAGTTCGAGATGTGGAGCTTCGATAGAGTACCCCACACTCACGCCTATCTTATCGGGATACGCTAGCATCACAGATATAAATTTCAACCTACATCGCTACTGACGGCAATTGTAGATACGCGACAATATCATTGCCAACATGACTAGCCTCAAGAGGTCGTTGGCGTCGGATCCATATGGCTCGAATATTTCAAACAAGGTCTTTGTGAGATCAACAAAGAGCGGAAAGGTCCAGAAGATTGTTCGCGAACTATACTTGCGTCAAGATATACCCTGCTCGTCGAAATTATGTACGGGCTGCTTAGAAACTGCCCCACGAGATGCCGGCGGCAACGGTATGTTGCGAAAATAGCTCTATGGTAAATGTATTCAATTAACATATCCGTATAGCTGCTCCATTTGTTCTTTCCGAGAAGCCGGCAGGCACAAAAGCATTCCCCCAGGGGCACTACCTGGTCCCTGATACAAACGCCCTCCTCAACGCCACCGACTTGTTCGAGCAGACATCGGCATTTTACGACGTCATTATCCTCCAGACTGTCCTGGAGGAACTCAAGAACCGATCCCTGCCACTCTACAACCGACTCATTGGACTGACAAACAGCGAAGACAAGCGATTCTACGTCTTCTTCAACGATTTTAGACTGGAGACATACATCACCAGAGGCGTGGGCGAGACAATCAATGACCGAAACGACAGATCCGTACGGAAGGCGGTGCAATGGTACGGCGAACATCTGACCAAGACTGTCAAGGAGGCAGGAGGAAAACCGAAGCAGGTGCCAGCTGTGGTCATGCTGAGCGACGACAAGGAAAATTTGCGGTTGGCTAAGGCCGAGGGCTTACATGCTGTTTCATTGAAGGAATATGTTGGGTCTCTGGAGGATGCTGATAGGCTCTTGGACATGATCAGTGCCTCCCAAGAAAGCCGGGAGGCGAGGGATGCGAAAACTGCGGTGAACATTTATCCGGAGTATTACACAGTTTCGAAGATGATGACCGGGGTAAAGGACGGAACGCTACACCAAGGCGTCTTCAACATCTCTCCTTACAACTACCTCGAAGGCTCAATAAAAGTCCCATCATTCGACAAACCATTGCTCGTTCTCGGGCGCGATAGTATCAACAGAGGTGTACACGGTGACGTTGTGGTCGTGGAAGTTCTTCCCAAGGATCAGTGGAAAGAGCCATCATCCAAGATTATCGAAGAGGAGATCTTGAATAAGAACGAAAATGCCGATGCAGACGATGGCGAGGCCCTGGTGACACCACAAGAAAGGCGTGCCCTTCAAGAGGAGGTGAAGAAGACGCACAGCAAGAGCACAGAAGGCCGTCCACAACCGACCGCAAAAGTGGTAGGAGTACTGAAGAGGAACTGGAGACAGTACGTTGGTCATGTCGACGAATCCTCGGTCAGTGATTCTGTGAAGCAGAGCCGGAAACAACAGACCGTCTTTCTCATCCCTATGGACAAGAAGATCCCTAAAATTAGAGTTCGCACTCGCCAAGCGGGAGAACTTCTTGGGAAACGTATCCTGGTTACGATAGACTCTTGGGATAGGGAGTCACGTTATCCAGTAGGCCATTTCGTGAGGTCTCTTGGCGAGCTGGAAACAAAGGGTGCTGAAACCGAGGCTCTTCTACTGGAGTATGATATCCAATATCGACCCTTTCCGAAGACGGTCCTCGATTGCTTGCCCAAGGAAGGGAGTGACTGGATTGTACCGTCTAGCACAGAAGACCCTGGCTGGAAGGGTAGACAGGACCTGAGAGGTTTACTGATTTGCAGTATCGATCCCGTTGGGTGTCAGGATATTGATGATGCTCTCCACGCCAGGCCTTTGCCAAACGGAAATTACGAAGTCGGTGTGCATATTGCGGATGTTTCAAACTTCGTAAAGCCGAACAATGCAATGGACAAAGAGGCTAGCATCAGAGGTACTACTGTCTACCTAGTGGATAAGCGCATTGATATGTTGCCAATGCTTCTGGGCACCAACCTGTGTTCTTTGATGCCATATGTTGAGCGCTACGCCTTTTCAGCAGTATGGGAGATAACCCCAGATGCCGACATTGTCAAGTCAAGCTTTACCAAGTCGGTCATCAAATCTAGAGAGGCTTTCAGTTACGAGCAGGCACAGATCCGCATTGATGATGCGTCGCAACAAGATGATCTAACAAAGGGTATGAGGACACTGCTCATGCTTTCGAAGAAGCTCAAGCAGAAGAGAATGGATGCTGGTGCTCTGAGTTTGTCGTCGCCAGAAGTCAAGGTCCAGATGGAATCGGAGACCTCGGACCCCATTGATGTCCAGACAAAGCAGCAATTAGACACAAACTCCCTGGTTGAAGAGTTCATGTTACTCGCCAACATCAGTGTCGCTACCAAGATCCACGAGGCATACCCACAAACCGCGCTGCTACGCCGCCACGCCGCACCCCCAAAGTCGAATTTCGAGGAGCTTGCCAACCAGCTGAAGGTCAAGCGTGGCCTTGAGCTCAAGCATGAGTCTTCCCGAGCTCTCGCGGACTCACTAGATCTCTGCGTGGATCCCAAAGAGAAATTCTTCAACACCCTGGTCCGCATCATGGCCACTCGGTAAGTTATCAACCCAATTCATTCGATCAAGACACTTCTTTAACCAAACCCAGATGCATGATGAGCGCCGAATACTATGTAGCCGGTAACTTCGCATACCCCGAATTCCGCCATTACGGTCTCGCTTCAGAGATCTACACGCATTTCACCTCCCCCATTCGTCGTTACGCCGACCTAGTCGCCCACCGAATGCTCGCCGCAGCAATCGACTATGAGCAGTTAGACGCCAGCATGCGCAGCAAGGGCAAGCTCGACGGCATCTGTAAGAACATCAACGTGCGTCACCGCAACGCTCAGCAGGCTGGTCGAGCATCGATCGAGTACTACGTCGGCCAGGCTCTCAAGGGACGCATCATCGAGGAGGAGGGTTTCGTGATGAAGGTCTTCTCTAACGGCTTCGTTGTTTTCGTGCCGCGCTTTGGGATCGAGAGTTTGATTCGCCTGCGGGATTTGGCGGATCCAGAGCCGGATGCTGCGTTTGATGCTGAGAATTATGTGTTGAAGACGAGTGGGAGTAGAGAGGTTCAGGTGGAGCTGTTTCAGAAGGTGGTTGTGAGGATTAGCGATGTTATGGAGGAGAGTACGAATAAGAGGAAGGTGAAGTTGGAGCTGGTTAGTGTTGGTGGAAAATAGATAGACCTCGTCTTGTAGGTTGGGAATATTTATGCATATTATTGTATCACAACATTCACAGTCTGGTTGCACACGTGATACCCCTGAGCAAACTTGTTTGGTACGGTGATAGAACGAAACAATGATGGAAGCTCGTGACCTGTATGTATCCCATTGAATTAAAGATACTATGGATCAGAATAAGCTTGCGCGTACCCAATGTATTATCTGGGAGGTAGCGTTTCGCTTTTGCTCCAGCCACGAAACTGGATTGAAAGCCATTCCAACACTTCAATCGCTCTGAAAACCAACGCGTAAGACCCAGTTCTATCCATGTACATTGAAAGCCATTCAGTCCCCAAATAAGAATCAACGCGTAAAAGACGCAGTTCTCTATCGGTACATCGAAAGCCATTCAGCCCCATAATCGCCCCAATAATCAATGCGTAACGACGCAGTTCCATCTATCGGTACAGTGAAGGGCATAGAGCTCTTAAACCGCTCTAAAAGCCAACGCGTGGAGTCCCAGGTTCCTCGGTGCCTGCGTATCCTCCGGTATTAAACATACATTCTTGAAAACTCCATTGTGGCCAAGACCTTCGACAACCGCAGCCTCTTTCATTTTCATATCAGCGTCCTTGAACACCTCAGCGCTCATGGCTAGCAGACAACGAAAGTAAAGCCTTCTCAGTCAGTCTCCAGTTTTATTACGAACTTCCCTCTACTATGACGTCTCCTAGAAACCCTTTTCATAAGGTTAATACGATGTCTATTCGATAGGAATGAAAACTGACTTCAATTTCACCTTAGAAAACCTGCCCGTAGCTCCCATCCAAGCTAGAACTCCAATAAGGCCTAGGAAAGATACTGAGGCAACGATCGATTTGTAATCGCTGCAAACTCGGGCTGTTGATTCACAACCGCGAGTATGTCCACGGGAGGTGCAAGCGAATGATTTCTTTACCCAGATCGTAAGGGTCTTGCGCCTTGAAGTTGTTGGTTCTTCGTGGTTTTCGTTCGCAGTCTGTGCTTCGCGGTTTTCGTTCACAGCCTGTTCTTCGCGGTTTTGGTTCGCAGTCTGTCGCTCACGAAAGTAATTGAGCCTTTCATCCCGTCGCGCAAGAATGACGGCTCTGCTGCTTGCGAATCGGGCTTCGTGCTGTCGTTCCTCAAGTTGTGTAATTTCCTGTCGAATTATATCCGCGGTAAGAATTGCAAGTTCGATATCAGCAGGGTTGTCTATCGTTATATCGTAGCTTGGAGGTGCATCATGATGGATGGGCTAGGATTATAACGGCCTGACATCGTTTTTCTATCCTGCTATAGTTGTACCTTAGTTTACTTTGGAAGTTGCGATAGACCCAGCCATCGCGACTTCCAAGTAATCGTAAAGATAAGACAGACCCCTTACTACCCCGCATCACCCGACCCACCCGAGACTGGCGTCGATAGTGAGGTTGGCAATGCGGTTTTCGCCTGATCAGTTTGTGAAGTGGGTTGGGTGGTTGGTAGGCCATGGTCTTTAGTAGACGAGTTGACATGGCTGATATTCATTGTGTCAGTCCTCGGCGAGAAACCAGGTGTTCGACTTCGTGGAGTGTCTGAATTTGAAGTGGGTTGAGTTGATTGTTCGACAAACGACGAAACTTCCTCTAGAGTTGATGATGCAGAAAACCGTGTCTTGGATTTCCTGAGGCCATTTGTTCAGCCAGAGATCCAGATTCGACTATCGTTGTATTTGCCTCTAGTGTTGATAGAGCCACAACTAGGGAAGCAAATTGTTGTCGAACTAAAGCTGACGCTTGACTTTGCGTACTGTTGGATTCTGGAGCCTCGGGCAGATTTCTTCCAGCCTGAGTGTTGACGGAAGACGAAGGTTTGGAAGGAGAAGGCTCTGAAATAGCTGCTTCTGAACGAAAAGGCTCTGGAGTCGTACAGTTTGATCTAGCTGATGATAACCTAGAAGACTCTGAAGGAGTGGCAGTCATGAACTCATAGCCTTCATTTTTGAATTCATTGGCATTGAGCCGGGAATCGTCCGCGTTCTTCTCCTGATCGTTCTCATTCATCTCTGGCCCACTTAAATCTTTTCCCTTGGACTTTTTCGGAATTGTCAATGTCGCGTTTAAATCTTTCTTCTTTGACTTGTTCAGAGTGGTCATTATCTTGTTTATTGACGCCGATGGAACTCCATCTTCCCGCGCTTCCGCCGCTGTCCATTTGATCCTGGAAAGCCATTCCTCGTACCCTGGGTGGTCACTTTTTGACCGGTAGTTCTTAGTGGTCCACTTCCCAATAGGCAATGTCGAATCGCCACCGTTTAGCACAATCAAATGCTTATATTTTTGTCCGGCCATCGTGGTCATGGCAGTTCCATCTAGTGCCAGTGCAGGTGCGCCCTTTCCCTTGTGATTGCACCTTAGATGGTCACTCTTCAGAAATTCGGTCTCATTGAATATCGTTAAGTGAATTCCGCGTAAGCGCCCTTCATGCTTGTGGACGAGCAACTTCATGACGGCGTCATCTGCAGGATAGCATTTCTTGAGGTAGGGTCGCTTGACGGCTTCTCGGGCAACAAAGGTATTGGGATCTGTATCCTACAGGCCTATCTTCTGCCATTGTGGCGGTAGTGAATAAGATGATATCGCAAAGCTTGAATTTGAATATTTCTAGGCTGTAACCAAAATGTGGCATAAAGTGTGAGTGAGTGAGTGAGTTCAAACTGCCGTAACAAAGATGACAAGGTAGGATGAAGATGAAGGTAGGATGAAGATGAAGGTAGGATAAAGATGAAGGTAGGATGAAGATGAAGGTAGGATGAAGATGAAGGTGGGTGAAATGAAGATGAAGGTGGGTGAAGATGTTGTAAGTAGGAAGGAGGTCGAACGAGCGAAGCATCTAAGAAATACTCGCATCTAACATAATAGTATGTAGGTTGCGAGTAGAAACATAGAATAACACGAGTGGTATAGAATCTGGAGAAGAGAATAAGTAATGGCTGCAGCCGCAAAAACCAACCTTCAATACCATACTACCCAAAGAGTATACCAATACCCAATCTTCTATCAACCCCAAACCAAAACGCCACACCGATACCAATAACAAATGCCGCCCTTTAACCCCCCCCCCCCCAACACTTCAAAATCACCACCTCTCCCTCCCCCCCCTTTGCCTCCCCCCCGAAGCCTGATTCTGCACCTCCTCCCACCTCCCATACTCCCTCACCCAAACCCTCTGCACCTCCCCCACCCAGCCCACCACATCCCCCACCGTCCTCTCCACCCCCCTCTGATAAACCATCATCCCCCCCACCACAACCGCGCCATAAAACACCAATCCAAACATAACCCGCGCCCCAAACGCAACCATCCGCTGCATAAACCCCATCACCCGCATCGAAATGTACAGCGTCACCAGCAGCACGCCCAGGGACACGACGGCGGGGGAGTCGTGCGCGGCGTTGGTGAGTTGGACGAGGAGCGGGCGTAGGAGCGGGAGGAGGAGGGTGCGCGCCCAGTTCATGAAGCGGAGGGTTGGGTACAGGATTGGTGAGAGAAGGGAGTAGAGGGTTGAGAGGACGGCGTGATAGTCTGGGGGGTTTGTTAGCTGGGGGTTTGGGAGGGGGAAGAGGGGGGTGGGGGGGGGGTAGGACCTTCGAGGGCGTCCATTTCGAGCGGGTTGCACGCGGAGCGCGTAAACTGGCAGGAAGCCCTGGTGCGCCGGGGTTTATAGGTACAAGTACAGCGGTAACCCGGGATAATGGGCTTCGTAGAAGGGTTTCGATGAGCTTGCCTCGCGATTCCTTCCGCCTTTCAAGTCTGCTTTTATGGTTGATTGTTTTGCTTTGTGGGCTTTGACTGGAGACCTGTCTTAGAAATGGATTCGTGTCGTCGAACGCAGCCTTGGTGAAGAACCCACAGCCTCGTGCCGTGGTGGAGAGGTTTTAGCGCCAACCCACGTGATTTTTCAGCCGTGCAGGGTTGCGCTCATGGTAGGTAGACTTTCACCAAGGTTTGTAAAATTGTGATCATTCATAAAGTCTTACGTTTAACTAGAACATGCCTATATTTAGAGAGAGGGCTATAAATATATACTCTCTTTAATGAGTGGAAGATGGGTTTGCTCCCTAATTCCCGAAAAATTGTGTAGGTTACAGCAACACACGATTCAAGAGAGGCTCCCCAGGACAGGCGCAGCAGAAAGGACACACGAAAGGACAGGGCTACACCAGTCCATGGAAACCGTGAAAATCGTGACTCAATGGCCAAAACGGGCCATGATATTGTGCTCCCAAGTGATATCAATCCGTATATGTGCGCCAATAAATCCCAATGCGAAATCCCAATAATAACTATTCTAACCTGCAGAATCCCGCATCAGATCTGGTTTTCCATTTGTCTGCTTGCGGCCCTTCCATATGCTGGCCTGGCCAAGGTAGAGAGCGGTTCATTGCTGCCAGGAGACCCGTTGAATATCGAACTCGGCGGGCTGACGCGGTCAGCCTGAAACGACTTCTTAGAGTCGTCTCGGTAGTGCTGTGGGAAATCTGTGGACTGCCTTTCTGGGATTGATGCGCTAAAACTGCCCTTCCTGCTCTGGTTCCGCACATGCTTTGCCAGTCTTGTGCTCTGTCGTCGTACAGGCGGTACAAATGGATCCGCGCCCAATATTGCGCCGTCTGTAAGCCCGCTTCTCGAATTTGGTGCTCGAGCAACCATTGGCGGCGGCGACAGGGCCGTCACACCAATGTTCCTCGTGCCGAACGGACTTGGCCCAGCGCTCCATGTCCATCCTGGGGGATGTGATACGATCACAACAGAAGAGGATTGCCGTTTGTGAGATTTTTCAGGGCTTCGGCCTGAGGCCTCGGTGTAGGTTTCTTTCCGCCCACGCCACCTTTCGATCTCCTCGTCGTCAACTGGGGGGATTCCCCTCCTGTGCCTGTGATATTTCGGATTACGTTTCCACCTAATAATGAAAACGGTGGCTGACACTACCATAAAAAGCGCGAGTGAGCCGAAAACGGCGGAAAGGACGATGACAAGATTGCGGCTATTTTCATTCGGTTCATTGAACAGTGTCGTGTTTCTTGGGAATTTGGAAACCATTGGTAGGGGGATTGAAGATCCGTTGGCTTCAATCCCTTGTGTGGTATTTTATCTGGCCGGCAGAGATGTTGGGAGAGTCCGTCGTAGGACAATAAGAACTTCTTGAAGTCGAGATAAATGGTCGAAAGAGTTCCCTCAAGGTAACTGATCGAAGGATCGGGGGTCGTTGCCAATTCGGATAATGTCAAAGACGCAAGTAGCAGCTATGAATCTCTATGATCTTTGGCCTACAGCTCCACATCGTTGTCGGTATTCGAAGGTCAACTTGAAGAACGGGTAACGGCAACCAGAAGTATAGTGCCGAATCCAATTTTCACAATCCACCACCTCAGTCCGTAATTTTGCTAGCTCTTAATAGTATCCTTATAGCTGTGGTCCGACAAGCATGGCGAGAGAAGGTCCTGCTCCAAAAAAAAAAATATGGTCTGGCAAAGATCGAGTATCGGAGTATATGGAAAGGTAAATGAGACTGGTTCTGAAAACGATTGTAAACGGCGTAGAGCCAAGGGTCCTCTACGTTCAGAACAAGCAACTCAGCGGCGACGTCAAGGCGTGCAGAAGCAGCGGTAAAGGAGGAACGGGAGGGACGGGAATATAAAGTTGTCCAAGCACCACACAGAGGTTCTCCTCTTTGGTACCAATGCTGGTCGCCAGGGCGGGCCGTCGTTAATCGCTACCGCATGGGGATCTTGGCTAATACTAAGGTCGTGCGGGCGCAGGAGTACTCTTAGCACCACTCTAACTTGAGAGCCGGTAAAGATCGCAACGCTCTGGAGAGAGGGGAACCTCCTCCTCCGCAAAGAAGATAGGTTGAGGCGCACGGTGTGGAGAGAGAAGTTCTGGTTGGTGTGGAGAGGCGATGGGTATGGCAGTCAGGGGGGTCGAAAATAATAACACCCCTGATCTCGTGCAGTACTGAGCACTTTGCATCTAACCTCGTGGGACCTCGTGCAGAGTGGAGTTGTCATTGTGGGAGGCGTGTAAGGGTCGCGATTGGAGTGGACTGGCAGTTTGCTGTGGTGGTGTTGTTTGTCGCACCGTCGCTCCATGTTCCAAGCTAAAGCAAGGTTTTTGGGGTCTCGGACCCGTTCACTCAGTAGTATGACTGGTAGTCGCCATTTGTGCAAAGAACTTGCCACGAATCAGTGGAGAACTCAAGTGCACGAATCAGGGGTTTACAGAATATCGACCCCTCTTCGAATATCGAACTGGCCGAGTGCATGATCTCAGGCACGGCTTTCCATTCGGGCTTCCGCGAGACCTGTCTATACCGCCCACGTTTGGCCGGATTCGATCATCACTGCCTGCCTCCGTCGCTCCTTCCTGGCGTCCAGGCCCAACCTGAGTTGGGAGGTATGCGCTGGCACCTATTCCTTCGCGGGTCAGCAAACTGTGCGGGCATACGGAGTACCATCCACCATCATCCACCATCAATTCTCGTGGAGTTCGTGGAGTGGTCGACCGACGGGTTACCCTTCCGCATAGTACTGTAAGAGATAGGGTCTGTGTATCCCACCAACCAGACCCTCCTCCCATGCAACTCCCATGCAAGCACTCGAAACAATAGCGGCCTAGCGACCGCACCAGCACCGTTACAGTCCAAGGTCCGTAATACCCTCCCTCCCCCACTCCCGCCACCTCACCCAACCCAGACCTCTTCTCCGGCTGACCAGCCCATGCTGGTAGGAAGGAAGGAAATATCGCGGACGCGGGGGGGGGTAGATTCTCACAAACAGGTGTGTGTGTGTGTGTGTGTGATGGGCGAGGAGGTGATGGGCAAGACGGGAAACACTGGCGCCAACGGACATGGTGTCGAATGGGTAAGACGGGCCCGTGCGAAACCTCAGGTACAAGGCCCGATGATCCCTCCTGGTCGTCCACCTCGTCCCTTCAGCAAATTATTACTGGATCCTCCCGCAATTAGCGCGAAATATCGATGAACTGGTACTTGATAGATAAAGGGAAGGGAGAGACGACGATGACTAAGTTACCGTATCTATGCCGAACAGACATACGTTTCCGAGTCAAGTCGTGGGTTGAACAATTGTCATACCCCGTTTTCTGAGACATTGTGTGTTGACGAAGTCGTGAAAAGTTGGCAGCTAGACCATCATGGCCGCGTCGCATTCAGACATGGCATTATCGTCGATGGGTTCAGTGTATGAGGCCACCCTCCCCTGTTCCTCGATAAAAATGCCCTCACTACTTTATCCGCAACCCAATTTGTAGCTACCTAGTCTAGTCCTGGTAGATATCATGAGTGAGACCTGTCATAACAGTGATAATATTGATTCTCAGTATGTATTGCCATCTCCTCTTCCCAAAACGCTGTAAATCACCTTGGTCTAAGCTGGTAACGCAACGCACTATCCAAAACCCCTCTTCCCATAGTCACACTCCATGCTATACCAACGTCTAACAATTCAAGCAACCACCCTCGCCCCCGCGAGAATATCCCAGTTCCCGCCACAGTAGCAACGTCTCTGCTGCATGATTAGGAACTGTACCGGCGGCGTCAAGCTGTGGATATCCTCCATAGCCGCCGCGCACCTAACACATCTCCTCCACCGCCTCCCCGGGCGAGAACCCCTTGCATCTAGTCCCTGAGCCTCCTCTGGCTTCACCCCCAACTGAATCGGCACGCGAGAGAAAATGTCTATCGTGTGATTTACCCTATACTGTGCGTTGCTCGTCGTCGCGCTACCCTTCATAGCCCCTTTGCCCATAGAAGCATTCGACTCCGGCAACCCCAAGATGCCGAAGTCATGAAAGAAAAGCCTCGACGGATCAATCTCCGCCCTCAACTTCGGGAGCTCCTCGCTAAAAATGCGCGATATGGCCGGAGCCATAACCTCAGGCAGCGCCCCCCCAAACAATATCCCCTGCTCAACATCATTTCTGCTACAGTCGCCCGATACGCCCTGTGCCTGCTGCTGCGAGGGGAATTTCCCCGCGGTGTAGGCTTCCTTGACGACATCGGCGATGCGAGCGACGAAGGCTTCGAAGCGGCTGATTGGCACGATTGATGATGAGGTGAGTGTCGCGATTGCGATGTATGAGGAGCGGAGGGAGTTGGAGATTAGTGGCGCGGACTGGCCGGGAGGAGCAGAGACGCTCTGCGCTGCTGACATGGCTTTGCGTGCAGTGTAATCGAGATGGGCGAGCCGGCGGCAGATGCCAGTGAGGAACCCTCTTGTTGCTGATGAGAGGAGGACGTGCAATGCGATGTTGTTGGTTGCAAGTAGATGGGCACTAAGGAGTGGTATTGACCCATCTTCGCCCTTGGTTACTGACTCGAAGACCTCTGGGCCCTCAGGGTGCAGAAGACAGTCTATAAGCCAGGACATGAGGTCCAGGCACCACCGGACTGAGCCCGCGAGTAGACGTATGACCTCTGGAGCTATCAGTAACTGAACACCCTCATGGAAGGAGTGAACTTACCGGGATCCTCTAGCCCCAATACATTTTTCTGTTGATCGGGGATAGGTACTCTGATATTCATAGCCATTGTAATCAGGACAACACAATTGCGGAGTTGAAGGCTTATCCAAGCAATATTCGACTCAAATGTCCGCTTATGAGCATCACCATTGTATCCTAGAGCATTCTGTATACTCAGTGAGAGCTGTATGGATGGGTTTCGAATCAGCGAATCGTGATGCGATTTTTCAGAGTAGTCAACGTTAAATTTGAGGGTTTTCGAAACCTCTGAAACTAAGTCGAATGCAAAGGCTGTATACAAGATTAGCATTTGTCAACCTGGCGTGGGTTTGCTGTACTTACATGGCAAATGTTTGAATTTACTAGCTGCTGCCATCAGATCATCATGGTTGCTAGAGTTCATTATCGCCGTCGAGCAAGCCATGTTGAACCCCGCGATGACTGCTGCATATTGTGCTTACACAATGTTAGCTTATAAATCAGACTGTATGAAGGGGATCTTACTATCTTGAAGGGAAGTGCCGATATCGCCCATGTTGTAAACCAGCGGGTTCCATTTAATCTTTCCATCGCAGCCTTTCTGGACGACCGACAGATGAGTGGGGGACAGTGCTCCGACCAAACCTTCCGATATCGTTAGCAAGAAATAGATTTGAGAAAGCTCTAAGACTCACTCGGTTCATAGCCATTATAGGTAAACCCTATTTGTGAAATATGAGAAAACTTGTCCAACCCTCCCTGTGTAAATAGTTCTGCCAAAGATGTTCGGTCACGATATTCAACCGACCCGTCACTATAACCAAAGCAAATGATTCGTTCAAAGTAAATCGCTTCCATCCAGATCACTACCTTATTAGACGTAAATCCTTCCTGTTTCTTTAGACTTGGTGAGGGCTGTAATATATGTCAGCAGTGAATCGGTAATGTAGACGGATAATGCTCACCCCTGGCTTCGATCCAACACTATTTCGACGCGCACTCAGCTGTTCAAAAGCGGGATGAACACTTGGAGAAGCCTCGGATAATTCCCATCTGTTAATGAGGCTGTGGGTATCTTGATTATATTGAGACAGGGAGTTCGGTAAGTGAGACCTGATAGTAATGACTGTTGGTGATGTGGGGCGGCCACCAGGTCCATCAGGGGATGGTGATAAAATAGATAAATGGGACAACGCAGCCATAGACGGCGAAAGATGGAATGGATCGCTAGTACTCCCATCCATCCAGTTGGTATCAGATAAAAGCCGAATAATAATAGTTGGCGTCACTGTGTTCAATGCAGGATTGACGGGCCGATCGGGAGCGTTGGCGGTAGGACTGCCCCATTTTATAGCAACTCTGGCTATGCTCAGCTTCTTTGCCGTTGTTGCAAATGCCAGAAGCAGGGTATTATCTAGCCGCCGAGTTAGTTTCGTTGCAAGACTTGTGACCTCCGAGATACATACTTTTATCTGCGCATATTGAAGCATGCGTGATGAGGTCGTCTGAGGAGGAGATACCTTCAATCTCTGAAGACAACTCATACCATTTTCCATCTGCTTGGGGCCACAGGAGCGACAAAGTGCCACCTGTACTCACGGTGACAAGGGCCGACTTGTGGGCGTTTGGAAAGCAAGGCCCGAAGGCTATGGCCTGAGATATCTCGTACCTATAGTCCGTCGACGTCTTGACAGCTACACTTTGAATGCCAGGCTAGGAAATATTTAGAGAGGCTTCTCCCAAGACGCAATGCAAACCTACCTGTCGCAGATTTGAGGGCGATAAATTTAGCCAGTACGCACCAACGACGGCGCGAAGGTCCTCAATAGGATCTACGTTGCTGTTCCGCGTGAACGTGGGCGTGTTCAAGGATTGTCCAAGATTCAATATTGCAATACGGCCAGCGGAATCAATGGCAACCAAGTCCGCTCCATTGGGGCTCCAACAGAGATGCTTTAGTTGGCCACCATCGGCGATTGGGGCGATCTGAGGGATAATGGTAGCATCACTCAAGTCCCAAGAGCCATCTTTGGGGTGAATCCGCAGATTACGGAATTCCAAGCCTAGCCCATTTGAAGTGATGGAAGCAATAGATCCCCAGCGTGACCACGCAATACTCCTTTTCTCTATCGTCAGCTTGTGTTTCCTCAGTCTTCGTCGTGGGGATTCAGGACGTACTGGCAGCACCCACTTCCACGAAGCTCGTCGACCCGTTGGACGAGCTCTTTCGGCGATGGCCGGGCAGGAGGTAAGAGACCGCCAGCCCCATCTCCAAAGAGGTCATCGATGTCGACCTCCATATCATCGTCCATCATGAGCGGCATCACTCTTCTACTTCCCACGCGGGCGAATAGCGTAGCGCACCACCATGCGGCTGCTAATTACGGCAAGCGAATAATTTTCCCGGCCGTGATTGGGGTTGTAGGGTAACTATGTATATAAATGGCTATGTATATAAATGGGATCAAGAGTGATTATAGAGCCTATTAGCCGTTATATGCGTTATAGTATAGATGCGTTATAGTATATATTGAAGCAACGGACTCTGGAGATTCCGTCAGTAGTAGTAGTATGTATGTCCATGCACTGGGACAAAAGTTGGCGCTTTCCCACAGGCTGCAGGGATGCCGCACAATGGGGCAATGGGGGGTTAGTCCGCGTCTCTCTTAGTGGAACATCCACCCACCCATTCCACCCATTGACACAGCAACCAGCGACGGCAACCAGCGGATCCTCCAATAAATGATCTAGATGATCGTAAAATGACGCCCGGAGAGAGATGTAGAAAAACCTAAGAATAAGAAGCTGGAATATAGTAGGGCTAGCTGTGATTTTTATTTATTTTCCGGCGTATATTATATTATAAAGAGGTTGATATCACATGTGCGATGTCACTTTGGCGCCAGGAATGCCCGCCATTTTATTATGACTCTCGGTTAAAGAAACTAGCCAGCCCATTCACCAAAACAAAACACCCACCCTAAGGCTAAGAAAGAGCCTCTCCAACGACCTAACAGCGTACCTTCCTTCATACCTTCCTTCATACCTCGTCATCCGCCGCTCCCATTTCCACAAACCCCCCCCCCCCCCCCAACTCGACAACTAAACGACACAGACATCTCGAAAATGAGTCAGTAATTCCGCAGCAGGAGCACACCCCCCCATTTCGAATATCCCAAAGTTACAGCCGCTAGAATGGACGACATGCCGGGCATGTCGCCGCCTCCGTCTCCACTGGAGTCCCTGGTTTCGTCCCCTCTGTCTATGCGATCCAGGTCACCAACGCCACCATACGAATACCCGTCTCCCAGGTCTTCTCAGCCGTCGGGGAGTAGGTCGTCTTCTACAGCACCAGACATGCAAGACGAGGCTGAGGGCCCGCCGCCAGCAAAGAAGCGCAAGCTAGCTCAACCCAAGGAACGGACGACGGAGTACTTAGATCTGCACATCCTCGACGAGAGCACCGATCCGGAGAAGTTGGCCAATGATGACATGCAGCTTCAGCGTCTTCTCAAAGTCCTACGGACGAAGCGGAAGATTGTTGTAATTGCAGGAGCTGGAATTTCCGTTTCGGCAGGCAGTAAGAAATTGCCCATCCTTTTTATCTTGCCATAAACTAACTAGGTTTAAGTTCCCGACTTTCGCTCTTCAACTGGACTCTTCACCACCCTTCGCAGCAAGTATGATTTAAAGTCTTCTGGAAAAGACCTCTTTGATGCGGCCGTATACAAGAGCGACTCATCAACAGCCTCCTTTCATGACATGGTTCGCGAAATGTCGCACATAACTCGGCAAGCAAACCCAACAATGTTCCACCATATGATCGCGACCATTGCCGAAGAGGGCCGTCTAATGCGCCTCTACACGCAAAACGTGGATGGGATCGATACATCCCTACAGCCGCTCCGGACAAATATCCCGCTCAATTCAAGGGGTCCGTGGCCAAAAACTATCCAGCTTCACGGCGGATTGGAGAAGATGGTCTGCACCAAGTGCAGAGCGCTATCTGACTTCGACGGCTCCCTTTTCGAGGGTTCGGAGCCACCGTCTTGTAAAGCATGTGAGGAATTAGATGAGATCAGAACCACCCTAGCCGGAAAGAGGAGCCACGGCATCGGCCGCCTCAGGCCCAGAATCGTACTCTACAACGAATACAACCCCGACGAAGAAGCCATCGGCGCCGTCACAACAGCCGATCTCAAGAGCCGCCCCGACGCCGTCATCGTCGTCGGCACGAGCCTGAAAGTCCCAGGCGTAAAACGCATCGCACGTGAGATGTGCCAAGTCGCGCGCGGCCGCAAAGACGGCTTCACAGCCTGGATCAACCACGGGCCCGAGCCAGTCGGTCTGGAGTTCAAGGACTGCTGGGACCTGGTGATTCGCGGGGACTGCGATGAGGTTGCGCGCCATGCTGCGATTCCAAAATGGGATGACAAGGATGTTGGGCCGTATACTGTTCTTCCTCCGCGAGAGACTCCGAAGTCCCCGATGAAGGTTGAGCTGGGTAGTGCGGCTATACATAAGGCTGTTGAGAAGACGCAGGGTATGGTGACACCTACTGCCAGCCCGCGAACCCGCAGCCCCGCTCCGTCGAAGGACTTGAAGAAGATGAAGCAACGTAAGCTCTTCTCCTCTGGAACCGCTACTAAGCCCATCACCAAACCCGCCGCCGCAGCAGCGAATAAAAAGAAACCCGTGGCCAAGAAACCCGCCGCCGCAGCGAAGAACGCCAAGATCACTAAGGCATTCACAGCCACCAAGTCCTCCAAGGCTACCTCGGGAAAGGCCATCAAGCACGAGCCCATCGCGCCCATGTTCCCGAACCTTAGCAAGGCGGCCCCGTCATCACCTATGCTACCGCTGTCGTTAGTGGAGGTGAGGAATAATGCCGAGACAACGCCGGTGAAGCGCGAGTACGGGGTTGGGGGTGGAGGCAAGGCGGAGCCAGCGGAGCCGGATTCGCCGAGTGCGCAGTTGAGGAGGGAGGGGGGGAGGGGGACGGTGTCGCCGGGGGGGGTGCCGAGGGGGATGGGGCATTTGATTGAGACTTGAGCAGCGTGGGTGGCTTTGTAATCCCATGGTTGATCTCTTTGGTGCTGTGGTTGGATTCGGGGTGCTGGGGATTGTTTAGGGGGAGGTTATACCATACCACCACCCATCCCATATGTGCGTTTTTGGCGTCAGGGGAAAGGCAAGACAGCACGCGGTGTCGTGCTGGGGTGTCATACCATCCGTGTCGTCATTTATTTTGTTCTTTCGGTGCGGTTATTCTCGCCCATCGGGAGCATTGCATTGCATTGCGTGCGTGGATGATGTTGGCTAGGGGTCACATACAGATAAGATAGTAGTGATAGAGGGATAGTAGTGATAGGTGTGCTAGTGGCTTTTTTTTAGAATAGGGTTATATCTCTGGATGTCGCTCTGGCTGTGGGCTGGGTATAAATGGATGGGTAATTGTATTTGTTTTACTGGTATGATTTGATTTGTGTGTTGTGACTTCGCGAAGTGAGATTGAAATCTGTGTTGTCGTCATGAATTTTCCCAGCCTTATCCTAGAACTTTTACAAGTATTCATTTTCAAGCTGAATATACTTGTTATACAAAAGATCCCAAACAAATCCCAGATAGGCACCAGTATAACGCCCCCGCTATGCGAACCTATCCCAGTTTATCCCCCCCCCAAACTCCAACAAATGCATAACCCACTTAACCACCCCTTCCTCCCAACACCCTACTCCCCCCCATCCCCATCCTCATACTCGATCTCCGCCAAATCGCCCGTCTCCCTCGGCTCCTGTGCCTCATGATACTGAATCGCATCATCGAGATAGCTCAGAATCGCCCCCACACTATCCTCATCCTGCACATCAAGCCGCAAATACGATACCATGCTGAAACTCTCAATCAACCCCGCCACCGCGCGATTCAGCCGCCGAAAACTCTCGCCGCGCATCATACTCCCGTTTTCCAGAGGATCACCGACCCCTGGCCCCTCCCCTTCCCCGAGGTCCGAAGGATCATCATCGAGCAGCGATGCATCGGGATCCAAAAACCGCTTGAGTTCCCTCTTCCCCACTTGCCCCTTCACAAGGTCCATCTTGGACAGGATATTCACATGCGGCACCTCCAACATAATCATCGCCGACATCGCCGACAGCGTCCCCGCAAAAAACTTCGCCCGATCAACCACAAACGTCGCCTCCAACAAATACGCCGCCGCGAGATTAACACTCAAACCCCCCTGCATCGTGAGGTGCTTCACCAGCGCCGGCAGCACAGGAACATGCGTGTACAGCTCGATCTGCCCTGGCATATCGATGACGATTAAGTACTCCTCGGAGAGCGGGTCGATAGCTTCGGTGATGAAATCGAGGTTCTCGAGGAGGAACTCGAAGCAGTAGATTAGACCCCCGTTGGGACCGAGTCCCATTTCCTCCATCACGTCGGAGAGGGAGATCAGGTCTTTGATGTCGAGGTCGGGCTCGTGGTCGAAGGTCTCGGCGGCGGGGTCGAGGTTGATGTAGAAGGAGGAGCGGCGGTTATGGTGCAGGTGCGTGATGAGGGAGCTGCAGAAGGTGGTCTATGGGCACGGATTAGAAGGGATCAAGGGACAGTGGGGGATATGGGGACTGACCTTGCCGGCGCCCGCCGGGCCCATGACCAGCACGCCGAATTTGGACATTGTGAAGAGACTGGTGTTGGTGGGGGATGAGTTTCTTAAAGTCGACGCAGCATGGCTTGGGGGGGGGGGGAAGGTTGGTGAGGCTGAGGAATGCGATCATAGAAAATTCATTTGCAGCGTTGCTTGGTCAGCCTCGCCCGAAAGGCTGGCGAATGAGAAGGCTCCGTGGGATGGAGGGCTGGACCTCGACCTGTTTTGTTTCAAAGAAGTGAGGGTTTAGGTCTTTCAAGTAGCACACGTGTATTGTTATTGTGCTGTAGAATGAGCTGTTTAAGGGGGTTTTCGTTGAAATCCATGGTAAGTGCGGGGATGACTGGCGTTGAGTTGCGAGTTGCGAGTTGGGTGTGTGATTGGGGGCACGTGCATCACGCACTTGGTGCGACTCGGGCATTTCAGGCGCTGGTTGATTGAAATGTGGCCGCTACGGAAGGGACAAGGAACAAAACATAAACAGCCCATTCTCACCGCCCGACGAAGTACTCCTGGCCCTATTTTCGGTATAATATCGAGTAGTTATCATAGTAGCTATCATAGTAGTTACCATAGTAGTTACCATAGTAGTTACCATAGTAGTTACCATAGTAGTTATGAGGCGTGTCTATCAATTCAGAAGCCCTCGAGAATTCTCCATCTTCATCCCAATCGCCAGCACAATTTTTCATCTCTAAGCCCGTCGTTTTCCTACTTTTTTCGGCGGTGGCCCTGTTGTACCTTGCGCGGTTTATTGTGCTGGTCGGTACATCGGTACATTTTCCCAGAAATGGTGCCTTCTCGTCTCGCTAAAATAAATTAGACTCGATCTCTCAATATTCCCCTCTCCCCTCTTCAACTTCTTCTTGTCTACTATCCCTCTCCCTCTCTCTCTATACCCCTCTAGACACTTTCTTGTCCTCATCTTCTCTTCATCTTCTTTATACCTCAACCTCTCTCTACTCCCCCATAATCTATTCAAGATGACTGCCAACGGATCTACCCCCGGTGGCCACCACAACCAGGGCAACTTCCTGTTCACCGTAAGTCTTGAAAACCCCGCTCTGGCGAGAAATATGAAGTTCTGACACATTGCCACAGTCCGAGTCCGTCGGCGAGGGTCACCCAGACAAGATCGCTGATCAGGTCTCCGATGCCATCCTCGATGCCTGCTTGACCGATGACCCTCTCTCCAAGGTCGCTTGCGAGACCGCAACCAAGACCGGTATGGTCATGGTCTTCGGTGAGATCACCACCAAGACCAAGCTTGACTACCAGAAGGTCATCCGTGGTGCCATCAAGGACATCGGTTACGATGACTCCGCAAAGGGCTTCGACTACAAGACCTGCAACGTCCTCGTTGCCATCGAGGAGCAGTCCCCCGATATCGCCCAGGGTCTTCACTACGAGCAGGCTCTTGAGCAGCTCGGTGCTGGTGACCAGGGTATCATGTTCGGTTATGCCACTGATGAGACCCCTGAGCTCTTCCCATTGACCCTTCAATTGGCACACAAGCTTAACGCTGAGATGAGCGCTTCCCGCCGTGATGGCTCCATCCCATGGTTGAGACCCGACACCAAGACCCAGGTCACCATTGAGTACAAGCACGACAACGGTGCCGTTGTCCCTCTCAGAGTTCACACCGTCGTCGTCTCTGCCCAGCACGCCGAGACCATCACCACTGAGGAGCTCCGCAAGGAGATCCTCGAGAAGGTCATCAAGAAGGTCATCCCCGCCAAGTACCTTGACGACCAGACCATCTACCACGTAAGTTGACCTTGACGCCTCTAAAAAGACACCTGTCTGACCAAACTAGATCCAACCCTCTGGACTCTTCATCATCGGTGGCCCACAGGGTGATGCCGGTCTGACTGGCCGCAAGATCATCGTCGACACATACGGTGGATGGGGAGCTCACGGAGGTGGTGCTTTCTCCGGAAAGGATTTCTCCAAGGTCGACCGCTCCGCCGCCTACGTCGCCCGCTGGATCGCCAAGTCCCTCGTCAACGCCAAGCTTGCCCGCCGCTGCCTCGTCCAGCTGTCGTACGCCATCGGTGTCGCCGAGCCCCTCTCCATCTTCGTCGACTCGTACGGAACCTCGGACAAGACCTCTGACGAGCTCGAGAAGATCATCCGCGCCAACTTCGACCTCCGCCCGGGAGTGATCGTCAAGGAGCTCGACCTCGCCAAGCCAATCTACTTCCAGACCGCCAAGAACGGCCACTTCACCAACCAGAGCTTCACCTGGGAGAAGCCGAAGACCCTCAAGTTCTAAGCGGCTTCGCCTCACACACCACACATCACATGACACAAATAGTAATAATAGATCCGAAAGGGACTCAACGTCTCTCTCCTCCTTACCTCCTTTTTGACGACAACGGCCATCTTCGATCCCATGATGATGACTGATGACATCTTGAACTTTTCCCTTACATTTTTCACACGCGGCGAAACGGGTCTATATGCACAGGGCGGCGGGGCGGTCTCAACGACTGCGGGGTTATGTTAAGCGAATTTGCATTTTATTGAGTTTGGCCTGTTTAACGGCCATTTTTTATCAACGTTGCTACAAAAAGCTTTCCGAGAATCATGATATGTATATTGTGATTGATTTTGGAAAAGTCTTTCAACATAGACCATTTAGACATTCGAGACGGGGAGCAGGACAGGCATTTCCATGCTTTGAGCAATCGGCGTTCAACGGAGAATTTCAACATTTTCTCTGTTTATGCATAGCGGGCAGGGTAGCAATGGTGGACGGATGGAAAGGGAGGGAAATGTCTGGCTGGGCTCTGGGGATGGGTGTATGTGATGTGCTTCTCTTGCCTTCTGCGCGGACGCACAGCGAGTTGACGATGTGAAGGCTTTATCTTTCATATACCGCCTTTCTCCTGTTCCTGGTTCTGTTGAAGGAGCTGGACAGTGGGGTAGGGGGTAGATAGCACTAATATCAGCTTGTCTCGAACAACCCATCGTTTCCGCCTTTGTGCCACAACGTAATATGTCGCAGCTCAAGCCCGGAGCTTGGAGTCTTGCCGTTCTGAAGAGGTTATTGCGATCTTTTTGCCGAACGTACGATCGATCGACCGCCTGGAGCTTGGAGATGGAGCTTTCCCCTTCCCCGTGTGTTATTCCAATCCCATCTCCTCCCCCGCAGCTGAAGCCACGACCGACTTCCCCAGCGGCCAGTCCCAATTAACGATGCGGCTATTCACACAATCCGCTCACCTCGTACCACTCCCCAGTGACCATGCCAGCGAGCGTCCGGTGGAGCGATATGGGGGCGCCAGAGGTGTGGCTGGGTTGATCTTAACCCATGGTGCGTGGAGTCTAAATTTTGAAGTGAAGGTTAATTTCGGAGATGTGGGAATTTTTTGGGGCATGACGGAGTGGGTTTAGTGGCAGATAATTAGTAGAGTGGGGGGGGGGTGGATGATGGGATGGGGAGACGGGGAGAGTCGGGGTCTGGTGGTGGTCGGTGCTGGACGGTTAGTAAGGGATGAGTGAGTGGATGGGCGGAGTCCCTTGCGAGAGTTAGTTAGGATGGGCGGAGTCCCTTGCGAGAGTTAGTTAGGATGGGCAGAGTCCCTTGCGAGAGTTAGTTAGGATGGGCGGAGTCCCTGCGAGAGTTAGTTAGGGGGGCGGAGTCCCTGCGAGAGTTAATTAGGGGGGTTGCGGTGTGTATTTCTCGGCTTTGGTGTTCCATGAGGGCCAAGGGGATGAGGGCAAGGGGATGAGGGCCAAGGGGATGAGGGCAAGGGGATGAGGGCCAAGGGGATGAGGGCAAGGGGATGAGGGCAAGGGCATGAGGGCAAGGGGATGAGGCCAAGGGGATGAGGCCAAGGGGAGGAGGGCAAGGGGATGAGGCCAAGGGGATGAGGCCAAGGGGGTTTAGATGGTGCTGGATATGGAGAGATGGACATGGAGTGAGCGTGACGAATGGGGGCAGCGCGTGCTGTAATGAGGTTTCCCCTTCGTCCCACGCCCACCAGCGATTGGCGCCTCCACGTTCCCATCTGTCCCTGACGCTTTCCCGCATTCGTCACTAGCTGTTCCTGACCACACCCCTTCCCCCAATCCACCGCCTGCCGCCATCTAATTAGCGCGCTTGACAAAAAAAGAGTCGAGACATGAGAGACAAGAGAGACAAGAGAGATATGAGAGACAAGAGAGACAAGAGAGACGAGAGATATGAGAGACAAGAGAGATATGAGAGACAAGAGAGATATGAGACAAGACAGACAAGCAGACAAGCAGACAAGCAGACAAGCAGACAAGCAGACAAGCAGACAAGCAGACAAGCAGACAAGCAGACAAGCAGACAAGTCAGACAAGACAGACAAGCAGACAAGTCAGACAAGACAGACAAGACAGACAAGACAGACAAGACAGACAAGACAGACAAGACAGACAAGACAGACAAGACAGACAAGACAGACAAGACAGACAAAGAATGCGTCACAGAAGGAGATGCGCCAATACCCGCCACTCGGCGAATGCAAGGTAGGATTCTGTCGTGGAAGAGACGGCTGGCCGCTGTCGTCTTTGTTCATCTTTGTCAACAAGGAAATTGAAATTGCAATCCCTCCTAGCTTCATCGCTTCACCAGCCTTATTCGACTACTCCGCTGAACTAACGAACTAACGCCCTTGCCTTGCCGAGACCCTGACCCCTCCCTCTCTCCTCTCCCCCTCCTCTCCCCAATCCCACCAGCCACTCTCCTCCTCCAGACACATTGATGTCCCCATTCAATATCCATATCACACCTAATCACCTAATCACACCCAATCTACGCCCAGTCTGTCGGCGTTGGTCTCTATCTTGTACATCTTCATCTGTCTACATGTCTGATTGACCTTGTTCCTAATCGAAACGGATCATGGCGCCCGAGATGACAGGGTTCTGCGTCCTAGCATCGACGCAGACACCCTCGCCGCCATCGCGATTGCCGACACCTCCTCCTCCCTCACCACCACCACACGCCATGGCCCGCCCGCTTCCCCATTCTGATGCTCCTTCTGCCTCATCCCCATCTGACGTCTCCTCCTCCCTCCCCTCGCAGTTCCAGCCCGTGCAGCCAGGCCCCGATCGTCAATCTGCCGACACAGTGAGGCCGCGAGCTTCGTCCCTTGTTTCAACCACCTCGTCCATCAAGAGAAAACCGTTACCGTTGTCGGCGCTGCCTCTAGTTGCCAGATATTCGGTTGAATCGAGCGCCAGCACTTTCGACTCACCGTCTGCCAGATTCCTCAGACGCCTGTCGATAGACAGCCCGACGCTCTACGACCCTTCGGTACACCGATTTCCTCACTTCGTGGAAGAGGCTGGGCCGCACCAGGGACAAAGAATCTCAACGTACGTCGTCTCGTATCCCTCTGCTCACCAAGCATACCACCCTACCTACCAGCCCTTCACATTGTTTCCCCTTTGGGTTAAAGATACTGACCGGGTAAACAGTCTCGACATCCCACAGGAGCCATTCAGACCGTTGTCACCTGTAATCGAAGCTTCAGTTCATCAGACGCTTCCGACTGCCACACCAAACCAACCCACCCCTGCCGCACACACACACACACACAAACACTCAATAGGTGGCACCCCTCCGACCTCATCTGTCCGCCATGCAAGATTGAGGCGTGACTCGGCCCTCAGCACCACCTCGAGTTATTATACATACGAGGATTCGAGTCCAGCACACCGCTCCCGATCAGGAACAATGTCCCTTTTCGCGGCGAATCCACAACCACCCAACCTCGGCCTGCCTGACAACGATGCCCGCGGCGCCTCCTTCGACGCAACCAGCATCAAGAGCCCCTCCGATAAACAACTCTCCAAGTCGCCTGGAGCGTCTAAACTTGGTTCCTTCTTCGGGTGGGGTGGAAACACCTCGCCGGCGTCATCGACGACTACTTTCTCAGAGGATAAGAACTTCTCTCCCATACCCTCGCCGACGTCCCCGGCGAAACACTTCTCAAAGTCGATCGCCAGCCGCGCTATCCCGATTGGAACCGACGTCCCTAAAGCCAATTCGGCGAATGAGAGCTTCTTTGACGAGGAATTCGCACCGTCTAGTGTAGACAGCGAGTCTCACGTGGGAGAGATGGAGGAGGAACTCAAAACTATCAGTGCCGAGCTGGCCACATCTATAAGGAGGGAGATGGAACTAGAAGATCTTGTCGAACGATTACAATCGGAAGTTGACAACCCTCGCGGACCTAATAAGAGAACAAGTGATTACTTTTCCGACTCGGGTACGAGCTCGGTCAAGTATGGCGGTGATACAGATTCAAGAACGGAAGAGATCGAGCGGATGCAGCGGAAAACAGACCGTGAAAAGGCCCAAATACGACTGGATTGCCAAGAAAAAGTCCAAGAGGAGAGGACACGACGATCAGGTCTTGAGAAGAAGATTCGCCGGCTAGAGGAGAAGGTGTCGCATGTTGACCTCGCGTCCATCAACTCTCTCGACAGCGGCGGTCGATTAAAAGACGTGGAAGCGACATGCGAAGACCTAAGGCGACGACTTAATGACGAACGGAAAGTCAAGGAGAACTTTGAAGATCTCCTGACAGCACTCAGAGGCGAGCTTCATACGTCTCATAATGAGCGTGACAACCTCAGAGACGAAGTTATTCCACAACTACGAGCTCGGGTTGAAGGGCTAGAGGCGCAGGCCGCTGAACATGAGAAGCTAGCATACGACCACACAAAGGCGCAGCAGCAGATGCAGTTGACTAGAGGCGACAGCGTGCGCAAGCTGCAGACTGATATACAATCACATATGGACAGCATCGGTGAAGATGGTCCACAACCTAATTCCGGCTTGAAGAGGTCCACTTCGGTAAGGAACTCTACAGTCACTACTACACCTTTAATGAGGTCGCGGCCTACTTCAATGTCCCTGGCCAAAGGCGTCGAGTCACGAGACATGCTCCTTGAGCGCGTGAAGGACGTCGAAGCCCAACGGGACGCGCTCCATCGTGCGCTGAAGAGCCTACTGGAGAGGCAAGAACACCAAACAAAAGAAAACGACAAGCGCCTCCGCCAGCTCGAGATCGAGCGCGACAATGCCCTCAAGAGCGCACCCAAACGCGCCGGCTACGGCAAAGACGTCTCCAGTTTGAGGGATGAAATCAACACCCTCCGTCGCCGCGCCGACGAAGCCATAGAGCAAAAGTGGCAGTGCGAGAAGGGCCTCAGTGGCCTAAAAATGGACCTCGACCGCGCGGAGCAGGAAATCGGCTCCCTCCGCAACCTCCTCGTCGATAAAGGCGTCGCCGTCCCGGAAAACATCCCGGGCTCGCGCAGTAGCGCTAACTCCTCGTCGCTAGAGCAGGCATACTCCGAGCTCAAGAAGACCTACGCTGCGTCCCTTGATCGCGTAAAGGCGCTGGAATCTCAAGTCCCCCGCGACGGCACAACAGACGAGGCACTCCGATCCCTCCAAACCTCCCTCACCACCGCCATTGCCGACCGCGACTCCGCCGTCTCCTCCCTCCACACCACGGAGCTCTCGCACCTCTCTACCGAAACCGACCTCGCTTCCCAGCTCCAGCATGCCGCGGAGCACATCGAGGGATTAGCGGGCCAGGTACGCGCCCAGCTGTCTGCGAATTCGACGCTCCGCGCTCGTCTTGCGGAGACGATCAAGCGCGGGGAGGTGGAGCAGAATGCCAATGTGGCGAGGATTATGGGGATGCAGGGAAAGCTCCGTACTCTTGAAGAGGCGCTTATGGCTGCGCAACAGGCGTCCGAAGAGCGCACCGCGAGACATGAGGATGAGGTTCGCGAGCTCAAGGAGACTCGCCACAGCCCGCTCATCCGCGTCAAGAACGCTATCCGCTCCCCCCGCCTCTTCGCCCCCAAGTCCCCCATGAGCCCCCTCTTCGCCGGCGGCGTCAGGAGTCCCCGCGTAGACGTCACGTCTGGGGGCAAAGCGATGAACGTCGGCGAGGAGTCGAGGGTGGGCATGCTGAAGAGCCGAGTCGAGGAGCTGGAGCGCGCGCTGGGGGAGGCGGATCGCGAGATGGAGGAGGTGGTGGGGAGGATGAATGTGGCGCAGATTGAGGTGATGGAGCTGCAGAATGAGAGGGAGGAGGCGGTGGCGGCGACGAGGATGCTGGAGAAGAGGGTGGAGGAGGAGAGGTTGAGGGGGTTTGAGGGGAGGTTTAGGTCGTTCCAGACTTAGACCCCTGCCTACTCGCCCGCCCACCTAGTCGAGTTGCGTGATGTTTGCTTTGGTGGTTGATGTGTCCCGATATTGCGCTTTAGCGACAGCATTTTTACCTTCATGGTTGTGCATTTTTTTTTAGGATGGGCGTTGGGAGATAGCTGGTATGCTGTCGATTTGTTTTGATTATGTATGGGATCATGGCTTTCTTTGAGTCCACCGGACCCCGATTGGTGGTGGTTGGGGGGGATTGTTTCATTCTTAAACCTTATATATAGTATATATTGTGGTGGGGGATGTATGGATGGGTGGGGGGATGTGTTTGGATATTTTACATATGGAGATGAGGGATGGGTAGATAGATGGGTGAGGGAGAACAATATATGTGTATTTTTGAGATTGGATGTTTTTCTTTAGATGTGACCTTTGATTCTTCTCTCCGCTGTGATGCTCCGTATCGATTTTATTCCCTTGTTCCTGATCTATAATCTGGAGATAGTTATTCGGTGGTGAATAGGTTTGGGAGGACGGCTGTGTATTGGGCTGTGGCGAATGGATATACACGTGTAGCACAGCTGCTGTGTCGTCCTCCTAAACCTAAATAAAGTCTAAGGT